CCAAACCCAAACCCAGGCCCAAACCCAACCCAAGCAAACCCAAACCCAAACCCAAACCCAAACCCAAACCCAAACCCAAACCCAAACCCAAACCCAAACCCAAACCCAAACCCAAACCCAAACCCAAGCCCAAACCCAAACCCAAACCCAAACCCAAACCCAAACCCAAACCCAAACCCAAACCCAAACCCAAACCCAAACCCAAACCCAAACCCAAACCCAAACCCAAACCCAAACCCAAACCCAAACCCAAACCCAAACCCAAGCCCAAACCCAAACCCAAACCCAAACCCAAACCCAAACCCAAACCCAAACCCAAACCCAAACCCAAACCCAGGCCCAGGCCCAGGCCCAAACCCAGGCCCAGGCCCAGGCCCAGGCCCAGGCCCAAACCCAGGCCCAGGCCCAGGCCCAGGCCCAGGCCCAGGCCCAGGCCCAGGCCCAGGCCCAGGCCCAGGCCCAAACCCAGGCCCAGGCCCAGGCCCAGGCCCAGGCCCAGGCCCAGGCCCAGGCCCAGGCCCAGGCCCAGGCCCAGGCCCAGGCCCAGGCCCAGGCCCAGGCCCAGGCCCAGGCCCAGGCCCAGGCCCAGGCCCAGGCCCAGGCCCAGGCCCAGGCCCAGGCCCAGGCCCCCAGACCCAGGCCCAGGCCCAGGCCCAGGCCCAGGCCCAGGCCCAGGCCCAGGCCCAGGCCCAGGCCCAGGCCCAGGCCCAGGCCCAGGCCCAGGCCCCAGGCCCAGGCCCAGGCCCAGGCCCAGGCCCAGGCCCAGGCCCAGGCCCAGGCCCAGGCCCAGGCCCAAACCCAGGCCCAGGCCCAGGCCCAGGCCCAAACCCAAACCCAAACCCAAACCCAAACCCAAACCCAAACCCAAACCCAAACCCAAACCCAAACCCAAACCCAAACCCAAACCCAAACCCAAACCCAAACCCAAACCCAAACCCAAACCCAAACCCAAACCCAAACCCAAACCCAAACCCAAACCCAAACCCAAACCCAAACCCAAACCCAAACCCAAACCCAAACCCAAACCCAAACCCAAACCCAAACCCAAACCCAAACCCAAACCCAAACCCAAACCCAAACCCAAACCCAAACCCAAACCCAAACCCAAACCCAAACCCAAACCCAAACCCAAACCCAAACCCAAACCCAAACCCAAACCCAAACCCAAACCCAAACCCAAACCCAAACCCAAACCCAAACCCAAACCCAAACCCAAACCCAAACCCAAACCCAAACCCAAACCCAAACCCAAACCCAAACCCAAACCCAAACCCAAACCCAAACCCAAACCCAAACCCAAACCCAAACCCAAACCCAAACCCAAACCCAAACCCAAACCCAAACCCAAACCCAAACCCAAACCCAAACCCAAACCCAAACCCAAACCCAAACCCAAACCCAAACCCAAACCCAAACCCAAACCCAAACCCAAACCCAAACCCAAACCCAAACCCAAACCCAAACCCAAACCCAAACCCAAACCCAAACCCAAACCCAAACCCAAACCCAAACCCAAACCCAAACCCAAACCCAAACCCAAACCCAAACCCAAACCCAAACCCAAACCCAAACCCAAACCCAAACCCAAACCCAAACCCAAACCCAAACCCAAACCCAAACCCAAACCCAAACCCAAACCCAAACCCAAACCCAAACCCAAACCCAAACCCAAACCCAAACCCAAACCCAAACCCAAACCCAAACCCAAACCCAAACCCAAACCCAAACCCAAACCCAAACCCAAACCCAAACCCAAACCCAAACCCAAACCCAAACCCAAACCCAAACCCAAACCCAAACCCAAACCCAAACCCAAACCCAAACCCAAACCCAAACCCAAACCCAAACCCAAACCCAAACCCAAACCCAAACCCAAACCCAAACCCAAACCCAAACCCAAACCCAAACCCAAACCCAAACCCAAACCCAAACCCAAACCCAAACCCAAACCCAAACCCAAACCCAAACCCAAACCCAAACCCAAACCCAAACCCAAACCCAAACCCAAACCCAAACCCAAACCCAAACCCAAACCCAAACCCAAACCCAAACCCAAACCCAAACCCAAACCCAAACCCAAACCCAAACCCAAACCCAAACCCAAACCCAAACCCAAACCCAAACCCAAACCCAAACCCAAACGTGAAAATTTTTTCTTTCTTGTGTACGACATATCAGAACAAATAACCGAGCAAGATCCTATCGTTATAGGTCCTAAGACAACTAAATATGTTGTTTATTTGATAATTACAAATTCTTGGGCTCACTGAATGGGCGATATTCCCAAACCCAAACCCAAATTTTGTTCTTCTTGTGTACTCAATCAAAAAACACCTTCATTTGATTTTCAATTTCTTCTCTATTTCTGTAAAGAATGCCATGTTCTTTAACTTTCTTCACAGATTGTTCAGAGGAGGTTGTACCTGATTCGTAAATATAGTGCCAAGTAAATTGAACACCGCCATATGTAACTGATTTTAAAATATTTCCATCTTCGACAATCTGTAACTCATGTTTTTTAGGTTTCAAATATAGTTGTACATCCTTATCATTTCTTTTTGTCATAACCTTTTCAATTTTTCCATCATCAACAATTGCATGAAAAATCAATTCAAGCAAGGAAAATAGATATTTCTTTGGTAGCTCTAATGTCGTGGTTTTGGCTATATTTGTTTCATCAATTATATATTGTTGGGTTATAAGATTATCAAGGTCAGTCTTTGAACATTTGAAATCTTTGCAATAATGAGAGTCAATAGTAGAAATTGTGGTCTGTTTTAAAAATATTTCTACTACTTCATCACCATACATAATAATAGCATAATCAAAACAGGGAAAATTTTCAGACTCTGGAATAAATAGTACTCCTGTTCCTCTTGGATAATTTCTCTTATTAAAAATATCTATATATTTCAAACTAAAGCTCTGGTGTGTATTAATTTCATATGATAGAGATGCAGAAAGTGATTCCAAATTGCTCATGTGTGTTATAAAGAATTTGGCAAAATGATTTCCAATATGGTATTCTTGGGTGATCAAACACCGTTCAAACAAAGCACCCTTTTCTGATCCTGAGATATTTTTAGGTATGATATGTCTTGGAATATTGCTGCAATAATATTGGAACAAACATCGCTTGGCAGGCTCATTTACAATAAAAAGTTTTCCATCGTGATCTTTGTACATTAAACCCTGATCGTAAACAATACCTCCAACATCAGTGGGTCTTCCCTTATAGAGACCTAGAGTAAAAAGACCTTCTAGTGTTTGGAGAAAGAGTTTCTTTTCCTCCTCATCCAGCTTTTTATCCAATACACGCAATCTACGGCTATATTCGTCCTTCGTTAAAGTGATAAATTGATTAAAATCTTCATCCGTACCCTTTTTACCTTGCAGAAAAGAGGCCAATTTTCTCAAATCTCTAGGAATTCTTCCTGTCACATAGTCTATTCTTTTCTCCTTTGGATCTAAATCAAAGTCTTCAATAAGTGTGTTAAATTCTTTTTCTGTTGGAGGAACAATTCTAACTATTTTTAAACTCTCTCCTCCAGGCAAATGATCTTCAAAAGAACTATGAGCACTTCCACAATATATGGTCATTGTATGTATGCCTCTCGTAGCGGCTGTCCATCTTGTAAAGTCTTGGAAATAAGGTTTACTAGCAAAAATCTTGCCATCGTTGTCAAGTCTGAACAACTCATTATGTTCGTCAAACAAATAGAACACTCGTTGATCTTCTGCAACATATTTGCTCAAATATGAAACAATATCATCTGATTCCTCCAATTTTGAAATAACGTCCCGAGAAAGAATGTCACTATTCAATGATAAAAACAATCCAAGCAAATACTTGTTGGCACCAGGAATGTTACCAATAATGTAACGGCGCCTCCAAGAACCACAAGTTGGAACATAGAGTACTGGAATTGAATTCACAAAGGCATAGGCAGCAATGAGATATAATGTATATGATTTTGAAACTCCATGAGGACCTGAGAAAACAAATCCTTCTGCACCAGCAACAACCTTTTTCAGTATATCAAACCGCTGACGAGTCAAAAGATATTTAGCTGTTGGATCAAAGTTTTTTGGAACTAAATCGCCATACTCTTGAAAGATAGGGAGTTGAATATTTGTACCAATTAGTTTTTCCAGTTTTTCCATGTTGGTTGGATCATGTAAATTACGGAGGTAATCATATTTGGGATTTGTTCTTTCCTTTCTTAATTGTTCAGATATTTCGCCTTCTAACCGATGCTTCCAACGATCAAGCAATTCGGATGATATCTCAATAAAATTACCTCTTATCAACTCGACAACCCATTCAGCAACAGCTTTACAAGTGGATTCTGGTACTAAAGCAAAGTCCTTGTTGCTTGTTATGACATTTGTGGCATATTGAATTTCTCTTTCAATAGAAAAATGTTCATTTCTCTTCTTAATAATATCCTCGGCAATCTTTGAAAGAGATCTCCCATCAAATTTCGCATCGTACAAAGGCTGTACTTGTTCTATGGTTAATCCGGCTCCTCCTTTTGATTCGGATTCGCATAATGCAGCCTTTGTTTGTTCTGCATTCCATAGACCAAAAAGTTTGGGCATCAAGGCATCATTGACCCAATTTACCACGCTTGAACAAGTATCAGAAAGGCGAAGTTCAATCATCCCATTCTTGTCCTTGAACTTGTCTTGTAACAAAGAAATAGCAGCTAGCCTTCCGACCTCTTTGATGTTATGAACAATGTTATCAAGAGAGTTTCCTTTGAAACCAGCGTCAACGAGAGGTTTGACATCATCAACGGTCAATGAGGCTCCACATTCACCTTTCTTCATACAAAGGATAGAAGCAACTTCTTCCTTTGTCCACTCATCGTAATTAGTGAAGGAGAGAACTATTGTGGACACTACTTGAATGGGAGAGTTATTATTAGCTGTTGGTTGTGGTGCTGCACTGATTGATTTTTGGTTGGGATCATCAGAAACAGTTGGTTGTTCTACATGGTTGTGCTCAGCACCACTTCCATTTCCTCCCAGTCCGTTAGAAGAAGAAAGACTTTTTGTTGTTACTTCATCTTTTGCCAACAAGGAAGATAAATGGAAAGAGCGTACCGAAGTGTTCCTTGTATGATGATGATTGGACAAAGATTTCCAGAGCGAGAGGTTAGAGGCTGAACCAAGTGTATCAACACCAAAAACTACACCTCTGAAAAACCGAGAGAAAGAGAGTGTTGATGAGGCTTGTTTACCACTAAATAAATGGCGAGCAGCGTTTTTCATCACGTCAAAATATTTTTTTTAAAAATTCAGATGAAAAGAACAATTATCCTAGCTCGAGAATTTAAATAATGAAGCTCCCAAGCATATCCTCGAGAAAAATTACCTGCACTATGAGCCAACTTTCGTGATGGTGGTAGCTGGATGCACTACCAGCCAAAAGGCTTCATAGCAACCAACCTCCACACAAAAAAATGTTGATCCAATATGTGATCCAGAACAAAATCTCTAATTACAAGCCTAAAATACCAAATTGCGTGAACGAACCCCTTTACAGTCATAAATTATTTACACTACAGGATTTCAATAAATTCTAATCATGCAAAAAAACCGATGTTGGTTGTTCAAGAGAAGCAAATACTCTCATTGTCTGTAAAAGATCAAGAATTCTCCCTATTGGCGGGAGGGAGCACCCCGTACCAACCAACCCTGTGGAAGTGGTATAAATGCCCACTGGTGGTACAGATTTTTTAGTTGAAGCATCCTAAGCTGAGGTTTCGTTTCAATCTTATCAATCACATCAAAGGATAAAGATTTAAACTCAAGTTGTATAACTCGTAAAGAATCTGTTTATTCGTTGAACTCGCGGAAACAACCTTTTTCAGGCGAAGGAGAATATATTGCATAGCTAGTTCGCTTATTAAGAGAGGTCAATGGGAATTCAACTAAACACACTCCTATGGAGGAACTTGATTAGTGTCTATGTGACGAGGTTCTGAGGTGCTCTCGTTTACAAGAATATTTAGTGGCATTATTTTTCATTACCTTGGAGGTACATTCAGAGTTGATTTTCTTCATTATTACACTTTAATGGGAAAGTATGCGATGAAAACAAGTAGTTCAGTAGTATTTTTAAAATCAAACAAACTTGTTTGATTTTCTTCATTAATACAACACCATGGAATTTCATCTCTCAAATTTTTGTATGCAAACACTACTATGGAGCAGTCTTTAACACGAGAAGGTTTGAAATTGTTTCATTTGCTTAATTTCGTATTGTTAACTTGTTGTTGATATTGCAAAGTCTTTAAAGCCGACATAAAAAAATGCCAAGACAACGCCAGCCAAAATCACATCATCAAAGAATATCAACACAAAGGAAAGCAATTTTTTACTGGAGGCAATTCCGTACAGAAGAAGCAACAGCTTTTCAACTCTTTCTCACTAAAACAGGGTTACAATCCGATCATTGTGGTGAATTATGCAACTCTCATGGAAGTAAATTCTATGCGTTCAAAAAAGAAATAGGACATAAATCGTCTCGGGATTGTGATAGGAATAATGTTGAGTGATGAGAACAATCTTGTTTGTGATCATGATCATACCAACCACAACAAAAAAAGCAAGGTTGAGAAAAATTGTTGTGGAATTTATCTGCAAGATTATGAACAATATTTGTTCAACGACAAAATTTATGATTGCACAAACCAAGTGATAGGAATACCGATCAATAACCGAATTTACTCAACCGAATGTAATTTAATAGTCAAAAAACAAGGATCAAAATGTAATGCATGTAAAACTCTTTCAAGAAAGTTAGGTAAATGGAACAAAATCATACATATGAAGACTTGTGTTCGAGTAAGTTCCGAGGGCGAGACCATCTTCAACATCCAACAATCATTGACAACCATATCAAGGATTTACGAAGTGAATTACAATCAATGAAAAGCGTGTCAGTTACTGAATTGGAAGTATATGAAAAATTGTTCAATATTATTGAACAATTTGCTCAACATCAAAATCTCTCGTTTTATGTAACAAGATTACATGACGAACTCTATCGTAAAATGCATCCTCAAACAACAAAACCATATCCTCCTGAGGTTGCTTATTATTGGGAATCTATACGTTTCCATTCATCTGAACGAGTGTTACAGCTTCTAAAAGGGAATAATAACAACAGCAATATTCATGTTCCTCATCCGGATTCCCTTAAGAATTGGTCAGGCCCACCTATTTATGTTCACCTATACACTGACGAAATTATTAAGAAACTAGTCACAACCACCACTATAGAACAACATGGATCATGATATATTGTAACCCGTTAGACCATGCTTGTCTTATGGTCAAATGGCTATGTTTTTGGATTAGATTCAGGTCCGGTTACACATACACAATTTTTACAAGAAAATTATTCTTCAGATAATTTTGCAAAGAACGCCACACAACTAGAAACAAATACAAGAATCAGTCATCCATTGAAGGATATTTATTGAGAAAATTTCTTACATCAACATCAATTTATGGAGACCCAATCCATTCAGGAACACAAACTCATACGATGAACAGTAGTCACATTCCACATAATCAATCAATACAATTCATATTTACACACTCTCCACAACATCCTCCATCAATATGTACTCAATAATTAACTCTCCAATTCAATAATCAAAAATTAAATTGAAAATAAAAATTTCACTCCTCATGATGCATACTATTGAATGAACTCTAATCAATAAACTCTACAAATTTCAATATTATTAGTAAATATCACTATCTCTCACATATATCATCAATGAATATTAGTGATAATCCTCCATTGAAAAATGATGTGAAAAAGAATTATAAAATGAATCAGTGGAGTGCCACATTAGAGAGAAGCAATCACAAATGCAACAATTCACATAAATGAATCACTCTCGTCTTTATGAACATTTTGATATCTAATAATCATCACTTGATTCGTCTTGAAATAGAGCTAGTCTTATCTCATTCAAAAATGTCATCCAAACATATTAAAATAATCATGACACACTCTAACATTTGGTGATCACAATAATATCAATATTCTTCAACAATAAATTTTTAAATAAATATTTTTCATTTCCAAAAAAATTCAATTATCTCCGACAAGCATGACGATATCCTTAGAATGGTCAAAATGTCATCAAACTTGATACACTCATATAACATACCTTTTTCTATCACTAGAATTAATTTCAAATCTTAACTCAATACTTAATCTTAATTCTAATAAAAATCAATCATTTCAACAAACTGCATAATGCTTTCATTCAATAATGGGAATGATTCAATGCATATATTCAGTGGCAATATTGTTGAAATGATAAGTGTTACAAACTGATCAAGTTTCATGATAATTTGTCAAGTAAAAATTCCGACATGACCCTCCTTACTATTGGCATATCAAGTCGACACAATTTGACCATGACGATGAGCTTTTCCTCCACAGAAAAGAACCAAGCTTTGTACAAATGTTGGAAATACTAATAAACACTCGTAGTGACAATTTCAAGCTCCAAATATGTCTACTTCATACTCTGAATGTTCATCAAAGCTTCTCTCTCCGAATGATATTAATATTGTTGCTAGAGTCCATACAATCATCTCCTATCATTTGATGATTCCTTTCAACAAGTAAATATCGTGATGACAGCCAAAACATCCAATTTATATTTGAACTTGAATTACCCAATAATGATAGTTTATCCTTCTCCATGTCAGGCATTGGATCCTTAGACCTTAATAGAACTTGGCATCCATATACTAACTCCTTTTGGAATAATTATTCACTCAAACCCTTCCAACAAAGACTACTATTTGCCCATTTACACAAAGCAGAAATTCTTAGAGACTTTGGTAAAGATTATCCAAATTGCCACATATGCAATTCCAAGGCCAATTTGGACCATGTTTTTATTTCTCGCGACATGTGTGGTCCTGAAATCAAATTATTATACTCCAAATGGGACGATAGTTCTCTCAAATTCAATTGTTATTTCCTTTTTAATAATTATCCTAAAATATTTATTAGTCCAAACCCCCTAATACTCTGTAATGTTTTGTGGACCCTCCCAGATACTCAAATACCCAACCTTAAAAATTTACCAAAAATTTACCAAAATTGGCCTGAAATTCAAAAAATTCTCACCTTACTAGTTGGTAAATGTCACACCAAATACTATGAAAACTTAAGATTCAAAAAACCAGTTCAAAACAATCCCCAATCCTCACGGATTTATCAGCACCATTAATGGTGCTAACAATAAACAAATTAGATTTTTTTCAACGTCCCACCCTGCTAATTTCAATCTTGTAATTAAGGGTTTGACGTTTTGATTTTGAAATATCACTGCCTCAATAATTGTTATGATCAAGTATTGGCCACATTCATTCGAATTCACATCATCAATAGACGCGGTCTTAGTGATGAAGCAAGAATGCAGTGGAATTAGAGTTCTTGCTTGAAACAAAATTGCGACCCTTGAGATCCTTGGTACTCGAAACAAGTTTTAGCAGTTCCATATTTTAGAGAGGGGATGGCTCATGTTTCTCTCAATGGGAATATTTACAGTATTTTATTTGATGGAGAAAAGAAGGATTTTCGAATTTATTAATTGAATTTAAATGATTTAGAATACTATGAAATGCCATCTCCGGTCCGACATGATGAAAATGGGAAGAAAAAATTGGAACATGGAAAGAGTGTTGAAGTTATATTTGCCAGTGTGATTGATCATGATATTTACATCTTGGCATGCTATATGATATATGGTGTACTTCCATCACCTTCTGCACTCCTTTTCGAAATTTCTTTTTTGGAAGATTTTGAGAGTTCGATGGAAGGTTTTTTAACTCAATCATACACACCAAATTGTGAACTCATTGATGAATCAAGTCAATACTATTGCATATCCTGCACTCCGTTGATAGGTGATTCTCAAAGAAAATGTTTGTATTTAATTGGTGGAAACGATTATCATGGAGACTTTCGAAACAATGGAAATGATGTCCTCAGTTGCTTCAGTCTCTCAAAGACTGGAGAAAGTGAAAAGAAAGTTTTTTGCTATAGAAGTGAACGGAGAAATCCTGCAATTCAAAGTGCTGCCGTTTGGTTGGAATGGTTCGCCTTATTGTTTTACACAGGTTATGAACGACTTTGTAATGATGTTAGAGTCGGAGGAGCTTCATCTCAGCAATTATTTAGACGACATTGGGATGTTGCACTTTGGAGAAGAACAAATTGCATGGAACAATATCGAGAAGGTAAAAGAAATGTTTACAATGCTTGGAATAGTGATAGAAGAAAAGAAGAGTACGCTTCAACCAAAAAAGATATTTCAACTTTTAGGAATGGTCGTGAATCTAAACGAGAAGACATTAACGATGTCCTTAAATACGATCCAGAAAATTCAAACAAGAATCAAAGTTGTTCTAAGTGCAAGTCGAAGGAAAGAGGAGATTACGGCGAGAGATATGTACAAAATTGCCGGTATTGTGATCGCTTACTTGGATTGTTTTCAGCCTGCACAGGTCATGCTGAATCCTATTTATTCGTTTGTGTTGAGTTATGCGAATCGATTTGGATGGGATATTGCGTTTGTGTTAGAAAATCACCAAGTAATTCACAACCTTCAATGGATATTAGCCAATCTAATCCTTTGGAATGGAAAGGTGTTTCAAATCCCAAGTTTGATCAATTATTTTTGGTCAGATGCATCTTCAACTGGATATGGAGCGTATTTCAAAGAGAAAGGTCTAAGGATTCAAGGAATGTGGTCAGAACAAAAGAAAGATCATATAAATGTATTGGAAGTAAGAGCTATCTGGAAAGATATATTAACATGGAAGGATATTCTAAAAGGAAGACATTTAATTATTTATACGGAATCAAAGGTAGCTTTAAGCTCGATCCGGAAAGGAAGTTGCAAAAGCCCTATCATGAACAGATTAATTCAATCAATTTGGAGAATTATATTCGATAACAATATTCATCTGTTGTCGTTGGAGTGGCTACCATCAGAACACAACCAAATCGCAGACAGTTTGAGCAGACAGATCACCCAAAAAACAGATCCGACAGATTGGGAAGTAGTTCAGCAGACTTGCAACCAAGTGCAGCAGCACTTGAATGTATCGATTGGGAACGATCGTTTTGCGTCACATCACAATTACAAAGTGATACCATACACCACACGCTATCAGTTGAGCAGGGAGGACAAAGCAGACGCTTTTTCAACTTTGTGGACAGAACCATTAATCAACTGGTATTGCATCCCGTTCAACCTGGTAGGGCGAGTCATGCTTCATTGTATGGAATCCAAAGCTCAGATGATTCTAATTCACCCAGTCTGGAAAACAAGATGGTGGTGGCCTCTAATCCAAAAATTCCAAGTTTCATTTGTGTAGAGATGAATGGAAGTGATTTCGCTCCTTCTGTGAGCGGAAACGTCGAACCCTGGAAGAAATCAACGAGAGTGGTAGCCAGTTTGATAGACTTTCGATGAGCAGATTAAAAGAAGTGGCTATAGTTATCATCTCCCATAAAAATGAACAGTCTACAAGTTTAAATTATGACAGGTATTGGAATAGAATGATTGATTTTGCAATTGAATATGGATATTCACCTCCACCCTCGGAAGAACTGGTTCTTGTTTTCCTAACTAATATGTTCCTTGATACCCCGTCAGGTTATAATTGTAGAGCTGCACTTTTTGCCATTAAGAATATGTGCAAATTATTCGGTTTTAGAGATCTCACAGAGCATTATCAAGTGACAGATTTAATTAAGGGAATGTGCAATCTATCACCTGTGGCACAAAGACGGAACAGATCTCCATGGTCTATTGAATTCATAGAAAGATGGATCCAATCAGGCCTTCGATTTGTGGACTACAGGAATTACGTTTTATATACAACTATTATGATTATTGATTTGAGAACAATGTTTCGTGGATCAGAGTTAGGAGGTATTATGAAGGAAGATATAGATTTCGTCACATGTCTTGTTATAGGTATGAGAATATTGGTAAGACATATTAAGAACAGGAAGGAAGGACGTACTGCATGTGTAGAGACAACTGGAAACAGTTTGTGCCCTTTGAGGTGGATTAATAAGTTAATGTCTGTTCGACCATCTGGTCCTTATCTATTTGCAGGAATAGTGTTCGGATGGAGACAACAGATATATCATATATTCTGAAACAAGTGGCAAAATGGACTCATGTGGAGGGTAATTTTTCATCTCATTCGTTGAGAATAGGAGGAGCTTCGGAAGCAAGTTTTGCTGGTTTTTCAGAAGCAGCAATCAAGGCAATTGGCGATTGGAATTCGGTCGACAGATATTTTCGATCTGAATTCTCAGGTTCACGTAACGTGTCCCAACAGCTTGATTTTTAGCTAATAGGACTCATAATTCTTCGATTTTACTCGTTGGATCGTTAAATTGTTAGTAAGACCTCAGATTTACGTCAGTTTAGAAGGATCCAACGATAAAATCGACATTGTAATACCTGAGAAAAATAACTTTTAAAAAATAGCATCATTTGCCATTACCATTGTCATCCACACACTCATGGAAAATATCATCACAAAATTCCCTTTCAGCCTTCTAAAAAAGCTCCCACGCTCCCACCCTAAAAACTGGAATTCAGATCGAAAAATTTGCCAAAAGGTAAGTGTTACAATTAAGGTTATAGAGCACACTTGGTGTGTTCTGGTTTAAAAGTGCAAGGGATGGCACCTTGTTATGATTAACGTGGTTGTTTGTGGGATTTTCTGCATATTTTGTCAATTAACTTTATTCAGCTTGATAATCGTAGTGACATTTACCAACTAAACTAGTAAGGTGAGAATTATTTGGATTTCAGGCCAATTTTGGTAAATTTTTGGTAAATTTTTAAGGTTGGGTATTTGAGTGTCTCGAATCATTACTCCGTCATGGTGGATGATGAAAACTTTTCTTCTATCACAGTATCTTGATTCTTGATAATCGTTGAGGATGCATCTTATTGAATAAAGTTAATTGACAAAATATGCAGACGGATTTACCAGCACCAATGGTGCTAACAATAAACTAATTAGATTGAGCTGTGTTCATCAATTTTTCCAGTATTCCCCCTGAATTTTATAACGCAGCATTTCCTGAACCCGGTTTTGTTTTACTTTGTTTTCCGCTGAAAACTATATTTTATAAATTCTCTAGTAAGATGGAATTTTATTGTTTGTTGTAAATATCAAAATTGGTTGAGCAATATCTATTTAATTTTTCAATCATATTATTTCATTAGTGTTATGAAGTCGATGCAAATCTTATTTATTCACATCCAATCTAGTATACGCGAAATGTGACATATGCGACGTAGAATAAATAATCCGTTCTATCAACCAATTGATTTTACAACAAAATTAGGAATAATAATTATTTGAAATATTCACCAATTCTCTCACAGGTCTAGCAAGAAAGAACTTGTGAGATTTCACCTTAAGGCGTCAGACACGTCAACACTTCTTTCCAAACATTAATTTCCATAATTGAAAATTTTCTAAATTTATGAATGCATCATGCGCTTTGTAGTGAGCACAGCAAACAACACTTGTAACAACAACGCCATTCTCAATGATGATTCTTAATGATGATGAACAAGAGGAATACACCTGCTTGAATGTGTTTAATAAAATGTCATTGCCAAGTCCTTCTCCTCTAAAAACTCTCCCATATCACAACAACCACAATATCATCAATCCTTCCTTTGAATCCAACGAAACCACCACCAACATCACCACTGAGATGATGAACGACCTCAATATATATGATGAGGATGCACTCTTTCTTCAATCGCTCTTCCAAATGTTCTTCTCATTGACCAACAAGCTATTTCGTCATTTCCTCATGCATCACCAACATCTCATGGCACCCATCGTTTGCGCCATGAGTGGTGGTTTGATAGGAGGAGGAATTCCCTACCTTATCCTTTCTTACAATAACAACAACTGTTCAATTTCTCATTCATGGAATCATTGGAATGATCAATATCGTCGTCGTCAAAGAGAAAATCAATCCTTCTCATTATGGCGAGGAGTGTGTGTGGTGAGTGGAGTCTTGTTGGGTTTCATGATGGCCAATATGTTGTGTAGAATGTGTGTGGGATTTCAGACGTGGAAAAGAGCGTGTCGATTGTTCATGTTGGATTTTCGGAATATCCCTTAAGTGCGTTTTTTGATTCAAATTGGATCTATTCATGCATGTGATTAGTGTTGAAAGAAGTGTGAATCCGACTTGGTTTCCTTGTAGAACTTCAATAGTTGGAGGAGGAAAACATTTTTAAATTACAACTTCACACTGGTCAGTTGAACATTTATTCTCTACTGGAATTCTGATCTTAATTAATTGAAATAAAGGAAATTTCTGAATGGATGATTTGAAAAAGACATAATGATTATTATTTATACCCTATATATTACTCATAGGTACAAATGGTCTTATTTTCAACGCAAATATTCTCCTTTGCCTTTTCCACACAAACTTGTCGACCACCATAACCGACATATTTGGTACAAATTCTTTGGCCTGGTGATCTCTTCACACAAACAGAAGTGGATGAATATTCAGCACATCTTGGCTTGGTGACACCCCAAGATTCACAAACTTCTTTTTGTCCATATTTGGTACAAGTTTTCACCGATTTCGAAGACAAACACACTGGAATCTTCTTGGTTTGGGTGCAAGTTCCACCAGAAATGGATCGCCACTTGGTACAAATCTTTTCAGTCTTTGGTCGGACACAAATATTCACTGTTTGATATTTGGAACAAACAGAATTGGGCTTGTTGGATGGTTTGCATACTCTTCGAGTTCCATATTCAGCACATTTTCCTTTGACAGTACGAGTGGCCCAAGCACTGCACTTATTTTCACAACAAACATCAAAGTAAACAGTTCTGCATCTTCGAATTGGAGTCTTACTGCATGGACAAGTAGTGGTGGTACAGGTTTCTCGTTTTCCTTTTTTACATTGCTTCTTATAGGCCTTACAGTAACGAGTTTGAGTGGGTGGAAGTTGTCTCAAACATTGTCTCACTGTTTTGCATTCAGTTTGTGGAATGGTCTTTCGAGAGACACATTTTGTGACAGCCTTGTATTGAAGACATCCAACCACACGACTGTCGTATCGTTCACAAGTTCTCTTGGCTCCACGTGAGGAGGAAACACAAACTTCTTTTTCACCATATTTAGTACATTCCTTTCTTAATTCTTCCTTGAGACAAGAAGTAGTCAGTCCCTTCTTGACACAGGTTTGACCACCTGCTACATATCTCTTACACTTGTTAATGAATTTTTGTTCAATACATTGTCCTTGGTTGACCAAATCCCATGAAATACATTTTTGTTGTTCACCTTCCATGACATATTTCAAACACTTGCCAGCTCTTTCAGAGTATCTGACACAAATATTTGAACAAGTTTGCTTTCTCTTGGTACATTCATATTTGTAGCATGATCTTCCACTATCAGTTGAATATTTCACAACTGTGAGTTGTTCTGATTCTGGATCACAAGATTTCATTTCTGGAGTTGGACATTCTTCATGAATACATTTGAAGGACTTGCACAAAACTCCATGATAAATGGTTTTGACTTCAACTGGAATATCTCCCGGAGAACATTTTGGTTCGTCAACAAGTGGACAAACCACATCGACGCATCTGAATTTTGGACATTTTCTTCCATTGACAATAATGTCCTCCGATTTGAGAATTTGACCTTGCTTACACTTGAGATTACGAGTTTCTCTAATCTCAGCTGGACATCCAGTATTCACACACTTGTACTCGGAACATTCAATACTTCCATATTTGACTTTGCTTTCACTCAACACCCATCCTTTAGAACATTTCACATTCTTTGAATCGAGGAATTCTTTTGGACATTCCAATGGAACACATGTCATTTCTGGACACCCTGTCACTGGATTAGTAGAGAATTTACGAGTTTGACCTTCTGGACACTTGTCAAATGTTTGTTTTGGACATTCTGGAACTTTTCGAACACAGACCTTTCGATCACAGAGTTTGTCTCCAAATTGAACTTGTCGTGTGACTTGTTCGTAGCCTTCCTTACATTGCTTATCTTGTTGGAAGATTTCTGGACATTTAATTTCAGTAGGTGGTGGTGTGTCTTCCTTCTTACATTTCTCAATCTTTCTCTTCTTGCAGACATAGACAGGACATTGTTTTCCATTTTTAGAAATAAGTCTAACCACTCTTCTCTCAGTCTCCTTGTTACACTTCAAATCAGAGTTCAAACTTGGACATTCCTCATTTGGTGGTGATGGTGGCTCCACAACTTCCTTCGATGAACATTTGGTCAAATATTTAATTTTTTCAATCAAACTTTCATCGATGAATTCTCTTCTCTTACATTTGGCTGGGAGTGAAATTGAAAGTTTTTTCATGAGCTTACGGATACGAGTTGGAATGTATTGTCTTGGATTCCATTTATCTCCCAATGCTTGTTTTTGTGCGAGGAGTTGATCAAGTTGTTTGTTGATGTTCTTCTCTTCATCAGCGTTCATGCGATGAGCTGACAAGAGACAGAAGCAAAGAATCGCCAACACGAGGATGAAGAGGTTTCTCGAGATGGATGACCTCTTGGTGGCGGCGGTTGTTGTTGGCAGCGTCATCCTGTGTGAAGTGAATGAACAGTTTTTGAATTTTTTTTCGCTGGTGGAGTCACCCTTCAACTGTCGCGTTTCAAATTCACAAATAATTTGCGAAGGATCATTTCAAGAGAAATGGACCAACCAAGTCACCAAGAATAAAAAAATGTTGAATTGCCAACTTGGGAGTCTTTAATTCCTACCCAATGTTCAGTGAACACACACTGTGTGAATCTGTAGTCTTCCAAAACAACTCTCGCAAGTGTTATTTATGATTCATGTTGTCGAGATTGATAACAATCTATTGAAAACATCGTGCATGTTCGTGGAAAATTTCATAATTTAATTTCTTCTTCGCACATGCAAAAAATCAAAATTTGCAAAAATTGATGAAAGGTTAATCACTACCAAAATTCCCAATTTATCAATCAATTGCATTTCCACAGGATCACTATTGTCACAGAATATTGAAATTTCAAAACATGTTCCACAAATGATCATGACAACTACTATGGACAACGAAGCAATTATCATGCTCAAATTCATTGAAAATATCCACATACATGGTGTCAACCATTTGGGCTTGTCGATGAAGAAGCAACAGAAGTCACATGACTCGAAGCTGCCATTTCCATGCAGACCTTAAAAAAATGATTTCTCACTTCCTCATCTGAAATGACTTGTTGTGACCATTCTTTGGTAATTTCCTCATTTCCTCCTCCATCTACAAAAAAGATCGATGCATTTCCAACATTCTTTGAGACGTTTCGTTTCTTTCTTTTCGATGAAATTTTTGGTGGATTGAAAATAAACTGAAAAGACATGGGATAAACCAATGGAAAAATTGGTAAATGTCGAATTTCATCATAAAATTGAGGCCATTTTTCCATCCCCAATTCATCTTTCAATTCGTAAAACCGTCGTTTCAATGTCGATAAACTGCATTTCAATACAGTACTTGCTTGAGTTTGAGGTAAATGCAATACTCTTAATAATTCACTTTTAGAAATGAGTGTTTTTCGTTTGTGAAGAGATGATGATGATGCATGTTCATTACTCATAAATAAAACATGTGTTTCGTAGGGAGAGGGATTTCCTCCAATGATTGAGGAATGTGAATGTGTAGATGAACTTGCGAGTAGTGGTTGTTTCCTTCTAGTGCTCAATGATGTTGTTGTTGTGGATGCTGATGTTGTTGTGATTGGTGGTGGTGGTGTTGTTGTTGTTGTTATTGAAGGAGATGTTGTGGACGGAAGGTTGATCATTGAAGGAGATGATGTTGTGGATGAGGATGATGAGGGAGTGGGCATGTTCACAACCTTCTCATGTTGTGATGATATCATGCTTAAAGAGGAGAAGGATGTCGGTGGTTGTGGTGATGAGTAGTAGTAGTACATGCATGGCGAGGAACTCTTGATCATGTTTCTATTACTACTACTACTACTACTACCACTATCATCATCATTGGATGCATGGATCATGCTTGATGAATCAATAACAACAACATTTGAAGGATTCATTGATGTTAATGTTGTCGTCGATACATGTGCATTGGCAGGCTGCTGATGATGATGAGAGGGTGACAAAGATGGATTATTTTGAAATGCAGAATCTTGATGTAAGGAGGGAATGATGGACGATGTGGTGCGTGTTCTCTCTTGCTGCTTACTAAATGCAGCATGAAAGATCGTGTTTGCTTTTTCTTCATGCATGGAAGACCAATCAATTACTGAAGAAGAATGTGGAGGAGAGAGGCGACTCGTGTGACTGCCTGTAGTGGTGGTAGAGGATGTTTTTGGAGGAAGGTTGTTTTTGTGGTTTTTGGGAACGGTCCGGAAACGAGTTGTGAGACCTTCTGGTTCGTGGTGAGACGGTGATGATGACAAATTGGATGGTGGTGGATCTTTTCTTGAGCCATATTGGTCCAAATAGTTCTTGTCGATGACAAGAGCGGTATTAGTGGTGTTTGCATGTTGTTGAGGTGATGGTGAAAGAGGTGAAGAAAGAGGTCGTGAGGAAGGACTTTGTTTGATTTCAGCACCGAGATTACCGGCACTTTTGCATCTTTGGATCTTGGATGGATCTTTTGTTGTGGTCTTTGGTGGAGACAGTTGCTGATGTAGGAGTGGTAATGGAACATGCTCTAATTGTTGATGATCAAATAAAGAAGTCTTTGAAGTTGTGTGAAATGATATGTTATTATTACTCACACAAGAAGAAGATTCCACTCGAAAGGTTGGTAGAGGTGGTGTTGTTGTCGATGGGTTTGGTCGATCCTGTTGTTGTCCTGATCTTTGCATTTGTGTGTTGTTGGTTGTTGACAACAGCAGAAGAAGTGGCGAAGGTGGTGATGAGGTTTCTTTTTGTTGTTGGATTTGTGTATTCTCCAACAACTTTTCTTGATGAATGTTTGTAGTTGATTTTGTGGAGTGTGCATCGACATGTGTGGTGGTAGTGGAGAAACAAGAGGGTTCTTTTTGTGGTTCAAGATCAACCACCCTTCCACATGAATGGGTTGAAGAAGAGGAACAAAAGGACATGTCTGTTGTTGTTGTTCCTCTCGGTGGAGATGGAAGACTCTTTCGTTGATTGTTCAGAACTACTGCTGAATGGAGAAGGAGGCTATTGTTGGTATCTCTTCGAGGAGAATCGTCGTCGTCGTGTTGTTGTTGTGGTTGTTGTGGTGGTGGTGGATCATGTTGTTTGTTTGTTATCATTGACGCTTGTGGAGTTTTCATGCTTGTGATAGTACTGAAATGTGCAATCGCACATGCATGAGACAAATGAGGAGACGAACACATTGATGACATCCAGACAGGTACTTGTGGACAAACAAGAGAAACTTACTGAAACGTGTTGTGAACAGAATTGGTAAAGGAAGTTGTCTATGGCAATAGGATGATGATTTCCAACAAGCAATGAATGCTCGTCCATAGAACAGAAAGGACTTTGTGGATTGCGCCACGATCAACGATGATAAAGTAAGGTTTGAATATCACCACTTGCAAGTCCAAATTGGTAGAAGGAGAGAGTGAAATTGGCTATTTTGGCGGCTCTTGTTCGTTTTGGTGGTGTCGTTAGGCGAAGTGGGAATATATTTGTTGAACCGAGAAAGAGTGAAGTGGTAACAACAACACAGCCACAACATCAAATGGTCTTTAGTGTTGCCGGTCACAACAAAGAACGGACAATAGTCAAGCTACAAGAAACAAACTTTGAGACTTTTTTTCTTTGTGTCTGAAATGGTTCATGCGATTGGTTGCCGAACATGTCACAAAGATTCGGCAAATTGGTAGTAGAGCCGAGATAACGCTTGTCAACCACAACATGGCCAACACGACGCATGAAATGTGTACAAATCCCTACAGGGTTTTATTTAGAAGTTAGGATTGCTTTTTTCTCATGACCAAATGGTGAATTTAGTAATTTACAATAGAGAGATACGAAACCGATTTTCCTTTTTCCCATTCATGCCTTATTGATCAATCACATTCATCTCTCTCAGCCACAAAATCCATCTTATCTCTTCTTAGATCATTGTCTTCCATATCACTTGATGATCGTTTTGGTTGTTGTGGTTGTTGATCGAAAACATCCTCTTCTGCACGCAATGAGTTCCAATATTGGTCAGTGACCATTCTTCGAGTGGAATATTGTGAAAAGTAAGAATGCACATAGGGTGATTCTGGTTCTCTCTTTTCAATGCTCACATATTCTCTCAAATCGTAACCAGTGTATTTCTGACGTGGACGGAAGATTTTCAAGTTGGGATCTAGAATCATTTCACGCCAATGAGCGAGCCAACCTGCAACACGAGGAATGGTGAATCTGTTGTTATTGTTGTTGATGTGAAGAGATTTAATTATTTGTCACAATGTGTGCATAGTTATTGACAAGTGTCAAAGATCCAAATCAATTTTAGAAGTACGGGATGTGTTTTAATTGAATGAATAGATCATTAAGGAAGAGAGATGAGTTAAAATTGTACCTGTCACGAAACTTACAATACTGGGAACATGTCAGTCGGGAATCCAAGTGCTAAATTACAAATTTCCAAATGCATCAAAATTTGCATAATTTGTTCATGACATTTGACATGGACGAAAATGTACAATATCACGTGTGGTTGTTTTGAAAAATCAACACATGTCAACATTTGTTGTTTACAAACATCATCAACACCTTACCTTGATAAATCAGTCCAGAATAAAAGTCAATGTTAGGGAACAACTTTCTGCTCACAAAATATTCATCTTGTAGAGCTTGTTTTTCCAATTCTTCGGCAATGACCCACAAACCACTCTTTCCACAAATTTCAAACACTTCCTTGGCAACTCCTTTTAATATTTTTGCACGTGGGTCATAATTTTTGTAAACACGATGCCCGAATCCCATCAATTTACGTTTCTTATTTTTAACATCTTGTAAGAATTGAGGAACATTCTCAGGTTTTGCAATTTCTTCGAGCATGTGAAGAACTGCTTCATTGGCACCTCCATGCAAAGGACCATACAATGCTGATAATGTGACAAAGAGATGATCATATAGAAACATGTAATGATCATTGACATGTAACAACACAAACATGCGATGATTGATCATCAATAAATGCATGTTCGGAAATATTTTGAAAATGATGTTGCTACTTACCTGCAGCTGAGGCGCTAACTGCAGTATATGGATCTACAAGTGAACTTCCAACATGACGCATAGCAGCTGTCGAACAGTTCAACTCGTGATCAGCATGAAGAATAAATAATACATCGAGAGCTTTTGCTAATCTTGGATGAGGACGATAATTGGGTTCAGAAAGTCTATCAAGCATGTACAAGAAGTTTTCAGTATAGGACAAGTGCTGTTATGTGTGTACATGCGTACAAAATAGTTATGATTGAATGGTTGTAAAGTGCGAGAAAATTTGAAATAAATCAATGTATGACTCGGATTTGAACCAAATTGACGGAACATTTTGAAATAAACTTACATTTACAGGAGTATTGTAGGGACGTCCAATTCTGTGACGATATGCACAAGCAGCAATGGTTGGAACTTTTCCTAACAATCTGAAAATTTGCTTATTTCGCTTATTTTCATCTTTGTAAACATCAGTTCCTACGAGTGCTGGATTTGCCTCTGCATAGAAAGTTCCCAATGCACTTAGACCGGAGATTAGAATTCCCATAGGATGAGCCTATTGGATTTTGAGATTGGTGCATTCCACAACATAAAATTCAAGAAAAATGAATTAGGCATTACTAATTCTCAAATAGTGAACTTACATCGTAACGGAATGTCTTCAACATGGAAACCAAATTTTCGTGAATGAATGTATGAGTCGTAATCTTCGAACACCAGTCCTTGTATTGAGATTGAGTTGGCAGTTCCCCATAAATGAGCAAATAAGCCACTTCGAGAAATGTTGATTTTTCAGCCAACTCTTCAATACGATAACCTCTATAACGAAGCTCTCCCTTTTCACCATCAATGAAACAAATCTTGGAATCTGCGACTGCTGTATTCATGAACGAAGGATCAAAACACCTGTTGTGTTGAGGGTGATCAAGTAGTAGTGTAATTGGATCAATGAATGGATAGATACGAATTATAAAAGGAAAACCCATCATCATGATGATTGATGCCATTCATTCAAACACTTACATAATTCCATTCTTATCCTCACCATCAACAACCATCTTTTTAAAGTGCGTACTATTGATGAAATAACCATCTTCAATAGGAATTTCAAAACTCTTGCCAGTACGATTATCCGTAACAGTCAATGTATTCTTCTGGTTGTTACTTGATGATTTCTGATCTTGATCGCACGAAAGGTTATTATTGCTGTTGTTGCTGAGGTTCATGGGACTAGAACAAGAGGAAGACTGTTGGCTCATTTTTTTGATTTGAGTTTCCTTCTTGGTCGCTTGGATTTATTCTTCCATTACACTTTTGGAGGAGAATAGGAATTTTGTGTCGGGGAGATATGAAGGTGTTGTAAACATGATTTCTAATATTGGGATCAGCTGATTGATTTAATGAATTACAGTTGAGGATCATGTTGGTGTGATGACTCAATGATTGAGGTTTACAGTAGAGAATCTAATGGATCATTGGCACGTTTGGAAAAGAGACTCCAATGAGGATGATTACAAATGAAAATCTTTCAATTCTTTCAGTTCTCCCCCCAATAAATACTTGTTTGAGCAAATCACTCGAATAATGTTGCTAATAGCCAATGCTAAACTATACAAGGCTTGATATGGATGAGGCTTTGGGCTATTTTTTCTCGTCCCTTTTTCTGCAATCTCATTTCGTGAAGGAAAGAGTAGAACCATCCATTCCAAAGGATGGCGTAACGTGGAAAAAATTTGGCCGTCGATATAATTATCCTCAATGACTTTTTTCAAACAATTATGATCAATTTTCTTGTATCGAAGGAATTCAATGACTTGCTTGGTTGTGAGTAATCGACAATCGACATCATTTCCAATAAATCCAAACTCGACAGACTCAAAGCTAGCGGTGGATTCAAACATGCCTCCTTTCTCGGATGATGTGTAAAAGAGAGGTTTGCTTCCCTTATTCTTTTCAAATTCTATAAAAGACTCATTGAAATGATTAGCATTTTCATATAAATTATTCAATTGTATGTAAAGTTTTCTGAGATCATTGAAAGTGAGATTTTCATTAAACGATATCGACTCGCTCATGGCATTGACATTAATCCTATAAAGTGAAGCATTTGTTTTTGATGTTCCATTCTTTGGTTCCAATCGGAAAAATTGAGAGGCAATCAAGTGATCCATGATGAAATTTTGTTGAAACATGAAAAAGTCATTTTCATCTTCGGGATCAAACTTTTTTCCCATTTCTTGACTCGGTGAGGAAGAGGCATCATCATTGTTAGGATCTTGCTTCCTGTCCATTTCATAGCTCTTTTTTAATTTTAATAATTGATCCAAATTTTGCAAACGTTGTTTCACTATCGAATGTATTGGTAAATTATCAAATTTGCCTGTTCCTCTCAAGTTGCTAGAATTTTGTTGAGGCGGCACTGATGATGAAATGACAGAACCCGAACGACCACCACTACTTGATGATGGTTGTAAAAAGAGACCAATCAAGCCTTGAAGTTCAGTCGTCTTCGGATCCATTTGAGAGTTTTCCGAGTTTGAACTGCCAGTATCATAAATAGAATATGGATCATAGAGTGAAGCACATGAATTTCTTGCCTCTAACATGGCATCAGCATTGCTTCGTATGGTCTGAAAAGAAGAGAGTAATTTTTCTCCCGAGTCGATGGTTGAGAGAAGAGGATTATTCTTTCCAAAGACCGAGTCCGTGAGAGGCCCTAGCCCAATTCTTTCAAAGAATAATTCAACATCTCTCTTTTGCCAACTCTCGGCATTGTTACTTCGGAAGGATGAGCTTCTTCCAAGAGATTTGAAAATGTTCATTTTTTTTGACGAGAATGGATTTTTCACCCGAATGAGGAATTTGATCTTGACATTGCATTTCTCATTGCATATCTCATTCTCTTTATTCAATTGTTTAATAATTATTTGCTCGAAATTCGAAAGCATGTTTTTGTTATCATCACCTACTAATTATGATGATTAGCTCCAAGCGACCATAAAATACGACAACAACAAAATCATTTGTTTTTTAATTCTGATGAGAAACTCTCAAAAACACAAAAAACTTCCACAACACCCGTTTGGACTGAAAATCCATAAACTCACCACGACTCGTACACTCACAGTCAATACGGACAGAATAAACATTAAAAATGGAAGAAGGAATTCAATCTTCAGAGTATCATCTTTAAACATTTCTTGAAAATTCGATGACTTGATTTTTGGCAGTGTTGAAATCTCCTGACGCAATCGATGCCAAGGCATTATTCATGGAAGTGAGACCATTGGAGTAAACTCTTGTCTCTGTACTCAATTCACATTCATTCAAATAAGTTTGAATAAAACCTAAAATCTTGACCACATATTTGGCATAGAGAGTTGTCAATGCCACTCGAGGATTAGTGACATCTGCCAAAGTTAATCCACTCGAGCTTGATCCAGAATTCACTGTCACACTCACATATGGATTAGGAGCATTGGCATTGAAAGCAACACACTCACTGGCATAAACATTTCCGTCAGCTGCCAACACTGGAGCAAAGATAAGAGTACAAGCGCTTGGTTGTGTTGGTCTTGGTTGAACAGTCGTTCCACTCTCGCTTAGAATTCCACCCAAATTAGTATTCACATAACCAAATGCATTATTCAATTCCAAAACGACAGGACTCAATGTATTGGAAAAAGTGGCACCTGGAGTGAGACCAGCCAAAACTAATTGCAACAACAATTCAATCCATCGATTCAAACACACCAACAAGGCTCGACATTGTCTATATTGAGACAATACAGAAATTTGGAATGTGTAGGAAGTAATGGTTGCGAATGCATTGGCACAGTTGGCACTTGTTGGAACATAAACATCAATGGATGGTGTAGGTGTTGGTGGTGGAATTCCAACAGGTGGAGATGGAGAAGGTTTTGGAGGTGGACAAGTGGGTTTTGGAGGTGGTGGAGGAGGAATGTACTTATTCATTGAATCGGCTTTACCATAGTTCACACTCATGAAAAGAAGTGTGGAAAGAAGTAATACAGCAAGGATGATGTTGGAGAGTTTCATCCTTAGGGTTGATGAGTATAATGATGTGAAAAGGTTTGGGTTATTATATATCGATGGTTAGGACTGAAGAAAGTTTTTTTTCTTTTGGTTCGTGGTTTCCAATGTGAGTGAAGAAGAATTTATATCCGAGATGTGTTTGTATTAATCATGATGTGACTTGTCATGAATAGTAAGCATACGAGAAATAGCGAGTGTCTTTTTTTTGAAAATGGAAGATTTTGAGTAATTTCTAAAATAAGTAATTCACCGGTAATTCGAACGACCACATTCCAAATTCATAAATAAAGGAATTCCAATAACAATTGTAAACGAACATGATGGTACTCCAAGATAATTGAAACGTACATTTGTAGTTGAAGTGTTGTTGTGATTGTGGAGGGTTTCAAGTGACGTTGGTGGTCAACTTCAATTTCCAAACATTTCCTTTTCTATTTTTAACAAATCCAAATAACCATTCTGCAAGACGCTCACAGTACGGCCACCATTCAATTTCTTCTCATACTCCATTAGTTGATGGAAGAATCCTTCATTGGGCATGATCATTCTTCTTCGTTTTTTAACTAATTGAAAAGCAAATAAACATCCAACTCCCATCTTTTTCATGACATAGGAAATGATAATTGTGGATGAGCGTGAAACACCAGCTGCACAGTGTACCAATACAACTCCAGAATTGCTTATTGCATCTTCAATAAATTCATAACATTCCTGGAAGTAGTGTGAAATTGGGGCATTCTTATCATCGTCTATGGCAACTCTCATGTATTTAATTTCTCTTCCTGTTTGAGTATGGGATTCATTGTTGTGATCAAACTTATATTTCTCAATCATGGCTTCCTCTTCTAAATCATTTTTCATGATGCATTGATCCTCCAATGAATTTTCAATGGGGTCAGAATTTTGAGAATGAATAATTTTTTCACCATGATGTGAATGATGAATGTGATTCTTTTCAAATTTGTTTTCAATATTCTTTGTACAATTTACAATGTGTGTAATGTTCAAATAGTCGATGGATTTTCGATTGGTTGCTTGAAAACAATCTCCCAAGTAGACACTATTCGAAAAAATGCAACTTGGTAAATCTAATTTTTCACTGATGGGTTTTGGAATGATGGTCGATGAGGTTCGAATAAGCGTAGAATAATTTCGATCACTATTTGATGAGGGTTCGATTGGTTTATGATCTTGTTTCTTTTTTGAATTGTTTTTGTGTGACGTGTCTTTTTCAAAATTTGGTGATGATTTTGTTCGTGTCAAGCCACCTGTCACATCATCCAGTAAAAGTGAAGATGCCTCGACAACTGTTGCTGATTTCTCCTCTATCAGGAGGATGATAGATAATTGAAGCATAATGTCACACAAATATTAGAAAGATGGTTTCACAATTTTCAACATTCATGGATCATTGACATGATCATTCGAAAATAAATTTTCAAATTTCACGATAAATAGATCAATTCAAAGGACATGAAAACACTCACCTCCAGAAGAAATCCTTTTAAATTGTATTCTCAAAAAGTCATCCCGATTGGCCACAATAAAACGTCTTCCTTTTCTTTGCAGTCCGCTTTCTTGTTGTTGTTGAAACAGTGTCGAAGGTTTTACAATTTTATCTCGAGATTGCTGATCCGAAGAAGACGATGTGTCGACCATGGTCGGCAAATTGACTGAAATTTGTATTTTCGAATTATTCTCATTATTTTTGTTATTGGAGGAATACAAGTGACGCATGTAGGACCTCATGATGATGAACGTCAATGAGTAATGATGATGATGATTGAATTATCAAGTACACTCTCTCAGAAGTCATCCATGACCTTCTGTGGCTTGGGGTTTTTTTTACAACAACAAATTTGGTAATCGTTCATCAAAGCTCTTGTTTATTGACAAGTTTTCGAAAATCGAGATGCCCATCGCTTGTGAGGAAACTTCTCATTGTTTTCCTGTAGTGATTTAATGATACCTAGAGGATCATCCAGATTCGAATCAAGACCATTCAATGAAACCAAGCTTGTTCGATTTTTTCCAGTTTTGGCCAAAGTATGGTTGGCGTTTGACACACCTTGTTGACATCTTCTCCTCTCAAAAATTATATTAAGGGCATTCAATATCCGAATGGCTCTTGCCTTGATCTGTTGTTTGCAACGAAAACTCGATTCACAGCTGAAAATATTCACAAGTACAGAACTATTTTTCAAGACTGGATTATTCTGAAAAAGGAAATGTGAAAAGTGTTGTTTCGGAAGTGGATGTTCTTGAGATCGGTTCTTTCTCGCCTTACTTAAAATGGAAGTTAAATCTTTGCTGGAAAGTGAAGAAGTGTTTTTAGAAACTCCTCGATCCAGTGTTTTCGAAATGTGAATGATTGTTTCAATATCGGGATCGTAAACAGTGGTTTGAATGTATTCGAGAGTTCTTTCTTTTTTGGAAAATAAAGAAGTTGGATTCAAAGTTAATAGACGAGAGGAGGTACAGAGTTGAATACGAGGGGAGGAAGAGCCAGAGTTGGAGAGACTGGAGGTGGTCGAAGAGTTGTAAACACTTGAATCGAGCATGGAAGGGTCATCACTGGACGGAGACAAAGAACTGACAAATGACACTTGAGGAGTGATGGAACCAAGAGTGCAATCTCCGGAGGTGGTCAATGAATCACTCACGTTGAATTCCTTATTTCTTGGTGTAGAACCCTCACTTCGAGGAGTCGACATTTGATTATTGTTGTTACAGTAACAATGTTGCACATCCATCACGTCGTCCATCAATTGACGAAATTCCATGGAAGCAAACACTTGAACCAATTCATCCTTCTCAATGGGAATTAACATTTCTAATTTGGCAATTCTAACACCAAACGATGCTTGAGATATGTGCAATTCGTACGGAAAGGATTCATGACATTTTTTGATGCATTGCCATTGTGTGTAAGCGTTTTCTCTTCCTAAAGCAATGGCATGAGAAATTTCATCGACTTGACATGAAAAGGAATTATTGAACAGACACATGAGTTGACAGGTGGGATAGGTATATTCCATTCGATTAAAGAATTCGGCACCTTTGGTGAGAATAAAGGAAGATCCAATAGAACTTCTTATGAATGCTGGAATTTGAATTTTAAGGTCTATACAAACACTTGTTTCCACTTCTCCAAACAAGTGATTGGGATGTAACGAATCCATTGTACAAGTCAATACCTCCATAGGATCTTCATGGAGCATTGAAAAAACATCGCCTTCAACAGAAAGTTTCTTATTGACACTTTCCAACGCTTCACACACTCGAACTTTGATTTTAGAGTCCAAATTTAGTTCGAGCACACTATTGGAATTGATGAAAGCGTTGACAATATAATTGGCTCGTTCAAACAAGCTCAACACGAGTTTGTTTTTCTTTCTCAGAGATCCCTTCTTGTAAAATAACAAAACTTGTTGATAATATGATTTGTAAGCATTCAATTCATCCCAAAATAATATAATTTCTTCACATTTACTTCGGGAGAGGTATTCTTTGAAGACTTGTTTGCACTCTTCGTTGGAAAGAAAACTTTCAAAATTGATTTCTCGTTGTTGTTGTTGTTGTTGTTGAGGATTTTGAGTGAGAATATGAAAGGCCTGATGAAGACTAGAAGCTGAGGAGTAGCCTAATGACATTTTGTTGATCATGGAACTGTGTCGACAAGGTGTGGTTGCCAAAGTTTTTAAAGCAGTAGGGTTGGTAAACCTCAAGAATGACTTATTTGGGAAGGACAGATGACATTCGTCATTTTCACTTTCACCCTGCTTGAGCAATTTAACAGTGAAGGTTCACACCTTAACAAGAAGTAATACAGAAATGATGATAAGTGTTTTTGATCCTTGTGTTGATCCCTTCACGCACTGATTGGCTGGTCGATAGATCTTTTTTGTCGAAAAATTTCTTTTTTTTAGGTGAGTTGAACTTCTCACAGCATCGAAATCATGTTCGACTGAGGACTGTTCTGTCCAACAATAACAGATCTTTTGACTCAAAGTGGATGATACTCGACTTGGTTCACTTCCTTTCATGATCTCATAGTTGGGTTTGGAATGCATTGTAAAAAAGTCATTGTAAAACTTCACATCGCTCACACATGTCATCATGGCTTTATTTGCTCCTTCTTTGCTTTTCTTGGTTCATTTCTCAAAGCCAATTCATGCAATGATTTATCATCCACTTGTTTCCATTGAAACAAAAGAAATGCTAAAAATTCAAGAATTTGTGTGTTCACCTTAATGTTTTGAATCGAATTATAAGAGGTATAATTGAGTGGAGAGTTCGGAGAGGATGGTTGTTGCTGTGAATGTTGTTGAGGAATGAGTTTGAGCTTGGCTTTGATTTTTTCGCTGAATTTTCGTTTCAAAATTAAATTCCTAGTTTTTTCGGGTAATTGAGAGACAGGTGAGACGTGGAGAGATGGTTTTCTCATTCTTCTTGAAGTGACTCTTTTCATGGTTTGAGTCATGAGATGGAATTTGTGACAATTATAGGTAGCTCCATACTTTGGTGTTATGATTAAATCTTGATTGTATTCTCCAATAAATGATATTTCTGTGAGAAATGCTCCTCTATATTGTGTTCAAATATTCGAATCATATTTATGTACATCATTGGATTGATAAATAGTGTAAATGTATTGTAAATATATGAATTCAATTCACATATATGAATGATTGATAAATAAATTGTAATTGTATGGTATGGCTCAGCGCAACACATGTGAGTCACAACAATACTTACAAATTAGGAATAAATAATTCCGATTCTTTGGCAAGCGCTTCTTGTCGCAAACCCTTAATGCTACATTTTTCAGAAATGGACGTCACAAGATTGCATAACTCTTTTCCCATCAATTCTTGAGATCTGGCAATGGTAAATTTGTTGTTGTTGAGCGCTGATGAATTCGTGGCAGAGTCACATATTAATGTTGTACTAAAATCATTCATGTGAAAACTCAATGCTTTACATTGTTGAATTCTCTCAAGAATTTGAGACCGTCTTTCCAATGATTCTTCCATTAAACACATACTTGTCAGATAATTGCTCAAATTATTGAAAATCAAGACTAACTTTTTGATGGCCATTTCTTGAATTTGAGAAGGGTCCAAACTTTGAGCATTATTTGCCTTATAGGCGAGAGTGCGTACTTCATAAAAACTCACATGCCTAAACAAGTAATCCATTAATATGAATTGATGAGTGACTAAATCTTCGATGGAACACAACGACATTGCCAATGGTTGTTGTGAGTTTTCTGGAATGAGAATGCATTTGGATTGTTTCGTTGCAGCTATGAGTGGATTTTCAGTGGAGGTGGAGCTGCTATTATTGTCGAAGGTAGAGTCGCTCCATGAATTTCTCTTTAACACCAATAGGTCGAGCACAGGATAACTTTCAAAATCGAGTGATTCTCTCACATGGTCAATAAGCTTGAAAATTTTCAAACACTTTTTGTGAATAATTGCCTCGTTATTGGAAAAGCTACAATGACATATGGCATATGATGCAAAATATTCAACAAGCTCAATTTGGAGAAAAGAGCACGGTGTGAAATTTTTGTCGTACAAATCAATGACAGACTCTCTTCTGAGCCCAAAGTCCTTAATCCAAATGTAAAAAATGTCTAACAAAATTTCAACTTCGAACAAAAACTGTTTGAAAATGTCATGTTTGCATTCGGTGCTAATTTCAGCAAGTGTGCAAATAGCGCTTGAAGAAATGCTGGGAAAGCATTTCAACCAAAATTTTGAATGATTTTCAATATCCAGTGTGAATATTCTTTCAAATAATTTGTAGAGGAGCATTTCCGGTGACATTTTCGCAACCGCATGATTAGCAATGAAGGTTTCTAAAATTTGTTCCATGGTTGCGTTGTACAGTGGTTGCTTATTTTCTTTTGCCAAATGAAAATTGGCATTTCCAAGTTTACAGAGCTCATTGAAAATGTGTGGTTGTTGGCATACCACAAAGAAAAATTGTAAATAAAAATTGGAATCGGTGTGAAATTTGTTTCGAATGAGCTCCTCCACATAGGAAATATCCTTCGTTTCTTTGGAACTCATTTTGATAAAATAAGGAAACGAATTGAGCATGTCATCTATACTATGCGAATTTCCATTGACAGAGAATCCAGTGGATAGAGGTGGTTGTGATGTTTGAGGCGTTCCTTCTAGCATTTCATTAATAGGAACTTTGGAGAAAAAGGAAAACTTGCTTGGACGTTTTTCGGGTTGTTGTTTGGCAGCAAAATTCGAGGATGAAATGGTTAATGCACGCTTTTTTCTCAAATCATTCATCGCTTTCCAATGTTCTTCACTCCACACATTGTACTGAATATGAGAATTCCATTCTTGTTTTTGTGAGTCGTTCAATAATTGTGGCACAACCTTTTCCTGTCGATTAATTCGATTCTGGATGAGGTCACAAAATCGATACAGAAAACCAGATCCACATTGATCTTTTCCACAAAATTCTCTAGCGATCGAATGATGAATTAATGCTACTTTTGACAAGTTAAAAGCACTACTCGATCCTTTTCTTGAAAAAGCCTGAGTCGAGGTCATTCTCCTCAATGAAGAATTTGAGCCAATCGGAGAAGAGGAATTACTCGACGGTGAAGTGCTGAAAACAATTTGAGCATCATAATCGGCATCAATCACAATGAGGGCCCATCGTTTACAGACCCACCTTAACACACATCTCTGCTCACTTCTGGAAATGAATGATAAAATTTGAGGCATGATATCAAAACGTTCCCACCATCCCAAGCTATTCATGAGTTGTTGTGAACTGTTGCTAAGCAAATTCTTTTTTCGTAATTGAGATGAAGCATTGTTGGAATTAGTAAGCGATGTTTGAAAGGATTTGTCACGCAAAAATGATCTTCGTCGTTTCGTATTTCCTGACGCAAAATCAGAAAAAGAGCTCGAATTGTTATTGCCCACTCCATCGGTGCTGCTGGTTGGTGATGGACTTTCTGTATTAAAAAACAACGTATCTGAAGATTGAGAGGAGAGACCAGGAGGAGTGACAGCTGACTTGGTGTGTATTGATCGATCCATATTGAGGGTCTCTTCATCATTTTCGTGAGATGCCACTAATGTTAAATTTTCTCCGACTCCTTTCAGGCTTACTCTTTTAGAGAGAGCACCTGTTGAATGACTGATGCCAGCAGTATTATTGAGATAGTGACTACTTTGACTTCTGACATGACCTTTTTTCGGTGGGAAGGGTGATGGTTGTTTTGAATTAATATCAATAGTTGAGATATTTTCACTTGAATATAATTCTTCTAGGTTAGAATGTGGTTGTCTATGATGTAGTTTGCTCTTTCCAATAAGTAGTCGAATATCCTCTGTCAAAACATTGGGAACTTTGTCACTTGTCAAATCAACTTCTTCAGCAATGGAATTTTTCGAGGGCGTACTCAAACAATTTTTGTGAGTATTAAAGCTGCGATTATTGTTGACATCTGCAAAACTATCTCTACATTGATCATTTTTACGATCAAATTCCGCAATTTCATTTTGTAAATTTGCAATTTCATGTGCAGGCATTGATGATCTTCTTCGAGTACCTTTCTTTCTCGGCGAAGGACTTGGAGAGGTGTTGTTCTTGTTGTTAATATTCATTGTATTTGTCGTTGATGTTGTCAACAGAGCTTCCAAATTATAATGACTCGAGTTCAGTACTAAATTTTGTGAACTCACGCTCAATGGAGATGATGACATGGCTGATGTACTCATTCGATGATGATGATGATGTGGAGACGAAGAAAATACTTGCTGTTGAAACAATTCCGAGGTGCCAGTCGCTGTTTTTCGTCGTGAGGAGGGTGATGCATGAGGATTTTCTGAAGAATAGTCCATCGTTATTGTTTCAGATCCCATGTGATGATGGTCATGTTGTTGCTGTTGTTCCATGTCATGGTCATCATGGTGAGAATTTGAAACATCACCAAGGCGTGAGGAGGGAGACAAGATGGATTCCAAATCGTCCATAATGACACTCAACGGAGAGGCATTTGAAATGAGTTCTAAAAACGACAGATTGTTGATGCTTCCATTGTTGTTGTTGTTGTTGGTGTTGTTATTACTATTTTGATTATTATTGTTATTATTGGGAGAAGTGTCATTGTAATTGAGAAGAAGATGGATGTTTCTATTCTGATAGAGAGGAATTTGAGAGGAAGGAGAGGAATTGAAGGTGGTCGTTGTCGACATGTTTGGATGGTTGCTCCGAGAAGATGTTGATGATGGCGACATTTTTCAGCTCGAATCACCAGTGACGATGACGGTTTTGAAAAGTGATGTTCAATTTGAAAGGTGTGGCACGAACGAAGAGGCCAGAAGAAGTGTTTGGTTGTGGTGATTCGTGATGGAATTTGAAGGTGATGAGGGGATCGGAAGGATTCGAAATGAACGACACTCACTCGACCCACAAAGTTGAACAACTTCTTAAGAAGAGATGGAGAAGTGATGGAGAAGAGATGGGTTTGGTGATGATAAGGTGATGATGGTGTGAGATTTTGTTTTGTTGAAAATGCCAACGGAAATGACAAATGACACTTTGCGAGGGCAAACTCGACCCTCAATGGCAAGAGGTGCTTATTCTCAATACATTGAGGAGAACCTCTGGAGTTTAACAAGATATATTATGAAGAATATACAACGTTTGGAAAGAATAGATCAATTCTTAACATCGGGTTGAATCCATCACTGATGAGTCCGAAGCCATCATTGGTGTTGTTGTCTACACATGTGGCACAACAGTTCTGATTTGTTTTTTAAATAAATTTTAATTATTGTTTGTAACAATAAATACATATAATGTGAAACAACGGAGTGAATTGAGAAAACTGAGAGAGTAAGTTCCAAACTCTCTACATTCCTCTCTACGTAACTAGTGATTGGTGGATAGCAACAATGTGATGGTAATAGAAGAAATTATGGAAATAATGATTCACCCCCTCACTGTTAGTGATGGTAGGTGTAGGGAGGGTGTGGGACATCTAGATAACTAATGGGCTCATTAAATCTATAGATGATTATCTTTGTTACTCATCTTCCAATCTATGCATATCATCGGTATCACCAACGTGCTGACCGGCTTCCAATCTTTCCTTTCTCTTTCTGTACCAATAGATAGCACCCACGACAATGGCAATCACAGCTCCAATAGCAAATACAATCAAAGCTCCGACAATGGGATATTGGTTAATTTCCCAAAAATCCCACACAAATGTTGAGTTGGATGGTATTGTTGAATTGGACAGAACGGGTTTTGTTCCATTGTATGTGTTCATCGCAGAGTGTTCATAGGCCATCACCAAGGAGCTCATCATCATCACCACCACCACGGTAGAGACGAACACAGCGGCGAGAAGACTTTGTTTGAGAAGATTCATTTTTTTTACCTTCAACAACGTTAATTTCAGGGCGCCCTTTCATCTTCAGACAGGCCAAGAATATTTTCGTATAAATTGAAAAATTAAGGGCAATGATTGTTCGAGAGGGCTCCTTAGATTACAATTAACAGAGAGAGAGAGAGAGAGCTTGCGTCGAATGTACCAATTACGCCTTGTTGTCAATATGATAAACAGTATATAATCATGAGGAATGGATCACAAACAATCCTTTTGTTGACACTTAGCATGATCTCATTTGAATAGTACTCGGTAAATTCCATTCTTTGTTCTCTTGAATATATTTTTGACGATTCGAAGGAATTTCGGTATTCCATTAGAACATGTGAAAATCGAATGGTTTCAAGCACGATTAATCTAGTCAGCCATCTTCAAGATTGGTGAAATAAATTTACTCTGATATTAGAAGTAAATTTCTTTCACACATTCGATATTAGAAAAAACATAAATGTTTATTATTTGTGTGCGTGGAATCAAGTGAGTCGTCATGACGGAGAGTAATCAGGTGGAAGTTATTAATGATCATAATATGATCACAAATTGTTGCTATTTTAAATAGTAATGATGATGGTGATGATTAGAAGGATAATGAGGAGTGAATGGAGACAAGTTGTTGTTGTTCTAGGACACTGTCAACTTGAGAGGAGTGGTAGAAATAAAAGGTGGTGCTTGGATTGAACAAAGGAGAATCTCTTGATATCAACAATGACTCATGAGTCATAATAGATGGAATACATTGGTACAAAACCACACGCACTTGATGTGTGCAGTAAAAGAGAGGAAATGAGGCCTCATTTCATGAAATGGATTTTTAAGCGTAAGATCAGTATCGAAAAATTTCCAAATATTCTTGTGGGCAATAATCGCCAATCCACCATGACGTGAACAACCATATTTGTACCAATATTTGAACACTGTCACAACAATCATGATAATCTCCTTGTGTTCTTTTCCTCACACATGGAGTTCTTAAAAGATTAATAAAAGCTTTGGATTCTTCTTGACAGCTTCTTGAATCTCCTCCAAAGTAATTTCACCATCTCCATTAATATCAGCAAAATCCAACAATTGTTTCACACGTTGTGAAATGATATGTTTGAATTTTTCAGAATCCACATCATGACCCAACAAACGGAATGTATCTTTCATGCCTTGTTCTAATTCCGTCGATGTGAGACGTCCATCACCGTCAGCATCGTACAAGAGGAATGTCACTTCAATGATTTTGCTTGGATCTTGTTCAGTTTGTGTTGGGGCTGTGATGGAAAGATAGAGAATGAATTCTTCGAAACTGATACTTCCATCTGATGATGAGAGTGACAGAAGCAGTTGCATCACGAGTATTGGTAGGTACACACCGCCACGAATATGTGTGTCATGAAATCATTGTTGAACCATGAATGAATGAATGGAGAATTTCACATGGATATGAATATATGATATGAAAACCACCACAAACACTTACCTCTATTACGATCATAGGAACGGAACAAGTGATCTATGGGTGCATCTTTTGGAAGGTTTGGGAAAATTCCAATGGCCTTGATCCACTTTTTAAATCCTTCCTTATCCATTTCTTTATCACCGAACATATCGAGCCATATCTTTCTGTAACGTTTGATATCCTTCTTTGAGACTGTTGTTGGGTGTGTTGGGAGAAACGGAAGTTGTTGTTGGGTTTGATGAATAGGTGGGATGAAGAAACAGTGAAAGGTAAGAGAAAAGTTGAAGAGTGTGATGATGATTGTTGTTGTTTCATCAATTCCAATGTTAAAGAGCGCGTATATCCACATAACGATCGATGATGGATGACATGGATTCATACGTGCCATTCAAATCCAACGTATGGTGCGTGTTGACAACAATACGAAAAACCATCAACGCCACCAATTCATTTTGTGGTTCATCGCATTACGCATTACGCACAACCACCAACACCACAACAACAATTAGATGGATGTCGTTATTGTTGTTGTTGTTGATATTATTATGGTTGTTGGACCGTATGGAGTCATTCATCATCATCGTTGATGAATACCATCATTCAATAGAATATCATCATCATCATTAGAATAGTTATTGTTAAAATGATTTTTATACAACTCTTTTTGTCTTTCTACTTACGTCTATTTTCAGCAATCTCTTGCCAGTCAGTTAATTGTCTAGTGGAAATACCCTTTTGATTTTCGTTGCCCATGGTTGTTTGTTATGATTTGTGGTTGTTGTTGTTAAATTCAAAAAGGAGGAATACGAATTGTCTACTAGAAGATCGATGCGATGCTGTTTCAAAAGTGGTTGTCCAAGTGGTGATTCACTATTTACAATCAGCGAGGATCAGAGGCGATGATGACTTCAAGATGATGTTGACCTGTAACGGAAAATCTGTTGTTGAGAGAAACGGAAGAGCACGAAAGTCGTAGCAACAGGAACGAGTACGAGACGAGGCGTTTTTATTTTTTGTGTGACTTTTGACTGTTTGACAGACGTTTGATCTGAGCCCACCAACGATCGTGCTTTGCATCGGAATTTCACTGAATCGCGATGGAACGTCCACATAATACCATTAACGCTCTTAATAATGAGGGTTCTGATTTCTTTCGAACAGGATAAACAATTTCTGCAATTACCTCTAGGAAATACGACCGGCTTAAATGCAATGGCCTCCTAGCTCAGTTGGCAGTAGCGCTGTCCTAGTAAGACAGAGGTCTTGGGTTCGATTCCCAAGGGGGCCATAAATTTTAGTTTAAAGACTGAAATAAGAGAAGTGAAATTTCAGGTGGTTATTTTTCGAATAAAATTATTTAACACTACAACAAAAGAACCCCAGTAACATATACAGGGGTGGGAGTGAAAGGTAACGAAATCTCACAAGCCAGGAGAAAAAAATTGGCTGAACGGGAAATTTACTTTTTTTTTTCTCAATACCACCTCTGTAAACGTTTATGTTGTAGTGATTCATTTATTCGAATATGACCAATTTGTGTTGGAAAGCAACTATTAAATCTCCAGTCCGGTAGTCCAAACATAAATCATATGGGTCCATAATTTCTTTAAAGGTTTTGATGGCATTACCGTTTTCATCCAAAACTACAACAGTGTTTTTTGAGTGACTGCACGCAATGATACGATTGTTCACTCGATCACAAACCAATCCAACCAATGATGCGTCAAATTGCAATTCATTTCGCATTTTCCAGTCTCCATTTGCTTCTTTTCGTAAAATCATAATGATAGTACTGTTTTGTGAAACGACTAAATTGTCATAAACATCAAAGTCAATGCCACACGGTGAAAAATCAGGTGGTGAAATCTCTTTCAAAATATTTCCATTTTCTGAATTGATCACAAGAATTCTACCTGCTATCACATGATAGTCACACACATAAAGCAAACGCTCAGCCTTAGTATTAACATTGGTTTTTTCATACCTGGAAACCATGCCATAAAAACATCCAGTTGGTGTGATTTTCCAAATTTCACAATCACTCACATCCAAGTTTTCTTCATCTTGAGAACTCCTTTCTTTATCAGCACCTTTTTTGAGCAGTTTTGATACTGAATACTTTATAATGCATGAAGATGCACTCACAAATAAAGAGTCATCCAAAGCTCCATATCCAGGTTCATATTCTTCCACATACAAACAATTTACTTCTGGAAGAGTAAAGTGAAACATTATAAGTCTTGTTTCCAAATTCGACACATAAACACACTTAGATTCAGAGGCAACAAATAAACAATTGAAATGATTAGATACTTTTACATCCGTGTATGCCAAATCGTCGATAAACCCCGGAGAGGAATATTTAGAAATAAAAGCGGTTGAAAACCCAATTCTATGCTTTTTCCTCATCTTGTCTTTCAATTTTTCATAAAGAATGTATAAATATGAATAGGAAGGATGATCACTGCTACTTGATTCATCCACAAAAATTCGATGATCGTGAGAATGAAACGAGATCAAGCTGTTGTTGTTCCTGCTCTGATTGAAAAAATCCAACAAATAAATAATGACCTGATGATGGTCTTCACAATACATTTTTTTAAAAGCTCAGTTTCAAAATGGAAAAGCAGAATTGTTTGGAATGAAACTTCCTTCTTAAAACTATTCGAACAGAAACCATCTGATAATGATGTTCCTGTTTTGTTTCAATTACAAATTCTCTTGAAAGATCCAGAACCAACTTTAAATGTTCGGAATCAAACATTTCCTCAATAAACGAAAATTGCAACCAACCATAAAAAAAGAACAAAAAAAATGGAACCTCAGCCATCATCATCCAGTGTTGTTACAATGGTACCAGCATCATCATCATTGATCGGAGGAGATGACCAAATGCCACTTTCATCCTCTTCTTCTTCCAACTCACCTTCTTCATTGGCCTTGCCATCATCATCACCACCACCTCCATCTAATTCTTCGCTGATACAACCGCCTATGAGTTCTTCTCAGTCAGGAACCATCCCATCATCATTATCTAATAATCAGCAACAACCATCATCCTTTTTAAATAATAATACAGCCATGAATCGGCCAGAAGAAGCCTCCTCAACAATGCCAAATATTTCATCTCAAGACTTTGCGGCGTCATCATCCATGGCTAATCACAACACTTCCAATGGGCAACGTGAATCAGCCCATCCTACAGCAACCTCTCCCATTGGGGTTCCATCGTCGTCATCAGCAACCCAAAACAAACCTCTGAATGACTTTGAAAACATCTATGCTTGTTTTAAAAAGAGAAATAGAGAACAATATGAACAAAATTCTAATTTGTCGGCCACCTCATCATCAACCACCGAATCCTATGTCAAGGATTTGGAAGATAAGGTTGATTTCATGGCACAATTAATTACCATTCAATCGGCCAAGATGAGAAAAATGGAAGTAAGATTGAGAAAATTGGAATCCTTGTTACCTCAAACTGGTGACGAATTTGTGAATTCAAGCAATTTACATCGTATTCCAATGATGACATCGTCGTCTCATGGAGGTGCCAATATAGATGAAATTTCTACCATCAGCGACGATTTGCCAACATTTGCAGCAACACCAAAGAAGGAAAAAGGAAACAGACAGCCCAATGCCTATAATATTTTCATGAAAAGTGAAATTCAACGTATTAGAACAACACACACTGAATTGACACAAAAACAAGGTAAGTTTCAAATTTGATTCGAATCGTTGCAAAGATGATAATTATAATGACAATCGTTTCATTTAAAAACGAACCATGATCTTTGTTTATTATAACAATGGTGACACTCAATTTTGTCTGAATGTTGTGAACATGCGTATATGAATCGTTGATGACATGTTTCACCTTAATACCACAATACAATTAGCTTTCAAATTGGCTGCCAACAATTGGTCACTGAAAAAGGCCGAAATTATGGCAGCTCAGAAGAAAGGAATTGATCCAATGACTTTAGTGACAGGAGGCTCCTCGACTGATCTTAAAGCAGGATCGAGCGCGGTGAATACTCCAAGCGACACCACCATTCCTGATAACCTCTCATCAGGAACTCCTGCCATTCTTGAGAATGAAAAATAAGCGAACGATGCAGTGTGGACTCTGTACTACTTCATGACGCATTACTACAGTATAAATTCTGTTCTAAATTATTTGTCGTGTTGGCAGATGAATTTCACACCCAATTCATTGATGTGTTTCGAAATCATTTTTCGAGAGCATTCAAACAAACACCCAAATATTTGTCCGCTGAACGAATCTCTTCTTACATCAGCAGCAACAATTCCAAACAAAAATATCCAACTTGTCGGACTATAATACACACAACACCGAGCAGTGGTTGTTGTATCCGTTCTCAATCTCATCACAAAATTCATCTTGTGTTCAATCGATGAAAATTATAGAGTTTTAGGTTTAAATATCATCATCATCATTGGAAGGATGATAAAAATAATAATTTTTAATCATTGAATTGATATTTGAATTCCAACTCCGTTATCACCTAATTTCTAATCACATCACAATCAATATATTCATAGAACCACATTTATTTTGATTTTTGAACTTTTCGACTTGGTTGAATTTATTTTGAATTTTCTAAAATTCACACCATGACCACCAATTTACAACAAACTGGTCCTAAATGCTGTTCTTGCTGTTGCTCTAAAACAGGAACCTTTTTAATTTATTTATGGGTAGCAGTGTTATCATTTACCATCTCTGCAATGCAATGGATTTATCAAGGTATGTGATTTTTTAAAAAATCAATTTTGATGATATTTTGTAATTTTTACATTGTAAATGTGTCATCTTTCACTTGTTGTTGGAATCATTTTATTTCATGTTTAAATAATTGAAAATTGAAAACAATTAATATGAATCCCAGAACCAGCATTTTATGACCCATTTATTTATAGACCTATTCCAGAAGATCATTTTTCACACATTAACAATTTATCACTGCTTTCAAGAAGAAATTCATCTTCAAATATTAACTCTTCTCCGTTCTTCTCTTCACAACACTCCTCTCCTTCATCATTTTCTCACATTATTTATTTTAATCGATTTAACACAACCACAATTTTTGAACAACAACAACCTGTCACACCTGGTATCTCGACAACATCCTCTGAATTTGTAACTTCTCAAAAATTCTTTCATACGTTTAAATTATTTGAAATGGTCACTGTCAAATCAAACATGAGCTATAATTTTGAAAAAGATCATTTCACATCGCTGATTGTGCAATTTCATGGCTATGCCGAATATTCTGAACGATATAAATTCTTTTATGAAAGATTTTTTAGTCTTTCAAACTCCAATAATGAAGAATCATCCATTTTGAAAACAAACACAGATTTTGACAACTTGTCAAAAAACCTCTCAAGAATTGCAATTTATTCCTATGATTTACGGGGACACGGATATTCGAGTGGAAAAGGAAGATCTTTTTGGAGAACTTCTCATGAACATTTACAAGATATTGAGACTGTCATTTGTGAACGAATTCCTTTCATTTTACATTCTGTGTTAAAATCACCCAATGCAAAAGTTTTTTTAATGGCACATTCCACAAGTGCTCTCAATCTATTGACGTTTGATTATTTGAAAGGTGGAGGTGTCAATAGTTATCAACGACATGATCTCAATGATTTTTCTCCAACATGTTCATCATCATTGTCACATGGAAAAACCTCATCTCAATCCTCTACCTTTCATTCTTCTTGGGATTCCAATCATTTCGAAAACACAAATAGTGCAGAGAGTACAAGGACGACGTTTGGAAAATTCAGACCATTATTGACCTTGAAAAAGATGATTCCTAATTTTTCTGGAATGATTCTTACTTCACCTTCGATTGCTTTGAAAGGTTTTTATAATGATTTTTGGAGTCGACGGAAAAGTCATTCGCGCTATTCATCGATGGGATCACATGATTCCAATGGTGGAACTTTAGAAAATTCATCTCCTGCGTTAAAATCACAACATCCACAACAACCTCATTATCAACCAAATGAAAGCACTTCTAGAAATCATTTGAACATTTATTCCTCGAGTAATAGAGAAGAAGTAGAGGCAGAGCATGAAGTTTCTTCATTTTTTGAAATGCAAATTTATTTAGTGAAATATCTCATGTTGCCACTCTTTCCATCACTACCAATTTACCCCTCTTTTGGAGCATTGTGTTTACATCCGAATTGCTTACAGAGATATAAGGAGGATAAGGTTATGTATAAAGGTCCATGGAAAGTAGGGCCTTGGGTTTCCATACTCGAGCAAATGCGAAATGTTGTTCTCTATTTGAGAGATCATGCTACTTCGACCGAAGTCAAAAGAAAAGAAAGTAGTCGTCACACCTGCACCAAAAGTGATAGCAGTGGTAACACTTGCGCAAGTACCGCTTTGAGCCCACCACTGTCACGTGTGTTGGTTATGCATGGACAAATGGACAATTTATTTGAGTGGACACGAACTCGAGCTCTGTTTGAAAATTATTTTGGAAATCATATGGAGTGGATAGCTTATGAAAATTTGGGACATGATTTATTTCACGAAGATGATAATGTTCAAATTGCAAGAGATTTGTATCATTTTGTGACAAAATCTTAAAAATTCGATGATGTTCAATGAGGCAACGAACATTTAGATTTAATTGGTCTTGCAACGCTCTACTACAATTCATTCTTAATGTATTCATAAAGCTCGCTATTGCTAAATGTGTAAAATGCCTCTTCATGTCTATTCTTGCATTGTTGAAAGTGAAGTTGTTCAACCACTTCTAAAATACCATGCTGAAAGGCCAATTTGGAAAAAGCGGTTGTGATTTTCTCTGGGGTGAGATTAGAGTCAAGACAAGCAACACCCTTAATAATCATTTTCAAATCGAAATAGCGACCATACAATACTGCCACCCGTAAAATTAGTTGCTGTTCATTGTCAAGACGTTGAAATTGATGCAAGTAAAAGTCAGCTCGTGTTCGAGGTATTTTTAAATGATCTAGAGTACCGAATAATTCAATCATGTTCTCTTCATTGATTCTTAGACAATTCATGTCATTCAAAAACTTCAATAACAGAGAAATGGACAATGGATTCTGGCTTTTTTCAAAAATCAATTGTAAGAGGTGCATCTCCACTCCTTGACACTTCTTATTCGAAAGGTGATTTAGTTTGGCGATCATCTCTAAAATACAACCTTCATAGAGATCTTTCGACAATGAAGAAAGCTCCAAATGAAGTGTGGACACTTCACACCATTGCTGAAGCTCACGTAACAAGTCTTCATCATTTGAGTGTATGCTTTGCAGTTCCATCATATCTACATTGTCATTGTGACTCTCTGGTGTTAAATTCATAGTAACGAAAAGAAGGCCATAACCCATTCCTTCCATGTGAGAAAACTTGAATAGATACTCCAATACTCCTCTTGAATAATGGTCGTACAGGTGAATATCATCACAAAATAACAACCACGGTTCTCGAGTGGCGTATCCCAATTGCTTCCATCCTTTTAGGAGCAGCTTGCACACAATTTGAGAGGTTTTTCTAATGTTGATAGTGGAGTCTAGAATATCCTCATTCTCGCTCGCACTAAAATGAAGACCTAATATTGGATTCAATAAATTAAAGTATTTAGATAAAGACTCAAAGTCCGTATCATCTGATTTCTTAAAAATAGTTGTCACAATTTGTTGCTTCTGTTCTGACGATAGGCTACTATAAACAGACTCGAAACAAGTATAATCGAGCTCAATCCTAAGTTGCCTTAGAAAGAATTCCGTAATAATCATTTTCAAATTTTCGATAAATAAGGAGCATGGTTTTGCTGAGAACAATTGTTTTGAGCTGTTTGTCAAACACACAACCTTATTCTTCCATTTGTCCATTATCTTGCGCAGTGTATAGGTTTTACCGAATCCCTTTTCTCCCTTCGAAATTTAATTTTTGACATATAGGATGAGAATATATATAAGCGATCGATCATCGAATTCAGGTCATTTAACCTACCTTAATCACAATCACCTTGTTTGTTTCATCACGAGGCAAAATATCATTTTTGTTGATGGATGTTAATTGAACTATTATTGCATCAACCTCCTCAAAAAATAAATTTACATTTGTTGTGAAAGTGCTATCAAGTCGTGGTGGACAGTTTGAAAAAGTGATTGATATTTGGTCGACTTTTTCTCCAGTCGTACTTGTAGGACAATCATCCATTCTCACACTCTTCATTATTTTTACACACCTCTTATTGTTAAAATTGAGAGCTTCTTTTTCGAAATGTTGAAAAACAGTCTCTGCAACTTTCTCCTCACATAAAATGTAACCTTCATGATGAGAAAATGATTCTCTCATGAGTTGCAATGAAATGTTAGCCACCTGTCCGAACATACCAAAATCTCTTCGAATGTCTGAACCAAAATTTGTCATACATAAACAGGGACCTAGGGACATGCCAATGCCAATTGTGTCGACATGTTGCGAAATCTCCACAAGCAATTCAAATACAAATAAAATTTCGCCCACTCTTAGTTTTGCGATTGCAATCGAAAACGACACAACTATGGTTTGTTGTATGTCTTCAAAAATTTTACATAATCCGATTTGTTCATATTTTTCCAATACATGCTGTAACAAATTAATTAATTCATTTCGACCTTTCAATTGAAGTTCAGAATCGTCAGAGGAGAGGTATTTGTGACCAATTTTCATGGAGCAAACAAGGACGTTTTTCTCATGCTTGTTATGTTCAAGTTTTTCGTGTGCTGTGTTCTTAGCTACGAAAGTGGGAATAAACTGTTTGATAATTCTTCCGAAGGATGCATGAAATGTAATATTCTGCACACCGCTCGCTATTACCTCTTTCTTCACCGTATCTGCGATTACCACACCTTTAATCGGTAATTCCTTGTCTCCAATGGTAAGGACTCTCTGCTTTACACGTTCATAGACAGGGCGAGTAAGCACCACTTGTCCTGCTTTGCATTGGTTGATCTTTTCATAAGCATCATGAAAAGCACTACCTGTAAAGAGTCTAATCCAATGATTCTTATGGCCACCAACATGGAATGCTCTCACACTACCAAAGGTGACCACACAACGAAGTTCTATTTTTCTGTTTTGCAGAGATTTGAACGTTTTTGAGAGATCTGTTTGTTGAATTTTTAATCCACACTGGATTGCCGAAAGCAGAGAATCGCTTATAGATCTTGTTGCGTCCACTTGGGGAGAATGAAATTGGCAAAGTAGCTCTTCAGGATCAAAACGTTCCACATCACCACCAAGACTGTAAATAATGCTAATGAAAACTGTGTAAATATTGGAAATGCTTGTGCACACTTGATGCATCTGCTTTGAATGAGCATCTGAGAAATTGAGAGAGGGGTTTCGTTGCTGTAGGTTAGGGCGGTGTTGAGAGGAGGAGTGAATGTCGTTGTTGCTGTGACGAGCAGAGTTGAGAGAAGAAGACGTATCATTGCTAGAAGTTGCTCCACGAATGCTCTGACTCATTTTCCGTTCTTGCGATGTCACATCTGTTGATTCATACAATTTCTTGTTACTATCGAGTTGAGGCTCGCACAAGGTAAAGGAATCAACGAGATCGTGAATTCCTTTTATTTTCACGAGCAAAATGCATGCCTCGTCATGAGAAAATTCGCTAAGGGATTCATTTTCTAGACCGCTATGTTCGTCCAATACCTTACAGGGTTCTACCTGTTTGAAAGAATGGGAGCTATGATGTCGCATCTTTTGGGGAGCTTTTTGTTGAATTGTTGCAGGTTCCTTTGGTTGATGTGGGGTTTCTTGATGGGATGGATGATGTGCCACTTGTTGGTACTGTTGCTGCTGATGGTTGATTATTTGAATGGGCACGTGATGTATTGTAGGATGATTTTGATGGAATGGCGTATGTTGATGGTGTTTATGAGGATCTATCGAATGTGGAAGGGTGGGCATGTGATCATTCAGGTTAGGTATCTGTGAATTTACGTGAGAATTTTGAGGATAATTTTGAGGATTTGTTGGAAGATGAAGGTTTTGATGGTGGTCGGCGTGATAATGATTTATGAGGGTTTCAAAGTTTGAATTATGGTAATGATGCTGATGGTTGTGGTTGTGGTAGCGACTCATGTCATGATAATCTCTCGATTCAGCTTGAGAGTGTGGTGGAGTGACTACAGCTGTTCGTCTCTCTCCAAGAGGATTGAAGATTGAGGGAACCGATGACGAACTCAAATACACTTGTTTCATATTGAATAGTAAATGTTGAGGAAGATAGGAAGCTAATAGTTTGAGATGAATTTCTTCGGGTGGTTTTGTATTTGGAAGTAAGGTCAAGCCAGCCTTAAAGCCACAAAAACTCACTCTCTGTACAGGAACTTTGAAGGAGAGCACCTTCTTCACCTCAGCTGCAGCTCTTCTCTCCAATTTACGAATTTCCTCTGGCGAGAGTCCTAATGATGAAGTACTAGATTCTGTGTGTGGAGTGCTGGGAGAGGATCCCTCTTGGGGCACCATCATTGAAGAGGACAATCCAAACAAAGTCATACTCGTCGAACAAGACGATCCCATAGTATATCGTTGAATATAGTATTATATATATATAATGAAGAAGAAGGTAGGTTGATTTGATTGGTGTAGGAAAGAGAGAGAGAGTAATAAACCACTCGAGCTCGAGGGTGGTCGTATAATTAAGATGTTTGAGTTCAAGAGGACCACCAAACGTCGAAATACCACCAGCTAGGTTTAGCTATAGGAATAATGGATAATTATGGAGTCAAACAAACGTGCTGTGGTGTGCCTTTATCAGCGCGTTTCAAAGAAAGCGGTCGTGTATTTTTTCTCGGGTAGAAACACCTTAATTGTGCGCAGAACACCCAAAACAAACGATTCGCGGGCAATGATCGCGACGAGTCATCATCCTCTTCGACGACCATCATCCAAACACTGGTTGAAGACTTGAACATGCGTATCAAGACCGTCTTTTATAGCTTAATAGTATATATACTAAGCTTCATTAATTTTCGTATAGGATAGAGAGGTGGAATATATTTTTAACAGGTTACAAAATTTTGGCCGCGCTTACAGTTGTTGTGAGTGATGAGGAGAGGTGTAACCATCATCGTCAACGAGTAAGGCACGATATTGCTCCACATCGTGATTACCAGAATGTTGGTGTTCAATATGATGCTCCAGTAAATGATCGAGCTCATGTTTGGTGTATTCAATTTTTTGAGACCAATCATCATGTATCGACGTGGTTGTAGTCGAGGCCTCACGGTCCCCTTGAGGTGTGATGGATTGTGTAGCTCCTGCTTCATGTGATGAAAATTCTTTGGTGGATGTGACGAAGGAATTTGTCTGAAGAGGATCATCGGAAAATGACTCAATTTCAACCTTCTCATTCTTGAATAATTTGTACATTTTGAGACGAGACAAATAAATTCTAAACTTGACTCCGTGTGCAAATTGAGCACTTGCATAAGCAATGGCATCGTTGTAAATTTTCTCAATTCGATGGTAACACTCTGAAATGTTTTGGAATGAAGAAAATCTGCATCTCAGCACTTGATATTCGGCATCCAGTCGCAACAATTCCCCAATTAAATTTTCTTGCTTTGATTTGATGGATTGACTCATCATGTTCTCAAATCTTTCAAAATCAGCCTCAATGGTATGATTGGAAAGTAGCATGTCTTGCTCTTCCGTTCTCTCCTCTCTCTTTTTGCACAACAACAAGACCACTCCAAAATATTGCAACCAACACTCCAGAATGGCGTAATTGAAAATGAGATTGGGAGAGCTATAGAGTTGCATGGACTCAAATAGCGATTCCATATAACATATCGTCTCTCTGAGCTCACGCAAATTTGTCAAACACTGTTCCGCATTCGAGACATTTCTTTTCACAAAACTCACGTATTGAGCATAAAATTTGCTAGCAAGCTCCTGCATTGGAAGAGTCGCATTATTCGAAAAAATGGTCATGACTTGCAGTCCTTGTTGTGCCCTTTTCTCCAACTCATCAATTTGTCTACTCAATAGCAAGTAATAACAAGTGAATGTGTAGAAAAAGATAAACGAAGGTAGATGAAGTCGCGTTTTGGAATGCTCTGTGCCCAAATTGAAATAATATTGAGCCTTTTCGTATCGACCCATACACCACAAAGATCGCACAGCAAAGGTGCATGACAATAGGAGGGCATCTCTTTTTCTAAAATTATGAATACTCAACTTGTGATATTTCTCTGGATCTGACAAGTATTGATTAATAACCTCGTCAGCGAAAAAGGCCACTTTCGAAAAGTTTCCTTTTGTTTGATGAGACATCATGCAGGCTATATAGGCATACATTTGCATATACGGCGCACCAATGTCATTTGCAAGATTTAGTAATTCTGAACTTGTCACGAGAGCTTCCTCTGTTAAATCATAATAAAAGTTGTGATACCATATTTCACAGTAAATGTCAAAATAGAGCTCTCTGTTTTTCTTTGGGCAATATTTGAGGGCATTCTGGAGAGAGTTGTTTGACGTGGCCATCAAATTATTATCTGAGAGAGCTTGTAAGAAATATGCATATTTAAGGCAAACCTTTGAAAGAAATTCTTTGCAACTCATTCTTGACATGCCAACAATTGTTTGAGATGCAGTTTTGTTTCTAAAGCTTGCTAACTCTTTCTTTTTCATCTTATTGTTTGATGAAGTAGTGATACCAAGTTCGTACTTGTCTCTCTCAAATCTATCATTAATGGCTTCAATACCCTTAAGGACGGTATCAAGGACGGTAAAATTAGCTGCTGTGTTGTTCCAATTATCCAAGTAATCCCTATAATTCACATGATCTGGTCCCTTTCTTTCTCCATACCATGTGGCAAGAGTAAGCTCGAGAATACAAATGAGAGAGGTGAATAGATGTTTGGCCTGTACAATTTCTGCACCATGATTACCGAGAAGATGCAAACCTTTAGAAATAAACAGTATTGCACAAGCTACATGATAAATAGCGTCACCACGATTCACTTGATCCCCAGATAAAATTTCTTCCAAATAGACCTTGTCGAAACATGCACCGTAATGAGATGCAATCTCCGAAATGTACCAAGTCGATTTTTCTCGATTTCTCTGTTTGGAACATATGGATGAAATAATACTAGTGTAATATTTGATAATGGCAAGGTGCAATTCTCGTTTTTGTTGGGCGGGAATAACAGAGTTCAAAATATCAATGATCATGGATGATTTGAACTTGTAAAAACTTGCTTTCTCAGAGGATGAAGAGCACAAAAAGCTCTTCTCTTTTGTTTCATCGATCAACTCTAATATTTTGTATTGCGTAACCAAATCATTGAGTATTTGAACAATCCTAGATTGCTCTTGTTTGAGTGATGACTCTGGAAAGATGGCACATAATGTCTCAACATTAAATTTCATGCCACACGCAGAGGCTACTTTCAATACAAGTTGCGTATCAGCATCAAGACGATCAATTCTATGGTGCCATAATGATGCCATGGAAGCAGGTATTTCTAAACCATCAAGCGATGTTGTTCTCACTTTTAAAACACCATCCTCGACATAGAGTTTGTGCTGATCATGCAAGAAATGTGCTCCCATCGTCACAAATATCTGATTACCATCCGTTTTTTCGAAAATAATATTCAAAGCAGTCGAATCCACACTCTCAACATTGGCATATTTTCTTAATAAAGTCTCGGTGTCTTTTCTCGTGAATGGTTGTAAATTAATGACCATATCAGCTACTGAAGACCAAAATTCCAGCTCTTGTTTCTTTTCTTTAGCTTGGATGATATCGTCATCGTTCTCGTTAATGGGCCTCGAGGTGATCAGTAATACACAATTATTCATGGCAGGAGGAAGTTCTAATACTTTTCTCAATATTGATCTAGAGTAAGGATCCACAAATTGAAATCCATCATACATCAAAAACCATGGTTGATTTTCATATTTCATTTCTAGCCATGAGTGAGATAAAAACCTGGCAACCAAGCTGGCTGCAAGGTTCACACGTTGTGAAGATTCTAATTTTTCTCCCTCATTCGATAAATCTTCAAAGTGAACACCAAAAACATCATTAATTAAAAACAAATGCTTTCGGTCACTGTCAGAAGTAAATGTTGACAGTAGCAACTCTTCTTTTTGTTCACGTGTAATGGAGGAATATATGGCATCAATGTTATCGTACCTCATTTCCAGTCCATTCTTTTTACAAACTCTCTCCGCAACACTAATCTTGACATTATTTTGGAATAAATAAAATGGTGTTTCAAATTCAATGGCAGAGTTGTAGACACAGGCAATTTTGTCTCTCCACTCTTTGGCAAGTCGAGTGAACAGATCTGTTTTACCTAAACCAACATCACCCTATTGATACAAAGACAGCCGTCAATACAACGATGGATATATGCGTATTATAAAATCATTCATATTGAGCATTTCTTTTTTTGCAAAAATTTTTCATACATACCTTAATAAGGACAACATTTGATCTTGTTCTCGTGTGACCATTCTCAAACTCTTGCAGTTTGTTGGAAACCAAGGAACAAATTTTTTCAAACAAATCTTCTCGACCAATGGGAGCACGGAGAGCGCTCAGAGAGGCATCTGTAAATGCGTTATTTTTTTGACCCTCACAGGTCAGCACTGCTTTGTGTGTTTCTAGTTCTTTTGTTTGCTTCATATTTGTAGTATTGTTCGAGGAAGTAGATTGGTCTACATATGATGATGATTGTTCTTCTCCTTCCTGTAAGTTATTCATTGCCTTGCCGCTTGTTCCACTATCAGCTGTCTTATTCCTGAAGGAGTTGAAATACATATATTGAGTCTGAATAGATGCATCAATCACTTGAGAGACTTTGATTGGCTCTGATTTACCCTTTACCTTGATAGGTTCAAGAGGCTCAACAGGAATTCCTTTCAACAACAAAGAGGTTTCCTCGTCACAAATGATGCATCCGTCACGCTTTTCAGATTCTTTCATTAGTCTTGCAGCTAGATTAACCTTGTCACCATAACAAGTAAATTCCTGTCTCTGGCTGCAACCGACACATCCAATAAAACACTTTCCTGTTGCAATTCCAAGGCCGTACTTCATCCCACTTTCCTTTAGTTTGGCAGTGAGCTCGGTACCTGCTTTAACAGCACGTATGGGATCTGAAGTATGTGTTAATGGATAACCAAAAACGAATACAAGAATGGTACCCTTTTCATCGGCAACCATGTTAGCAATAAATCCTTCATAATGATCCAAAATCTTTTGAACGGTTTCTAATTGCATTTGATAGGCCTTCATTTCATCGTTAGGTGTTGGATATGTGTTGGTGTCACTCACTCCTAAAAATCCAACCGTGAGAGGTTTAATTTCATTAAGCCAATCGTGTTGACCTGCCTCAACTTTCTTACGGACGGGAGGAGAGACGAATTTTCGAATCACACGGCCGAATGAAGCATGAAAACTAATCTTTGGAAGAGCCAGATTTGAGGCCGCTTGTCTCTTGGATGAAATGGCAAGATAAACCTCCTCATTCACGCCCTCCACTTGACGGCATGTAATGAATTGTTTACATCGTTCATATGCTTGTTTTGTTAACACAACTTGGCCAACTTGGCTATTATTGAGAGCACTGGCCATATCTGTCAATGCAGGTCCATGCGTAATTCGAAGCCAGTAATCACTCACTCCTCCAATATGATGGGTCACAACTTTTCCAATCGATATTCCACAATGAATGTGCAAAGAAATGTCATTATTAATTTTGAAAACTCGTAATTGTTCAGTGCCTTGAATTTTTAGAGCACACTGAACGGCTGCTATCAAGCAATCGGTCAAGGTTCGATCCTTTCGTGGATAGTAAAATTGGCAAATCAAAGCGTCACCTATTCATGAAAATGTTTCCAATAATTGTATATCATGGATTTAACTATTATTTACAATAATATCATTTCGTCGTTGTGGACCTACCTGAAAATTTCTCGACATCACCTGATGAATTTAAAATTCAAGGTTAAATACCATATCGTGTTCATATGGTGTGATGTAGTAAATAAGAAATTGATTTAGCATTTGTTTGACATCATTATTTTGATTTACAAAATTCCAATCAAAGGGTCGTCATCGATGTTATTAAATTAGCCAACAAAAATCATGAAATAATAATAACAATGGTGAAATAAATAATCCAATTCTCATATGATGATTCATACCTCCAAATTCATAAATATAGGATATCAATGTAGTGAAATAATTATTCATATACTTTGTGAGCAGCTCAGCTCCGTTCGGCTCTTTAGACAATGTTTCCGTCAGGGGTGTAAACCCACTCACATCCAACATTAAAATACATGTCTCGTACGAAAAATTGCTCTGAGGAGATATATCCTCCAAATGATGATGCTCATCAAGAATTTTTTCGGAATGTATTCCTTTGGATATATTCGAATAATAGATGCTTTTCAAGTTGTAAAACAAATGTTGGGGTAAGAAGGATGAATACATCATTAAATTTGATTCGGTCATGAATGGCTCCTTTGTGACACTGCTTGAAGTATTCAAATAATTAAACCCAACAAAACTTAATCTTGGTTCTGGAATTTTGAAAGAGTAAGCCTTCCGAACCTCAATACCGGACGGTTTCGAACTGATCGTAGATCCTGTTGTACTACCCACCGAAATGGTATCGTCCCACGTTGCGAGATGATAATGATTCCCCTTGGTCCCTTCTCCGTGAACATTTGGATGTTCACGATCATTCAATTTCTCGCCTGCCTGAGAAGGAATAGAAGAGGATCCGCTTGTTGTTTTCAAGTTGGGATGCTTTTGAGGTGCATGTGCCGTTGAATCAACAATATTGGCACACGATGCGGAATGACTACAACCAGAACCCATGATGATGATGATGGAGATGAATTTTAGACGTTTCTTTTTTGTAGTTGTTTGGGCGCGGAACTGCAAATTGGACACTCTTTTCATGGAAATCATAACAGCTCTAGATATTCTTCACATAATCCATATATTCGTGCCAAGAGTAACGGTAAAACAATCGTTGTGCCCAATAGTCATAACCTTGATCTTGAATGTAACTGATGAATAAAGGAAAGAAGCCTTCTTGTAGCTAAATATTTATAAAGAAGAGCGTTTTGGTTGTGATCATTCGCAAGATCTTCAAGAACTTCTCTCCAAATAAATGTTGATTCTATAATTCTGGAATGGGTCGTATGTATCAGGCTGAGAACTTCAGATTCTTTTAATGCAATATATTATAAGGATGAGATCACCTAAAGACATTTAATTCTTGAACTTGATGAATTTAGTGCCACCCATGTAAGGTTGCAAAACTTCAGGAACATTCACTCCTTCTGGTGTTTGATAGTTTTCAACGATACAACAAAGTGTTCTAGAGGTAGCAGTCAATGTAGAGTTCAACATGTGGCAAAATTCAACCTCACTACCTTGCTTCTTGCTCTTACCATACTTGACCTCGAGTCTTCTAGTTTGGTAGTCGGTACAGTTGGAGCAAGAAACCAATTCTCTGTATTCGTTACCTTCATCAGCTCCTGGGAACCAAGCTTCCAAGTCGAATTTCTTGGCAGCAGCATTATTCAAAGCACCGCTGACAATATTTACCACTCTGTATGGAATTCCAAGACTTTGATAGAAAGCTTCAGAGTTTCCAATCATTTCATCGAACATTTCCCAACTCTTATTGTCCTTTGGAGAAGTGACAACAAATTGTTCAATCTTTTCGAATTGGTGAACACGGAAAATACCCAAGGTGTCCTTACCGTGAGCACCAACTTCTTTTCTGAAACATGTGGACATACCGCAGTACTTGATTGGAAGCTCACTCTCATCAAAACGCTTCTCCAAGTGGAAAGCAGCAATTGGTTGTTCAGAGGTGGCAATCAAATACTTGTCTTCACCTTCTCCTGTGACAGTATATAATTCTTCATCAAATTGAGACAATTGAGCTACCTTCTTCATTTGTTCCTTAGTCATGAAGAATGGTGTGTAAATTGGCATGTATCCCTTCTTGGCCAAAAAGTCAATGGCATAATTTTGAAGAGCCAAATTCATTCTGACCAAATCTCCAAGTAAAAAGTAACCTCTTCCACCACCGACTTGAGTACCTTCTTCTGTGGCTAATCCTCCTAATTTTCTCATGATATCAATATGCTTGAGACATTTGTATCCAGTCTCTGGATCAACTTTTGGTCGTGGATTACCGACCATTCTCACAATACCATTATTATCTTCATTATCACTGACAACAACAGTCTCATGAACAATATTACCAATTTGAAGTAAAACATCATCTCTCTCCTTTTCTTTTTGCTTCACCTCCTCTTCAGAATTCTTAATATGAACTTCGGTAATGTATGTAGAGAGCTTTTTCAGTTGATTGGTATTGAGTTTTGCCAAAGATCCTTGTTCGAGGGCCTCCTTTGTGAAGAGGGCATAAACATCATCAGTGACTTCTTTTGGTAATTCCAAATCATCACCGAGTGGAACCTTGTTTTTCATACGATTACCAACTTCCTTGCTGATAATACCAGTAAAACTCTTGATATGATTCAATTTACCAATGGTAGCTCTCCATACTTCGTCCAATTCAATGACTTTATCAACAAGAGTAACATCGGCAAATCTTCTTCGTTGAGACTCTCTAATAATCTCTGGATTACCGCCCTTGTATTCTCTGAATAAATTAATATCGAGCATTTTCTGTTGTGGTTTTTGTTGTTGTTGTTGATGATGAGGTACGGGTAAAGAGAGGTCGAGAGTTTCGTTGTAAATATGGATAGGTAAACGTTTGAGGATGATGAAGACGGATTAATAAGCCATCGTCATATTAATTACAATAATAACGAGACACAACCATGATGATCACCCAACACATCAAAAAAATACATTGGGTAATATTTTGGATGATGAAACAGACTGGTGTGGGCACACTCAACCCAATGAAAGAGACGTACCTACTGTGTATGTTGGTGCTGAATTTTTTTTGTTTCGAAATATTTTTTCCCTCAATCTTCTTGTCAACAGATTATGCAATTCCGAAAGTCGATCAATTTATTGAACGACAATAAAACCAACAACACAGCAAAAATAACTCTTTCACTTCTCTCACAACAACTCGAGTACTACAGATCTGACATGTCGTTATTATCCAATAAAAATTTCAAGCTTACTTTCTTTGGTGTTTTTGTTGCTGTGTTGGAAGAGGTAGTTGTTGCTGTTGAGCTTGTCGACGATGGTTGTGGAGGTGTTGATAAAGTCAAATTAGCGAGGGGTGGAGTGGTGAATAGTGGTGTGGAATTGATACTTTTCATGGATCGTGGTGTCTCTTCATCTGTTAAAAGAGTCGTATTAGGAGAACGACTAGTCAAAGATGTCGGTGATGAGATGGTGGAGCTTTGTCCTGTACAGGCTTGAGATTTCTTACTTTTTTGAGGGGTGGCATGTTCTAAAATTTCCACACCATCGTCATCACTCAAATATACAACTTCAACCACAGGTGGCTTATTGTGTTGGCTCAGTGAGTGGGGACTTTTAGGTCGTTCCTCTACTACTTCTTGTTGTTGCATGTTGTCCGTACTCGAAATAATTTCCTCGATACTGACGTCCGAAATGAGTGGAGGCGAAGCAAGCTGATATTGCTCAGAGGAAGCAGAAGACAACTTGGATTTATAAGGTGTGAAGAAAATGTCATGCAGGGTCGAATTTGGATAGTGTGAATTCGTTTCATCTTCGTCCACGAAAAAGTAAAGACCTTTTGGAGTGGTCGATGAGAGTGGTGAAGCGCCACAAGTTGTGTGGTTGGTGTTGTTATTATTGTGGTCATCGCCAATGATGCCTGTGACATTGTTCTCAGTAGTTGATGAATTGGCGGTATGATTTTGTGATGGGTTATTCCTATTATTATGGGAGGAAAGAGTTGTACTACTCGCGAATGAGGAGACAATCTGTTGTGGTGCTGCTTCTGATTGATGATATTGCGACTCTTTTTGTGACTCTTCTTGACTGGGTGGCGTTGATTCAATGATGGTTTGAGAGGGGTGTGTTTGTTGTTGAAATTTCACAGCCACTCCTGCGAACAGCACTGGGGAAAGTGCTTCTTGTGAGGAGGATCTATGCTCGACTCGAATTGTGTGTGATGATGGTTGAATGACACCACTACCACTGCCACCACCACTGCTGCTGCTTCGACTGCTTTTAAGACTTCTTTGACTACCATTCTCGCTTGTAGAGGATACAGAATGTTGGCTATGGTGAGAAGGTTGCAACAAGGAATGAAGAAGCACGGGTTGAGAAGCAATGATCGAATGTTGACTCTCTTGAGTGGGTAGTCCATTAAGGATATGATCGAAGCGGGTATCAATTGATGGCGACGAGGTATTTTGTTTTTTCTTCTTACTGGGTGATTCATGGGATGAAATGTGCTGCTGATCAGGTACTTCTTCTGCGTCAATCTCTTGCTTCTGTTGTCGTCCAATAGCATCGAGATTATCATCATTACCTGTTTGATCTTCAAAAGTCGTCTCGATGTGTTTTCGTTTCTTCTCTGGTGATGGAGCAATGAGGGATGAGGATGTTGAGCTCTGTGGCATGGATACATACGATACTGGCTTAAACTCTTCAAATTGAATGCCTTGCTGTTGCGGCATCTCAACCACCTCATTAAATATTTTCTTAAAATCGGTAGCACTCTTTGAAGTGCCACCATCTTTAAATTTCACACCTACTTCATGAATATTTCTCACTAACGAATTGGCACATAATTGAATTTCATACGTGTCATCGTTGGATTTCTTGATCAAGTGGCCCTTATTAATATAATAAGTCTCTCCTTCCTCCATCTTGTCATAAAATTCATTAATTAAATCATTGAACATGATTACTTTGAACCTCTTGGATGAGAGTTCATCTTCGACTGTAATTGCACAAACGCGACCTGAACCTCTCTCGTTGGCCCATGTTTTTTCATTGTGTTTCTTGATAACTTTCACTTTTACACACCATTCATCGAGAATGGGTTCTAACATGGTGAAAGCAACAGGAGGAGGTAATTTTCGTTCAGATTTGGAGACATTGAGATATTCCGATTTCTCTTTCATGTATTGTTCCTTTTCTCTGAATGCTAAAATCTGAGCACACACGTGTTTACAAAGACCTTCACCACCGATGGGGCAATTACCTGATGACCATTTTCAACCAAGTATTCCATCAAATCGGAAAAAGAAAGAAAAACAATTTCAACACAAACATGGTGTAATGTTCGAATAAATGATATAAATTCGTCGTTGAAGAAATCGATCAAACAAAGTGTGAGTATGAATTAATTGAGAGATTTTTAAGACTATACTTACAAATCGCTTTCAGAAGTTTCCCATCCTTAATAATACTCTCTTGTTTGTAAGGTTCTTCTCGAGAGCCCATACATGTACTGTACAACTTGAATGCAATATTATTGATGATCTTTGTTCTAAAATTATCAATTCTGTATTCGTTCTTGTAGTCTCTACCACGTTGAAAATAAACGGCTCCAAAATGATTCATAATATGGAAAATGGACATGTTAATACGGAGCTGTGAAAGTATTGAGCTATCCACAACTGTGGTGTAAACGGTTGATGGTGGTACTGATGATGACGATACGCTTTGAGATGGGAAGGCATCTGCAATTTGTGACGCCGTTGATAGTTCCATTCCATCACCATTTTGAGATTTCATGGTTGTGGAACCCTTATTTCCAAAAGGATCTGTCACATGACTAATCTTTGATGATGATGACGGGGCCACAATACGATCTGTAGTCATATTGGTCATCATTCCATTATTATTGGTTTTTGCTGCCTTCTCTTCACTCTTTTTGCGTAACTCTCGTAGGTATTGTAACTTGGAGAAGGGATCTTCCTTTTCATCAGTGTCCTCATCTTGCATCATTTGATCAAGATCCTCATCACCAAAAAGGATGGTAGCTTTTCTTTGATCGTTATATTCTATATTTTCATCATCGCCATCATCCATACCAATGGTTGTTAGTACATTCTCGAAAAAGTCTTCCTTATACTCAAAGTATGAAATGAAGTTTCTGGGTAATACTATTCCGTGTCGCATGCCTCTCTTTTGATACTCAAAATAAGGTTGATCTGTCACGTTTTCATTTTCATTGAGCTGATTTAGGAGTGGATATCTTCTAGGTTTAGGAGCATCTACTGATTTAGAGTTAGGTAAGTATTGGAGGGTAATTGTTGGCAAGTCGTATTGTTGTTGATGTGAGAGTAGTGTTCGAAAATCGTTTTGTGGCTCTGAGAAAAATGTTGAATAGTCTAAAACGCATATTTTATGGAAAATACGAAAAATGTCGTTGGGAATGTCTTGTCGAGGAAGATCGGTCACAAATAACGATTCATCCATTCGTATCGAATACATGTAGAATATCTGTTGAGAGGGATGTAAACATGATGCAACATTGAACATTTTGAGAATGAGTTGATGATACAAGAATTCAATTAAAAAGTTTGTGTGAATTAATATTTTTCCAATGAGAAATTTTACGTAAAATTTCATAATTCTCGTGTAAACAAAATTAATTTACATACCTGACAAAAGATAGTCACTAAACTTCTATTTTCAATATCGGTGCAATAATAAATTGGGAATGGGAGGCCTAGATCAACAATAGCATCTCTTAGTAAATGCATGACGTTTAGGGAGTTCACATGGTTTGCAGGAATATTAAGGGAAACTCGGAAACTTTCCTTATCTTTAAAAATGAAAATTACTCTAGGTTCCTGGAATGTCTCAGACCACGTTAGAAGTTGGCTCTTTATCACGGAGGAATTTTTAAATTGAACCTTTCGTTTTTTCGAGTCATAGATGAATAAATTTGCAGAGCACGTGTCAATAATGAGTGATCGATAACAAAAATCTGATTCCTTTCGGTTGATAAAAAGTGGTAATTCTTGACTTGAAATTTTTCCAAAGCCCTCATCAGGTGAGGGGTGAGTGAGAAGTGATTTGCTGGAATTTTCGTCCCCTCGTGAAGATTTAATTTCTTTCAAAATTTTATCGAGAGAGTCAAAACGTTCATTCATTTCAAAATTGTTCACTTCAAAATATTCACACAAATGAAATATTTTAGCAATTTCGATTTGTAAATCTCCATATTTGGGGTAAAATGTGATACATTCTATTGAGCATTGTGGTTGTTCAGTTTTAATCTTCTCAATGAGCTTTTTTCGACCTTCGGAAGATGACATGGTTTTTTCATCGTCAATGACAATCTTTCTATTTTTTGAGAGTAGATCAAACATCCTCGAAATATTCTTTAATCGATCTGTTTCAAAAGATATCCGCTCAAATCCTCTCAATTCATAAACACTTTCATAGTGCGATGTCTTTCCTAAGAAGGGACATCCCAAAAAGAAAATGCATTGTTGCGCAGCGAGGAGTGATTGTCGGGATGAAAAAGGTGCTGAAATTTTCTTATTGAGAAGTGATGTGCTGTTATGACTTGTCGTTGTGGTTGTCGTTGCTGTTGATGACGAGCTTGTTTCGTTACGAGGAAGTTGCAACATTTTTTTTATAGTGATTTTCCAATTTTTTGAGGATTTCTAATCTGTTCACCTGAAATTCGATTTTTTAAACCTAACTCTGGACAAAGATCAACGAGTCAAGCGTGATCAAAGGATCTCGGTGAACATTGTCGTTGATGATGTTGTGATGATGAATTTTTAAAAAAATACATCATCAATACCGTCATCACGAACCAAGATATTTAAATTTTTCGATCATCACTCCAATTTCCCATCATCAATAGGTATTGGCCTCATCAACACAATAACAACGAAAACTACAAAAATACCAATACATCAACATGATTCACTTCATTTTACTCATTTCCCGACAATCAAAAGTTCGCCTCGCCAAATGGTTCTCCACATACTCACAAAATGAACGAGCTCGTATTGTTAAAGACGTTGCACATATGGTGGTCGGAAGACCATCAAAATTGAGTAATTTTCTGGACTTTAAAGAACATAAATTAGTGTTCAAACGATACGCGTCATTATATTTTGTTGCTTGTATTGATAAGGAAGATAATGAATTGATGATGATGGAAATGATTCATCACTTTGTAGAAATTTTGGATAAATATTTTGGAAATGTGTGCGAGTTGGATTTGATATTGAATTTCCATAAGGCTTACTTTATATTGGATGAAATATTTCTAGGAGGTGAATTACAGGAAACAAGCCGAAAAACAATTCTCAAAGTGATCTCAACCCAAGATCAAATGATGGAACAAGATTTTGAAAGTCAATTCACATTCTAAAGTGTGCTTTTTTGGACTACACACCTATATATCATGTTTTGATGTAATTTTTGCTTGTTACCTTATTGTAAATTTATTATTAAATTATTCTTAAAATCGAAAACAGTTATCGTCATGGAATAACCGTTTTTCTTCATGTTCTCATACCCATATCAGCAATATAAAGAACCTATTTAGATTTCAGAACTAGAGTTGTCCTTTTGATGGTTCATTGCATATTGTTGAAGTTACACTTCAAATTGATTAGCCCAGTCAATCACATTCTCCAACAAGGAAATAATGTCCTTCTCGTCTTGAGATAATTCCTCATATTGCACATAGTCATGAATTAAATTAAGGGTACTTGGAAGATTTTGTGTGTTTGATAATTGAATAATGTAGAGCATCAATCCATAAAGTGTCGTGTCTGAGATGGTATCAAAATTAGAGACATTGTTCACAAGTTCAATAACTTTGGCGTACATGGCAACGAGAGAGTCAATGGCTGCGTATGGTGTTTTCCCTACATTAATATTATCCAGAATTTGAATGGCCGGTTCAAAACTATCGCTAGCTTCAATAATGGCTGCGTCGTCTACTCCCAAATCTTGTAATGTCACAATTCCAATAGCATTTAACTTTTCCTCAATGGTCTTATTTTGCTGCTGCGTTTCATAAACCTCCACGAGTGTACGGTACACTCTCTTGACAATACCTTCTGTGAGAGCTTTAGTGACATAATGACGTAATTCTGCCATTTGTAAACAGGCCCATAATGGAGTGAGCTCAACAACGATAGCACTGGCCAATTCAGAAATTTGCTTATTGGCATCGTGTACACTCAACCATACAGTATCTTCTTTCACTTGAAATTCTTCATTGAATTTCTGAGTAAAATAAATCAACAAGTTGTTAATTGGATGTTGTGAAATGAGATCTGTTATGTTCAAGATATGTGAGCGAATACGTTCCCATTGATCTGCAGCCGATTCCAAAGCCAATAGTTCCCTATCAAACAATTCGTCTCGAGTCTTGAATGTTCTCTCCTTGTGATAATTGGTTATAAATTTGGTTCGAACAAATTTCGACCATGCATTGTCACCTTCTCGAGTCACATCAGCACCATCACCCTCCAATGCTTGAAGAGAAAGACTTTTCCGTTTTTCTTTTGCTGAAAGCTCTGCAGGATCGAGACCGAAAGATGTCACTTCGCTCAAGGATGGTTTGTAGGCCTCAGGTGATGGGGCCCGAGTGTTGAATGTTGCACCTGGAGGTGGTTGAAATTGAATGTTAGGTGACGAGAGTTCAACACTCTTTCTATTTGAGTAAAAGGTTGAATTTGTGGAAGAGGAGACAATCATGGACTTGGATAGAGGATTATTTGATTTTGAAATGGCTGTTAAAGTGGGAGAAGAGGGTTGTGCCATGAACGATGACGAGTTTAAGGAGGCGTTCGAAGCAGTAGAAATGGATGATTGGAAGGACACGTTATTGAACGAATTGGATGCTGTGAGGGATGTTGGTGTGGATGAAGATGTTGCATTGAATGGTGAAGGCGATGAATTATTGTTCAAACCCTGTGAGTGGGTTGTGCTGCTATACATCGTCGAGGATACTCCAAATGGATAAGCAAAAGAAGTCGATGATCTCAACGACGAATTACTTCCTCCTGAAACAGAACCAAGTGATGAATTTGTGAGTGATTGCATGGTTGAACCACTGGTGGTAGTTGGAGGTGTCAGAGAGGTCATTAATCCCGATGACGAACTATTACTGCCAGTGGCACCATAAAACGAGGTGGACATGGTCAGAGGCATTTGGAGTGGAGTCATGTTGTTGTGATTCATGGAAGCGGATGATCCTCCACTTCCTCCAATATTTGGTGGCGAAGAGGATGATGATGAATTATTGTTATTTGCTGCATTTGGAACTTCCTTTTCAATAATATCACTCACTCGTTCAAAACACATTTTCGTAATCTTCACGGCTTGCACCACTTGTTTGTACGTTTGTGCATTCGTTTTCAATTCTTCATAGAGTGTTTCTTCTTTCAGGACTTGTCCGAGAGCTAAAAAACATGCGGCATATTGTTTGAGAGCCTCTGCAAAATTTCGTTGTTCATCTCTCTTGATGGCTTCACTACTCTTAATTTTGATGGTATGAATATGGAATGCTTGGACCATAGATAGCTATGTTGGTAGGTTTGACGATGATGATGAGTAATATTAATAATTGATGATGATGAAAGGATTGAACTGTTCGGAATGCAAGTGAATGATGAAGTGGATGATGAGGTTGGTGATGGTGAATACTAGACTGTCAGTGTGAGAGTAATACTGCTTTAAGGGACAATTTAGAATTTTTAAAAGTTTGATATTAGAGAGATCCGTTTCTTGATGATGATCAACAAAATTTAAAATTTCCCTTTGGATCGTTTTTGTTAATATTAACAATAATGATGAGAAACAATGTGTAATTTTTTTGATCAACACAACAACTGATGATTCGTATTCGGGTCAAAGTGAGAATGGCCTTTTCACAGTGAGTTTTACTTCCAACTAATTTTTTTTGATTTTCGAAATGAATTTGAAACTGGGTGTTCTCAAGATCTTCTTTTTCGAAAATAAAAGGACGAGGACGACACTTGTGTTATTATTTCGTAATGAAAGCAAAATATATTACTAAACTCTCGTAGAAGTTATTTAAAATTCATTTTCAATTTTTAAATGCATCACAATCATTCTGAGTAAATGAACGTTTATTTCAAACAAGTCAATTTCAATAACAACCAATCAATCACACTTGGACATAAGCTTTGAATCGCAGCAAGGAAAGGCCACACCAAATTCTTTCCATTTGAATCCACATAGACATGTTTTCCACGATTCGAAGAGAATAAATTAGAAAACATGACTTGTGCTACTTCATTGGGATCTTGTCCAAATGTGTCCATAATTTTTCCAAAAGAATGTTGACAATTGGCAATTTCTTGAGAAAATTCCGATTGAGGATCAATGGAACCCTTAAATGCCATTCCAGTCTTGGTAAATCCCGGAAATACACAACACACATCAATTCCACTCGATCTCAACTCTCTTCGAATACCGTCATTCCAACCAATGAGCGCAGCTTTTGTCACTCCATAAGGTGTTCCCAAAAATGGTGGAATTAACACACCGGCTGGAGAAGCAACATTCATAATCAAGGCTTTTGAACGACCTTCGGATCGAGAGAGGTGTGGAAAAACAGCACGTGTCATTTTCATGTGACTTGTCACATTTGTTTTAAGCATTTTATCGACCACCTCTTCGTTTAGTTCCACCAATGAAGTGTAATTGGTGTCTCGAGGATATGAAATACCAGCACAGTTGACCAAAACAAAGACAGAATCCACTGAACCTTCAGAGAAGAGTTGTTGTTGAATGTCTTGTGAAGTGACACTTGAGAGATCGAAGGAATGTGTTTCATAGGTTGCCCCCGAAACTTCCTTTGAATGGTTGTTGTTGTTGTGGTCATTGTCTTCGATAGAGTTCCTTAAAAGACCCATCTTGATGTACTCTTGTCGACGTTGTGAGAGAAGAGGTTCATTACAATCAACGGCAATCACTCGACAGTGATGAGAGAGCAGTTGACGAACCAATGCCTCACCAATGCCACTTGCAGCTCCAGAGACAATGACACACTTCCGGTTGGGAAGAATGTCATGCCTGTAACGAACCCATTTAGAAGAGAGAGAAACGACAAGGAACAAGAACACCACAACAGGGAGAGCTATGGTAAAAAGCATTCTGTGGGGTAGCGCTGAAGGATGTGAGCGGTTGTTTTTTTTTAAATTGAATGAGAAAAGGTTGGAATTAAGAGAGCCTTGAATTGGGAATGACAACAATTTGCATCTCGAAAAATGCCCTTCAAACACTCTTTTGCTCTTCCTCTCAAAATTTTTGGCTGTTGATTTGAATTCTCAAAAGTTGTGAATTCCCAATTCAAGGCTATTCATTACTTCTCTTGAATTGCTTCTCATTTTTGAAAAAAAAGAAACTGAATAAAAATTCAGGGATGGGTTTATTCGATGATAAACGTTGTTCGATGGTTTATATGTACATTATTTACAAGCCGAACGTAAGATACGTAGTGACTTCCTAGCATGCACCCCGGAAGTAAAGGTGTTTAAACTGCTCACGATAACAGCAGCAACCCCTGGGATTCAAACGCTGGACCAGTTGGCTGCCACAGGTCCAGAAAAACCACTCGGCCATATGCGGGCAGCAAGAAACTGAATAAAAATGAGTTGGAAATAAATTTAATGTCCACCTTGATCCATAAATCACTCCCAATTCCTCTACAAGCGATGAACGAGGAGTTCTCCACATATGAAGAACAACATAAACATCCAACAGATCAAAACTCCACATAAAAAAAATTTCCTATCAACTGCAAAATGTCATCCCAACTGCGTCAAGAGATTCCGATGGTTCAATTTCTTACAAATCCCTTTCCATTCGTACGATCTCACCTAAGTCCACTCTACATTTTCCTTTTCAAACTCTTTCTTCCTTCCAATCACTCTAAACTATCATCACAACTCGAAAGGTGTGAAATTATTTTACAACAAACATTGGCATTCGTTCATTATTTCCACCCATCTCTTCTCAATCGATGGTTACATGCATCCACTATTGTACCTTTCTTTTGTGGAATTTTCCTCGTACTTGGTTTTCTAGTTAAAAGTGCATTTGGATTGGAAGTGACTTTTCCTTTTGTGGTTGTGTGGAGTTTGCTGTTTGTTTTCTTTGTTATGGGAATTGATCGATATGCATCCATAATTTTAGCTCTCTATTGTACTGCCATTTGTTACACTTGTCATTGGTTATTGAGAAATAATGACGCATTGACAACTGGCATTCCAACTCTAAACAGTGGACAAGTCCATGTACTCCTTTGGGGTTTGAGCTTGCTTTCTCTTGCATCTATAGGTCAAGTCGTGTTGGGACATTTATGGATCGATCAAAGAACACCTGCTTTCTTAATTCAAGAAGCTTTATTAATCACTCCAATTTATATGATCTTGTCATGCGTGTTGATGGAAAACCCATTGATTAGATATTTGCCAAATTTGAAGAATAACATTGAGAACCATGCAACGAGTGAAAACTTTCAACGTTATGCAAGAATAAAGTAGTTTTTCAACAAATTCTCAAAAAACACTTCGAGCCCTTCTTGCTACTACACTTTACAACGAATGAATTTCAGAACGAACCACTCCAAATAAACCATATTACATGATAAGGCACCTGTTGTTGTAAATCTGTTACAAAATTGAAAAAGACCTTTTTTGCGATTGGATTTCTAAAAAAAAATGCAAAAAAAAATTCACGAACATGAACATCCATGACTTTCATTCTGAAAAGCACCATCATTTTATGAAAGATGATGTCTTTCTATTGTGAATGAATAGTATATAAAAAAATGTCTGTTCGATCTTGCTCAGTTCCGAATTGCCCAACTCTTGCCTCGATCCATTGTTGTATTTGTGGTTTGGATTTTTGTTCGGAACATGATGATCATCCTTCCAAGAGACTCCATCAAATAGGAGTGAATTCTAATCCAAATGGTAATCATCATTGCAACCATCATCATCACTGTTGTTCAAGCTCAACCGTTCAATTGAAGAGTGAGCCGATTCACCTCTCATGCGGTGAGTGTAAAGCTCAAGTGGCAACAAGCCTCATCACTGCTGCTTGCTCTCATTGTTGTTGTTGTCGAATCAATTTATGTATGATGCATGCCTTGGAACATGAGAAGGCACATCATCGGGTCTCTAAAACGTATCGATCATTAAATAACATGTATTAGTATAATCCAAATACGGAAATTGCCTTGAGTGCTCCAAGGAAAATTCTGAAAGTGGAACCATTGAGTGATTCTAATTCCAACTCGTCAAATAAGCGATCATTAGTCATGAAAGAAGTCCTTTCAGCCGATGTCGAAGAGTTGATTGAAATTTATTCCAACGCTCAACAATTATGGAACTCACCCGAACAAACAGAAAAATACATCATTGAAATTGTGGATCTATGTGCAAACAAAGAAGGGTGCATTGTTCAAATTGTAATACCTGAGATGACCTGCAATTTGAGAAAATTTGTGGAACTGCGACTCGCACATGATCGTGACAATGGCAACCATTCAAAACAACTTTTTTTGAAAAACAAAATCAAATCTCTATGTTTGATTTTGGATGTCATGAATCAATCTGCAAACGGCTTGCACTGTTGGAATAATTCCAATGCCAAAAGACATAACGATGTGAAACCCGAAAATTTTCTAGTGGAACAGGACAAACGATTCATGTCCAATTTTTCTGTCTATCTTGCAGATTTAGACGATTCAGAAGAGAACATTTCCCGTGCCACTAACACCCAACTTGGAACTCCTTCTTACATCTCTCCTGAGGCATATCGTGGAAAGAAACGCACCACAAAAACAGATATTTGGAGTTTTGGTGTCATGTGTCTGCAATTTCTATGTCTGCTACATGACATGAGTTATTTTCCAGAGTATTTAGAGAGGTGCTTCAATCAAGCATCTATTGACCAATTTCTGAGCGAGCTCAAAAACAAAATGAAACACTCTCTTATTTCGTCTCTCACCGAAAAGGGAATTGAGATGAATTACACACTCGTTGTGTTTTCTGAATGCGTACGACGATTATTGTCGCTCTGCAGCAACATGTTGAAAATAGAATCAAATTGACCAAATTTGGATCTCACATTGAGTCAATTGAAATCAATCATGATCACCTTACTGTATTCTCTTAACAATATCTCACCGGTGGTATTTTCTGATCGCACAAGATCAATATTAATGGAGGATATCAAAATCATATTTCGTTACAACTTAGCGACGAATCATCCCCATTTATTGCCAGTGACATGTCATAGTGAAGAGATGATTTCTCAATACGAAAACGCATATAACCAGTATGCAGTGGAATCGTTGGTGGAGCAGCGCGATCTCTATGTAGCTCTCTTTGAAAGCCGATACACGAATTGTGTCAAAATAACCACCGTATGGTCGTTCATGAATTTTAAAGGTTTTCTTTTCTTTGGCAAAATTGACGACCAATATTTCAAAGCTAATGATGGAAAGTGGAGATTTTATCTGTAGGGGCATGGAGTTTTATGATCGATTTCAAAATATCACCGAATTAGACCTTACCAACACTAAAATTGGAGACAAATCGATGGAAATTCTTGCAGAAACTTTTTCAAATCTCAGAACACTGCTGTTAAATGAAAATAGAATTGGCTATTCATGTGCAGAATGTGTTTCAACAAGCAAAAACTTTGCAAATTTAACAATATTGGATTTGAGCGGAAATTCAATTGGAAACAAAGGTGTTGAATTTATTTCCTCAAGTCCATATTTGAAAAATTTAGTGAAATTGTACTTGATCAACAATAACATTGGGAAGGAAGGAGGAAAAAGCATTGCAAAAAGTACAACTCTGATGCGTTTGCAAGTTTTAAATTTGAGTATAAATGACATTGGTAATGACGGCTTGAAAGAAATTTTATCCAGTGACCTGGTAAAGAATTTAAATGAACTCGGACTGAATCTTTGTAATATTGGTTATGAAGGGGCTTGCTTAATTTCTAATTGTGATAGGTTAACCAACTTGACGTCGCTCTCTTTAATTGGAAACACAATTACAGACGATGGCAAAAACTTAATTTGTACACATTTGGCAAGGTGTAAATTGATTTTGGATGGAAATTTGAATTCCTTATCGTCTTAGAAGTGCAGAACGGAGTGAATTGCATCAATAACAAACAGAATGTTATATATTAATTAAGCATATCCAACCAGGGCATGAACTAGCGAATAGTGGTAATTTGGAATTTCCTTCTCTGTATCGTCTCACAAAGTCTTCACAAAGTTCCAAATGTGAAGCCATTCTTGCCAAAGAAGAGCATTCAAAAACAGCAATGGCACCTTTTTACCAAGCCATAACGATCATTGAGTACTTTATATCGATCACGATAACCAAAGATTCGAAATCAACGACGAATCAACGACGAAGATTTGTTTTACGATGCACGGACAAGAATTATTTCTAAGATACAACATTCCACAAATATTTCTAAGATACAACATTCAATTCCGCTATGGAATTATTGAATCGAAGAAGAGTATTTTCAGGCCTCTCAAAATTGAATAATTTGTGTTTATTTGTGTTTTCTGAATTTGAATTTTCTCTTTTCAGATTCTTGGACAAGTTCTTCAAAAGTCATTTGCTTCTCTTGCTTTGACACGAGTTGAATAATGTCACCGGGCAAAATGTCCTTATAATTCTCCAATGAAATACCACAATCGTTACCCTTCTTAACTTCCTTCACTTGATCTTTAAAGTGGAAGAGTGAATTGATAGATGTTCGTTCAATTAGAGTTGATCCCTCTCGCAACACTCGGTAAAAATCACTCTTTTCAATCTTTGCCAGCATGGAACCTTTGGTTACGGCACAGCCAGCAATAGGAATTATTGTCTTTTTACCTGAGGTGCTCTTGTCTGTGAAAGTAAATGGTTGTTTGCACAAAGCCTCTCCAAGAACAACATCCTCAAATATGGGTGGAATCATTTTAACCAATTCCGACTTTAAAAAGTCAATTAAATGGTAAATCACTCGGAATGAACTAATTGTGACACTATTACTCTTGGCTTCGATAGCTATGTTTGGTGCAACTTTTGCGTTCATGGCAATAATTTGAGTTCCTTCCACAATCTTTGCCAGTTGGATGTCAGCTGTGGAGACTGGGCCCACTGCCTGCTTAATAATTTGTATCTGAGCAATCTCGGTAGGGAATGATGAAATAATTTCGTTGAACGCATCTATCGTTCCAATCACGTCTGTTTTCAAAATTATTGGTAAAATATATTTCTTATCTTCTTCAAGTGTTTCTTTGGGTGTCTCTGATGTTGTAGATTTTTCTTGTTCCTTTTCGGCCAGTTCTGGATTTTGTTCGATCTCCTTTTGTCGTTCGGTTTCACGTCTTTCCATTCCTCTCAAATTCTCTTCAAACTTTTTAGCTTTCTTATTTTCTGCTTCGATAGTCATCATTTCAATTCTGTATTCAACAATTCTTTTGGCCATTTCCTCGCTTTCAACCTCAATAACCTTATCTCCTGCTTTTGGCATACTTGTAAAACCAATAATTTCTACAGGATCAGATGGATATGCAACCTTAACTTCCTTCAAATTTGCATCTCTCAAGCTCTTGATCTTTCCATAGGACAGTCCAGAGACTACCCATTTACCGGTTTTAAGATTTCCTCTTCGAACAATGCATGTTGCTGAGATACCAAAACCTTGCAATACTTTGCATTCAATGACCGTTCCTTGCATTGGAACATCGTCAAATATTGATTTCAATTCTAACACTTCTGCCTGAAGGCCAATGGCCTCAATAAGATCCTTAATACCCGTTCCTTTGAGTGCTGAAATGGGCACAAATTGAACATCTCCTCCCTTCTGCTCTGAAACAATTCCCTCGTTCATTAAATGTCTTTCAACCATTTCGATGTCTGCATTGGGTTTATCAATCTTGTTGATTGCAACGATCATTGGAACGTTTCCTTCTCGTGCATGTTTGATCACTTCTCTCGTTTGAGGCATGACGCCATCATCTGCTGCTACAACCAAAACAATAATATCAGTCACTTGTGCACCGCATGCTCTCATAGAAGTGAATGCCTCATGTCCTGGTGTGTCAATAAATGTAATGGGTTGAGAGATGGAGGGCAGCTTAACTTGGAAAGCACCAATATGTTGTGTGATTCCTCCAAATTCCTTTTCCACAAGGTTTGTATTTCTCAATTTGTCCAACAGAGTTGTTTTACCATGATCGACGTGACCCATGATTGTGACGACGGGTGCTTTGGGCTTGAACATTTTTTTGTATTCCTTCTCGCTCTTGTTGAGATCTTTTGCTGATGGAGGTGAGTTATTTTCCAATCTTTCAAGTGTTTTTAAATCTTCATCTGATAACACTTTTGGTTTCGTTCGTATTGGAATCGATTTCAAATGTTCAAGACAAATATTTTCAATTGTTTCCATAGAAATTATATCTTCCATTGTGTAACCTTTTGGAAGACGTTTGGTTATTTCATGAGGTGAAATGTCTAACTTTTGTCCCAATTCTCTTGCACTCATTGGTGCTTTTAATTCAAATTCTGGATAAGCATTTCTCACATAGAATCGTTTTTCCTCTTCATCATCTTCATCGATACCCCTTCTTTTCTTGGGAGTTTTTTTAGGTTTATTTCCGGTATCACTACCTCCTACTTCGATTGATGAGTTTTGATTGTTCAAAATGTGGAGCAAAGTGTGGTACCGCTGATGGGTATGAACATCTAGGTGGCTACGAATCATTTGGAATGTTTTTAATTGGTTGTTATGATGAATAGTGGTAAAAGAAGAAGAGGATAATATGGAAGAAGAATATGAAGAAGAAGTGATGGTATTGTCTGAACATGTTGATGATGAATGACTATTCCATTGATTTTCTCGTGAAACACATTCCGAACCATCATCATTTCTAAAACATTGTGTGTTCACTTTCGCTCCGAAACGATAATGATCATCACTCCTTGTGGTTGGTGCTTGTACAAGATATGGAATAATCATTGGATACGAGAGAGATTGGATGACCATACTACTTGGAGTAACTGTAGTGGTAGAACTACTCGTAGCCAACAATAATGATGAAGAGGAGGAGGAGAACGAGGATGAGGAGGAACAAGCCTTCAACCACCACTTCAAACCTTGTTGTTTCATTTTTTTCTTTTTGTGCATTCAATCAAATTTGCGAACGATGGATCGAGGGTTCGTGGTGGTGATTGGCAAATTCTTGGGTGCCATTAGATTTTGTTTTCCTTAATGTCGAGAAGGGGATGGAATCAGAGGTTCCTGTACAATTCACATGCCTTGTAGTGTTGTCTCTTGTCATCAACGAAATATGGTTGTTAGAGTCACCCAGAAAAAATATGAGACTTCCACTGTCGAGAGAAACCGACCACACCTACTCGTCTGAATCGTCTGATTCGTCTGACGATGATGAGATCTTTGAACCAGAAGAAGCCTCCAAACCTCTCTTTTACTTTTATCCAACCTTTTCATCCGGACACTCGGAACAACAAGACAAAAGCCTCATCATGGACAATGGTTCTAAGGAGAAGAAGGAAGAACCAAAGTCAATCAGAATGAGCCTAACTCGGGAAGAAGAATCAATCTCATCACAACATGATAATCATCTTACCTCAACGATTCATCACAAAAATACAACAAAAACTATATGGCAACCAGCAGGATGGAAGGACTCGATAAAAATTGATTTCATTCCAAAACAACAGAGAAATGACCATTCCATTGTGATTGTGAGTCGATCGATGAATTTTCTCTCGAGAAGAGAATTATCCTTTGAAGAATGGAGAACGGTGGCTAGTTTTCTCACAAAATCGGTGGCTTTTCAGTCATTGGCAGGTGTCAATAGGACGAGTCGACTTGCAGTGTTGTCCTTGTTTTTTGTTCAAAATCAGAAATGTATTGAGTGGTTTGTGGTGCGATGGATGAAAACTGAAAAAAGTAATCTTAGGGGTGAGAATTCACTGTTGCCAAATGACAGATTGAAAGACATGTTACATTTGTTGTATGATTGCAATTTGTTTGATTTGAAGAGTCATGTTCATCCTGAGGAACGAATGCATTCTCAAGAGGATACGCCAATTCCAAATTATTACTCAATCACAATTCTTGAATGGGCTTGTCACTATGGTTTTTATTCATTTATTGATCAGCTCATTGAAAACCCATTTCTTTTACCGAGTATTTCAATAAGCGAACGAAATCATTGTTTGGATATGGCGTTCAGCAATACCAATGATGAAACTGCTAAGAGGATGATCAAACTGTATATAAGACGAATTTCTGTTAAGAAATCATCTCCCATACTCATTTCAGATATTCTCCAACATTGCTCCGAGTCAAAGACACCTGGAATTGTTATAGATGTTTATTCTTTCCTTCAAAGAGAACTCAGGAAAGCAGCTTTCTCTGAAAAAGATGTCACCAACATGTTGAACGCATCGATTGATGAGTTTTTCTACGAGGATCATTTTGTAAAATTACTCAAGAAGAAAGATTTTGAAAGTGCTCTCTTTGTGCTTCAAAAGTATCTGACTTTAAAGTACGACAAAAAGAAAAAAGGGATAAATGATCCATCCCTTTTCTTTTTGTCGAATTGCTTTAAAGTTATTTTGACTTTTACCTTTGATGTGGAGTTAATGTTATGGCTGCTCAACACGTTGTCCTGTGAGCTCACTCATTATGTCGAGAACCCAAATGCCATCATTTCAGAAATTGCTCATGATTACATGTTAATAGCCAACACTGGGCTCTATTGTGAATATATCAGAAAATACTCACACAGAGATGAACAAAAGGATAGAGAATTAGTAGAATCGTCTTTAGGAAAACTGTATTCAAGCTACTGTTCTGATGTTTTTTCACTCATTGTACCATCTTTTACAGCCTTTAAAAGAGCATTACAATCGGCCGAAGCGAAAACAAACTTATTACTCTCAATTTTTGAACCCTGGCTAAGCGAACACTATCCAGAAGAGCTTGCTACCTTATTATATAACACCTCATCAATATTAGAATCTGGTGACAAACGTTATACGAATCCGGAATGCAATTACGTCAAAAAATTATTCAACTCTCGCGTTCAGATCAAACTTGCCGAATTATTTCTTGCTGAAAACAAGACAGATTGGCCTCAACTAATGTTTTGGATACAAAGATATCAATTCTTGTCTGACTTTTATCAACCTTTCTTGAAAAAACTACAAACAGACGATTCATGGCTGAATCAACTTTATGATCACATCATTTCAACAATTTTACATTCCTCAAACTTGAACATGATGAAAAACCATTTGTTGGGTGTCGACGAGGAAGATCATTCTTCATATGAAGAATATATGGATGATGATGGAAAAAAGAAATTACTCGAAAATCGTCTCATATTCTTCAATGAAGTATATACTACTGCAGCAGTTCTGATGTATTTAGGAAAATTAGGATTAAGCAAGCTATTTCAATTGGTTGCTGAATATAAGGCAGATGTGATCAACAGGTTTCCTCAAACCTTTCCATTCGAATACAAGTCAATCAGTGACATGAGGAATATTGATAGAGTAGATTTGCAGAAAGATTTTCAACTAGTTTCACATTCTACAACACTATTAACTTTCATCTTACAACATTCAGTTTTAAGAAAATACTTGAATTTGTTGGCCTCATTATGGCCAACATTTCCACTCCAAGAAAATTCATCGAATACATGCAAGGAAACGAAATACTTTTTTCAAAGAGTGCGATCGATGTAACCCAGACATTTTTTCCGTACTCAGTGCATATCATTTAAGGGAACAAGATATGACTGAACTTATCAAGTTCGTGCTACCAAGAAGTATGACTGACTTGCACTCTTTTATTCACCTTGATGCATTCACAACAGACCATTTAATGCAAATTCCGAGCTCAAGTCTTTTTCACGCATCAAATTTAACACACATAAGAGATGTGTGTAAAATTGTGGACTTGTTATGGAATAATTTTGAAAAAGATACAACCAAGTTTCGAGAATTCTTTTGTGAAATCCACAGCTACAAAGACATTTATGATCACTTGACTGCAGTCCTAAAATACCACAAGAAATACCTAGAAATGGCTGAAGAGATCATGTATGACATGCTGCTTTGTGACGGTTATTATGACCCAATTTCGTTGTTTAAATTACGACTAACCAGCACATGCTCCACTCAAGAAAAAACAATCTTCATGAAGCTTTATGGCCTCAATGACTTGGAGTGTGAACCTGATTTTAAGCTTCGTGACTCCAATCGTGTCATTCATGTGCTCAAAAACAAGATCAACAATCAACAACAGGAAACCAAAATATGGTCAGTATGGAAAATTTTCATTCAACAAGTGACATCCAAAGAAATTGAGAACGAGGTCTCACAACTCTTGTCAAAAATTCAACCATTTCGTCACCTTGCATTTGGAGATTCTAAGAAACAAATGTCAACACCCAATACTTTGCCACGAGAGAGAGTGACCACAACAGAAAAACCTCCAACTTTTCAACTAACGTTTGACTTTTCCAAAAATCCATTCGCATCAAATTCAGGTACTAATTTTGTATTCAATCCTTTTTCTTCAAACAAATAATAATAGATATAACAAGAAGTAACATGAAGATTATTGAGATTAATGGAAAAGAAGGATTTCAATCAAGAAATAACAACCAACAAGTTTTGAGGATGGTTTTGAGTCAAATGAAATATTTTCGTGATCTGGTTGTCGCTTGTTGTTGTTGTTTGAAAATATTGACCATTCCAATCGTCGCAAAGTTCAAACATATCCTTGATTCCTAACTTGGACTTGTTTCAACATGTACGGATGTGAAAATCAATAAATGAATTTTGGCTGTTGTTGGAGTGGACAGCACTTTTGACTGCATCTGTTCAATTAAAGAACGGCCATTCTCTTCTCAATCAAAAAAATCTCTCTGATATTTCTGCTATCTTTTTTCCCCTTTCGAACCGTCAGTTGGCATTTGGTCAGCATCATTACCGCTTGATACATCATTTGGTAAGTTGGACTTCGTTACCCGAAGGAGAATTAGTGTGCCAATATTACTTCATCTCGCTCTTAACATGTGATCACCATTCAAAATAATATTGAATTTTCTCTCAACTGCTGATGATCATGCCAACACGAACGATAACACTAATTGCCTCCACATTGTTCTTGGGTGTTGTGTGGTTTTCCTATTACCAAAATTATTCACTCATCACCTTGTGTGTCAAACGCCAAATTCATCACCCTGCGTCACTATTGCCGTGAATGCCGTTTCTCCCTCATCACGACGACTCGTGCGTCACGAACATCATTAACAACAAACAAAACAATCACACATTCGCTCTCTCTCCACCACTTGAACTCTCTCTCACACAAATTCATTTTTACCTCTCAGCTCTTTCAAAAGAAAGAATTTGGAGAGACAAATCTCCATGAACAAAACATCAAAAAACAGAAACAACAACAACAACAACAACAACAACAATAATTGACACACACGTGTTTAGACCTTTTTTCGAATTCCTTTTGAGAGTGCGTGATTGAATTCATTCTTCTTCTCCGACATTCGCTCCTCATTCATCTTACACAACCACAATATCCGATAATAATAATAATACTCTCATCCTTCCAATCAGATCATCCTCAGATCATGAATCATCTCTCCTCTCAACAAGTACAAAACAATCCTCAACTCAATCAAGTCTTGTTTCAAGCGTTTAGTACGACAACGACTCCTCCTACCAACAACATCAATAACATCAACTCAATGAACAGCAACAATAACAACAATCAACTACTGACCATCACCAACTACCCTACAAGTAGTGGTGGTGGTAGTGTGACCACGACTGGAAATCATTTGAATCCATCTCTCCTCACCTTCTCCAACAATAACAACAACAACAATACCATCCATCCAACAACAACAATGAATCTAAATCCTCTTGTTGGGAATCAGGGTCAACAACAAATGTCCATCATGATGATGGGAAATAATAATAATAACAACAACAACAACAACCACATTCTGATGGATGCAAATTCTATGGCCACGACTAATTTGACAACTACTGCTGCGAATAATATTAACAATAATAACAGTACGACAACGTTGGTGGTTGATCAGAATACTTTGAATAGTTTAATGATGCTCTTGAATGGTGGTGGTGGCGGTAATGTGAATATCAATAACAATACGAATCATCATCAAATGAATCATAATACGGTGAATATGAACAATAGAATGATGATGACAAATACTGCTTCGCCACAAACACTGCTATCGAATAATACAGGAACATTTATGATGACAGATGACAGTAATAATTTAGGAGGTGTGTAGTATGATTTGTGTTTTTACGTGTGCATTGACTTTTGAATCACTTCTTCTTCTTTGAACATAACAACGACAATTCTGCATATCCCCTTTGCTTATGTGTCACAAATTCGTGTCATCAACACGGAACTCACAATGGTAAAGTCTTTGGAAATGAACTCTACCAATCTTCTCTCGAGTTATTTCTGGATTCTCCCACAATTACTTCACAATTCATGACCAATGGTCAACAACAATTACCAAATACGACTCAAATGGGATCATTTGTCAACATGTTGGACGGAGCAACTACTAATATGACAACTGTTGTCAATAACAACAATACTACTATTGATCCCGCTCAATTGCAAGCCATCATGCAAATATTGGGACAGTCACAACAACAGCCGCAATCTTCCACGTCTTCTTTCAATTTCTCACAATCTTTATTTTCGAATCAAGTGGCAAGTCAACAACCATCACAAATGTTCATGACAAGTGGAACGATGAATACTCCTCCTTCACAAGCACCACAGACTGTGTTTGTCTCATTATCCAATGATCAACAACCATTTGTGAATAATGTGACAGGAGTATCACCTCCTCAACAACAACAACATGCACTATTTAACAACATGTTCCAAACAACGAGTCCTAATAACAATATGAACACAGCTGTCAACAACAATAACAGTGCAATGAGTTTATTTGGAAATTTGCTCATGTCATCCAACAATGCAAGTATCAACAACTCCGCATTGAACACATCCATACAGCATTTGAATGAAAATGATCCAACCAAAATTGACCAAACCTTGTACCATATTCTGGTTCAATATTTATCTTCGAATGTCACTCATCAAAATCTAGTATTGGATTGGCTTAAACAATTCAATCCAAACATTACATCTTTGGGCTCTTCAACAGATTCGATTAATACCATGGCATGTAAATTGATCGAATCCATGAGTGAGGATCAGAAACGAAAATTATTTGTGGTGGTCATGCATGTATTGAATCAGCCACACCCAACTCAACAATCTACCATGAAAACCTCACCACAACCTTCACTTCAAAGAAATCAACCATTTGTCTCGAATACTTCAGCCGCAATGTCACCAAGTAATAACAGTACCAATGGCATTGGATTTTTAAATATGAACCATCTGGTCGTTAGTAGCAATAGTGTTGGAATGGCGTCTTCACAGCAACCTCTTAATAACAATCGATTGAATAGCAACAACAATGCAATGATGACCTCACAACAACCTCAATCGCTGCAAATGGAGATGGTCAACTATGACATTTCACAACAAGGAAACTTACAATCACCTCAAATGCAATCATCACGTCTCCTTGTCACTGTTCCTCCCAACAACAATGGCAGCAACAACTCTCCTAACGTCATCATGAACTCTCCATCGAAAATGAGTGGAAATACTGGACATCAATTTACTCCACAACAAGGTGTAAATTCCAACACCACATTTGTCTTTGAAAATTATCAAAATGGAGGTGTTTCTACGAGTGGTAATGTTATGAGTCACAATACTAATGGTGTCACAACAGGAGCACCCTCAGCCGTCACCATTCCGTCACAATCATCCTCTGCTACCAATTCTTCACAACAAAATGCAAATCCAAGTGATGCTTCTTCTCCAAGTTTACCCACCATGCACACAAAATCCAAGAGAAATACTTGGACGAATTTTTACAACAATCACATTAATCAAATTGCACAAGACAAGACCTATAGAGATTGGGCAACCAATGATGCATCTCAATCACGAGAGAACAATAATGCCAACTCTTCCACCAGTAATAATAATATTACAAATAACAACAACAGCAACAACAATAGTAGCACTCCCTCCTCACCCTCTCCTTCCAACAATTCCATCCATCGTAGAACTAAGAGAAGTAACTCGGCTGGACCTGGCTCAAGAAGAAAAAAGTCCGTCGATCGAGATGGTGACGATTTCACACCCGTGTCTCCTGGTGCATTAAGTGCAGGAAGTGAAGGATCTCGAAGAAGTCAAAGTTCTGACAAGAGTCGAAAGAGTATTGAAAAGCAACGTAAAGTGAGAAATAGTATTGGAGGAACGACTCGAAGAAATAGCGCCACCACTCCAACTACTCTCGAAGAATTCACAGATTTGTTTGGAGAACTTGATTTTGAAAAGACAAATATTAGTAACAGTAGTAGTAGTGGAGGTGGTGGAGGTGGCAATATTTCTGGCATGAGTGGAACCAGTAGTTGTAGTAACAGTGGAGGTGGTGGTGGTGGAGGTGGTGGTGGAGGTGGTGGTGGTTACCCTGGAATGCTCGTCGTCGATCATCATCCTCATTCAGAATTTGCTGGCACAGGAGACACTGGTGATTTCAACTTTTCGAATCTCGATGAATTCTATGAGGAACATCAACCCAATGTTCCTGCTACCAATACCTACACCTTCCATGATTTTGAGATTGATAATAATAAGGATGAAAAGAAGAAACGAAATAATCTCAAGTACTCTCTGGTGAATTTTGTCAATCATGCACTCAATAGAAAGAAGAAGTGATGATGATCCATTCATAATGAACTCTCCCTTAATAATAATTCTTAAATTTATTCAGTGGTGTCACTTGTTTCAAGTTTCTTTTTTTCTCGAAAAATCAAATCTTTTTTGACAGTTGATGGGAGGGCTCTTTTCACAACACTAAAAAAAAATGTCTGACGATAGCGAATTTTTAAAGCAAATCCAAGAGAGGGACAGTGCTGTCAAATCATTGGTGAGTTCGTAAGTATAAGTAGCTTTTTCATCAAAATTATAATTATTGGCTCGTTTCGTGAATAAATCGATTCGATGAATAATAATCGTTATAACCGATCATCCTTTTTGATGATGATGATGATGATGGATTTAATTTTACAAAACGTTGTTGATTGCCCGATGATGAATGAATGGCAATCATCCTCGTCGTCATGAAAAATGGTGATAACAACAATAACCACTCCCATTGATCATTATCAACAATACCAACTTCCTCCTCGCACAACAAATGATGATGATGATGAATATTCAATCTGACCCGATGATCATCACCACAGACAAAAGTATACCGATGCTTTGAAGAAGGCTCTTGAGAATCCACCTCTCGCAGCCAAAAACAAGGAAACCAAAAAGAAGAGTGCCGATGTGGTGGCCACGGTCCTCCTCAACACAAAAGAGAGCGACATCCAAAAGAGTGTGGATGCTCTTGATATCGAAGAATTGGACATTCTCATGAAGTACATTTACAGATGTTTAGAGAGTGGTGAATTGGATTCCAAGCCATTGTTCAAGTGGCACGAAAAAGTCTTGGAAAAGAGTGGAATGGGTTCCATTGTTCGTGTCTTGACTGAGAGAAGAAATCTCTAAGATGTGAGAGAGGTCAAAAATTCACCTCTTCTTGTGTGTAATAATTCGAACATTTGTTTTGAATGAAATTAATTTATTCTAATATAGTGCATGTTTACCTCTTCTTTGCAGCCATGAGGACACCTTAAGAGTGGGAAAAAAGAAAGATCTCTTTGACCATTGTGTGTCGTCATATCCAAAATCATCTCAACAACGTTAGCCGCTGATTATTTCTTTTCCCAAAAACATTAAATTTAATATCTGGATTCATCTCTCCACATCAGACACTCAACATCTTCAAGACACTTTGTGCCTGAAGAGAGGTCGGGCGGGTGAACAAACCGCCAAACCAAGGTTTAGTACATCTCAGACACCAACAAAATACGGATCATCATCATCTCTGACATCTAGAAGCCGAGAAATGAAGAAGATTAAGAAGAGCAGTTTGGAGGAGTCTGAAGAGGTGAAGAAATTGTTGGACAAGATTTTTCAGCATGATGATGCAAGTCCATTCAAATTTGCAACAAATGAAGAAGATAGGCTTTCCACTCCCTGATTTCTATTGAGGTAAGCTTTTTAATGAATAATTGCAACCTGTGTCCGTCATCAAAACACGTAGAACGAAAATATTGACATTACAACAAATCCATTGTATGAGGAAATTTCAAACATTTTTCATGAACAATTAAACGTGGCCACTGAACAGAGCTCCTCTTGGATGGACTATTATTCCTTTATCAGCAAACTAAATAAGATTCTCACAAGTCAAGAAGATTCAAGATCAATGATTAATGAAGAAATATTTGCTCAATTGAAGGATATTCCATCTCAAAGAATAAATCTCAAAGAATAATGACTGTGTATAATGAATTTCTACAATCACAAAAGTCTCTTCCTGATAATGTTTGGGAATCCACTTTGATGGGAATGATTGTTAATATTCTTAATCACCAATTTAAATTTAGGAAAATCATTATTTTCGGAACGTATGTTGATACTAACTGTGTATTTTGCTCTTTTAACATTCATCTATCAAAACAAGTCAAGAAGCAGTCCAATATGTTGACTCATATGCTGTTAAAGGTACATCACTCAAGAACAAGGCAAGGCTTATTCCAGACGCGTTTGCTCAGATTCATATTTTTGAAGACCAACCTTTCGTGTTCTTTAAATGTGGAGGACAGAGAGCTGAAACATGGACACACAAAGACCATTTTAAAATATATATTGAAATGAAAGGCATGCTTAAAGACTGTATGTCCATCCTTTTCAAAAAAAAGTACATTCTTATAAAAATGCACAAAAGATCAAAGTTTACGGTTTACTAGTATCAAAGTTTCAGTGCATGTTTCTTGAAGGATTGGGAATTTTTGGATATGCCACTGGCGCACCCAAGAGAATGCCTTCCGCTGTTGTTGGTGCTTGTGTGGGTGCTGTTGGGGATCTATCAAGATACACGATGATCACAATAGCTCAGACGGAATATCTTTTGGTTACGCCATAAGAGAGTCCGATATTTTTAATTTATCTTCCACAGAGGGAATTATTGCACTAACAACATTTATTGAAAGTATGTGCGAAAATTTTGCAATTTAGGATTTAATGAGGAAGGGTTTGAAGAAAGTGCACGTCTTTCTTCCTCAAGCACACCAATGAGAGCAAAAACTCAATCATTAGAAAGAATTGTAAAGGAAATGGATGTGAGATTTGGTACAAACAAGCCGTCTAATATACACACAAATGAATTTGAAAATCTTGAAGAAGGGAAACGAGTTTCAAAGAAAATTCTTTCTGAAATGTTTGTCATTGGAGAGCAAATTGGGGAAGAACAAGCAAAAGCTTCCAATATTGTTTATATATTCAAGAATTCGAATCCATATGTTTTCGTCAGATCATTCAACATCACCTCATTCGTTGGAATATTTTATTGGGCTGAAACGGAATTTTCCCTGAAACTCTATCTATTTTCTCTCTCTGTTAAGAAAAATCAAGAACAACTATGGATGAAAATTCTTGATGAACATCGAAGTGATGATTCAAGAAGTCGCAGTGAACATGAACATGATGAATCAAGTAGAAATTTCCATCATGGACACAATCAACAATCGAGAGGTACCTCTTTTGAACCACCCTTCAAGTTTATTCCTGACCCAATGAATGAAATAGAGTGCGCTATTGTTTTAGAGGAACTGTTGGCCTTGAAAAATTTCCAGTTCTTACCAAGCTCTATGAGATGCGATACATCATGCACCAGTTTTTATGGTTCTGCATTTTCTCAACTCTATGGACCAGTGTTTGTCAAGGGCACTGTATTCAGAACGGAAAATGAAACCGTTATGAAACACCTTGTCACGCTCTCTCAAACCAGATCAACTTTTTCAAACATTGTTCGAGTTTTTGAATATCGTGCGATTAATTCAAACTCCAGGTTGATCAGTGTTGTTTTCAATTTGATGAAACAACACAACGACAAGTGTTTTCCTGAACTGAGAAAACTCGTTAACTCCACAGACCTCGTGAGTATCACTATTCAAGAGAGACTATAATCTCTTTGGACGATTTTATGAATATGCCGTCGGTTCGTCGTTGGTTGAACAAGTGTAGAATCAAATTTTTCATGAACCTTGTGAGACAATGTTTCGAAATATTGTTCCAATTAGACCAATCTAACATTCTCCATTCGGACATCTCTTTTGGAAATTTAATGATTCGATTGGATCAGGATCATTGAGATAGTGCTTCAAGTGATGAGGAGAAACTTGCAAGCTTTTAGCTTGTCATCATTGATTTCAACTCCTCAATGTTGCTGAAAGAACAAGAAACTACGACGACGAACGAGAGTAATGTGGTATATAGAAAAATTATTCCAAATCAAAACGTTGATCTTGTTTTCAAGTATCCATATTCAGCACCAAGTTTAGACACCGATGAAGCAGATATTTATTCAATGGCGGTGGTTATTGTTAATTATCTACATTACTTTCAACACAGGCACACCTTGAATAGTGATGATTCATTCCAATCTTGTATGGAGTACAAGATTCAAATGTTGGGCTTTTTGAATGATTTTCAAACCAGTTACAAACACATGTATGGAGATGAAATTGAGCATCTTGTGTCGTTGCTTAAATACATGTTGGCAACAGGAGAAGAAGAGAGACCAGTTCTGAAGAAAATTAAAGACCAATTGGAAAAGGTGAAATCATTATGGACTTGCAACATTTTAACTCGAACACCATTGAAAAGCATTCCAAATCCAATGACCGTCCAGAGATATGCAAATACCAATCATGAAGTTCCAAGCAAGAAAATGAAAACGCAAATTAATAGTCAGGTAGGCGAGGAGGAAAATCAGTGCCCTATGGATCATCGTATTGTAATTTCTTTCAATAAATAATTATTTATTGAAATTTATCATTTTCAAATACGCTTGTCATTATGTCACACAAGAGCCTCATCAAACATCAGCCGCAGCGAACCAGCTCTCTGTTACACTGTATTATTAAAAAAAATCAAGGAATGCCAAAATCCAACAATTCCATGAACTGCTTTATTTCTGAAAATATAAAAATTTTATTGGCCCATTTATTGTTCAAGGCCAATAAGTTGATCTCTTGTCAATGCTACATAAACACTCTTCTCATAGAGTTGAGTATGTGATGTAATGATGATCTGATCACTCTCCTCCATTAAGGAAACACGTTCTACATGTACAACATTTAATTCCAAGGACTTGTGTTGCAGCAACTGGTTGACCTTCAACAGCACATGTTCAAGAGTAGTGTCACTCTCTTCAAGATCCACAAAATATTTCATCTTCGCAGATTCGAATTTTTTGACCACAATTCTCCTTGTCAAGGAAGAAGAATTGGAATTCATGAATAACAACGAAGAAGAGGAGGAAGGACTTATGGATGCACATTTCGAAGTCTCATCAGTGGGTGTTGTTCGAAGTAATGAGAAAGACTTTTGTTGTGGAAGGATGTTGCTTAAAGTATTTGGTGATTCGTTCATGGGAGGAGGAGGATGAATGATCTTTTCGTTTGAAGTCGTTGTCGTTGATGTTGCATCATGATGAAACATGGAAGATGGATTCATGTGATTCGAATGTGTCATTTGAGGTGGTAGTGATGGTAGTAATTGATTATTCAATGAATAGGTGGAACTAGTAATACTAGTAATGGGTGAACGTGTTGAACCACTCTCATCGTTGCCATGATGTTGCAAATATAGACCATGGTTATTCAAAGAGCCTTGTTGAAGAGGTGCATATGGTGATAGAGAAGAATGGTTCCTTGAATAATTCCAATGTGGCTGCATCCATGTTTGTGACTGTATCCATGGTTGTAGCTGTGGTTGTGGGACGTGTGTCATGTTTGGATGAACAACCATCGAATTAGGACGTCCCTTGTACGTTGAAAAAGGCGATGGACTTCTCCTCGAGGGATTATAATTAAAGGAAGAAGGATCTTTGTTCATCGTGAAGGCATAAGGATGACAAGAGGGTGTCCTTTCAAAAGGACCAACCTTTCGATGTGAACAGAAAAAGGAGGACCATGGATTCTCTGATGCTGTTGTTGTTGTTGTTGGGTGTGACATGTGAGAAGAAGAAGGTGGAGGAGGAAATGGTTTGTCATTAAACAATGCCATTGGATGAATGGAAAGTGGACTTCCATTGGGAAATAAAGGCAACAAGGAAGAAGGAAAGAGTGGATACGTTTCTCGTTTCGCTTGTTGAATTTGTATCCAAACATTTGAAGCTTGCAACCTTTCTGTCAAACTTGCTTCAAATAATTCCAAGACTTGAATTTTGAACATGTGAGCCAAAGCACAATTAGGTTCCACTTGAAGAGCCATTTCAATCCATTGCAAACACTGTTCCTTTCTATGCAAGTATTTGGAAATTTGTGCAACAAGAATGAACACTGCAGAACATTGATAGGTGGATGCCAGTGCTTCTGCACATTCCAATGCACGTTCCAATTCTCCACATTCTTTCCAAAGTACACATGCCACAAATTTCACAGAATCATTTTCTGGATCATAGCTATCAAATAACTCAATCATCTCTGTACATACTTGTCTCACCTGATCATAATCTCCAAATGTCGAATAGATGGATGCTAGATGGTAATGAATGGCTAAACTGAATGGAAACATTTGTTGTGCCATACGAAGATCTTGAATTCCTTTTTGAACATCTTCACGAGTTTGTAAACTACAGTACGCAATGGCTCGTTGAATCAGAAACATGGGTTGAGGTCCAAATTTTTTGATGAGATCAGTAAATCCGTCAATGACTGTGTTTTGATTATCACCTAAAATCATCTTGCACGTATATTTCATCATTAAAGAGTTTACATTTTGCACTGCTGCGAGAGATTTCTCTAAATGTTTCAATGCTTCTTCATATTGTCCCATACGAAGGTAATAACCTGCTATAAATTGCTCCAATAAATGTCCTGAACATGTGTCACCTTCATTGGTGCTCTTCATGGATTTCATAACCTTCTCTGCCAATGTAAGGTATTTGTGGATGTGAGAGAGGTCCATCGACACATTATTGAAAGAAATAAATTCCCATATTTTGCAATCCTTTTTGTAGAGAGTTGCAATATAAATGAGTAGAATCATGTACTGAAAGCGTCGTTCAATAAAATTGGTGTGAACAAACTTATTCAAGAATGTTTGAAAAGAGAGAAGAGACAGACTTTTCTCATCATTTGCTGCAGTAGATGATAGTACATGCATGTCAGACATACATAAGTCCTCATAATGTGATAGATGTTGAAGGGTTTGGATGGCAAGAAAGAACTTCTTCATGGGACTTTCTTTCCAACCCAAAAATGGTAATTGCTGCTCTTGATGGTGATAACACAAAAAACTTGCAGCCATACTCAAGAATTCCATCACATTGATCGTATTCATCCGTTCATCTCTCTTATATATCAACAAACCATCCAGAATGTGACAAAACACGATGTGAATCTGTAATAAATGATTGTCTTTGGTATCGTTCATTGGGATGTTTTGAGCAGATTTTGAATGATGAGTCATTCTGTGACTGAACGAGTTCTGAAACATGGTTGCGGGATCCAATGCTGGAAAGGTGATTCCTTCCTTCACAGATGCTTCCATCACTATTTTGCGCAAAGTCATCGCCCATTGCTGTTGCGTGCTGGTGAGAGATGTCATTCCATGTTGTTGAAACATGGTTGATGATGTCCACAAGTGATGATAAGGCCGTTCACGATAATTTCCACATTCCACTACTAAATTGTAAATGCTCACAGAGTTCGTTGAACTTGGAAATAATAACTTGAAAAGCAAAACACCTAAACTCCAAAAATCTGTTTTTGGACTATATTTTCGATCTTTGAATGCATCAGGTGGTAGATATTCCAAAGTTCCTCGTCTTTGTGACAAGGTGAGAGTATTTTCTGAAGAAAGAGCCACTCCAAAATCTCCCAAAACAACTTCAATGAATTGCAACTTTTCATCAAAGGATTTCACAAATATATTTTTGAGAGAAATGTCGCAATGAGATTGACCATGTTGATGAATTACATTCAATGCAATCGATAATTGAATCATGATTTGTAAAATTAAAAAGTAGGACATTCCTTGTCCTTTTTTCATGAAATGTTCTTCAATAAAGTGTTCTAAATCACCATAATCATAGAGAGGCATCACAATGGCCAAATAATTATTTTCACTCGAATCGACAACATCCAACACTGGAACGAGATAATCACAAGCAATATCCTCCCGTTGAAGAAATGAACATGCTTCAAGTTCAGCTTGCATAATTTCTTCTTCTCCTTCCATCCATTGAACTACTCGCAAAGCAATCCATTGATTATTGAGAGAAGTGTCTTGGCATTTGTAGACTTTGGCATAGGTTCCAGCTCCGATTGGAGTGACTGAAAGGAAACGTTGAGCAAGCTTGAAGGGAAGAGGTATAGTCATTGTTGACGGTACTGTGTTTTCCTCTGCGTGATTGTGAGAATATGAAAAGGGGTTGATCATGTGTGATTTTTTATTTTGAAATGTCAACTGTTCCCTAAATGACAAGTGACACGAAATACATGCAACGAATTCAATTTAAATGAGAAATGAAAAGAACTTGAAGTGCACAGAAGGCTTATGATGTTATGCCATTTGTTACAAAAATGACTTGTTGAACCTATGAACAAGAAATTCTTTTTGAAGTCTTCTTTTCAGACATTTCAAAAACGAGACATTTGAACTCAAAATTTTCCTCCTCGTCATTAAATCTTTTAAAAGTTGAATCACTGTGTCCATGAAGGAATGATTCAAAAACAAAAACTTTCCGATGATTCATCATCTTGTTAAAAGCTGTTGTTGAGATCCATGCAGATATATTTGACTGATATTTCGCGATAAGTCTTCTTCTCATCACATCATTGGTCATGTTTCTTGGATGATGAGAAAATAGGGAAATGACAATTTCTTGTTGAGTGTTTTCAAACATTTATTCTCTTAAAAGCTCTATTGATCCCTCTCATCAAAGTCTTTAAAGCATTTTCATAGAACGAGTGAATTCGTAGTGGATGAGGCAACAACAACCACAACAACAACAACCAACAACTACATCGTGCTCAACTAGCTATCCTGATCAGAACTTCTGCTTTGGACCCTTACTAGAAGAAGAAGAAGAAGAAGATTCGTACGCAACAGGTGAACTGAGTTGAGCTTCAGCTTTCTCCAAAATCAAACCTTGGAGTTCACATCCCCCAATCACAGAGCTTTCAAAAAACGAAACTTGTGGACTCACAACAAGCTCATCGTATGGACTCTTTCCATCATGATGGTCTGTGGGTTGCTACTTTGTACTGTCACTTGTCAATCCAACCATACTCCAGTCGTCCATTTCTACGTCTCTCCCACTCTCGGAAGCGATTCCAACCCAGGAAATTCTTCATCCTTTCCTTTTGCCACTCTCTCCAAAACAGCCAATATCATCACGACTCTTAAGAACACCATCTCCACCACCAACACTTCATTCATTGTCAATTTAATGCCTGGAACTTTTATATTAAATTCAACATTGACCATTCCACGTCCGACACGGTTGAACGATGTTCAGTATTCCACAGTCGAATGGAGAGCTCTCCCTGGTTCCAAATTAGGAGATGTCAAAATTCGTGGTGATGTTCCATTACCAATTTCGTTGTGGCAAGTTGTGAATGTGAATACCAATTCATGGGCTCATCAAATGTTGCCATCGAATGCAAAAGGAAATGTCTTACAATGCAATTTGACTCTTGCTGGATTTAAATCTTCACAAATCGTTCCATTTCGAAAAACTGGATTTTCTTATGGAAATGTCGATGTTGGAAATGAATTGTTTATTAGAGGACATGCTCAAACAGTGGCAAGATATCCCAACAAGTTGACCACTCAATATGTACAACAAGACGTGAATTCTCAAATGATGGTGGATGTGTATATGAATGTGGGAATGACCAATGGAACGAATGAAATGAGTTTTAATAGTACCTTGTGTCCGAATAGGGATTGTTGGTCCATGGAGAAGTATCCATTTGCATTTGGATATTGGTATTATGATTGGGCAGGTAAGGAGTTGGATATGTGTTTCATGATATCTTTTGATTTTTTGGTGAAATGCATGTCAAATGCAAATTGTATGTGATGGTTCACATGAATTTCACATGAATGACTTTTCAATAATATATCAACCACAGGTGGAGTCGAAGATATTTCCTCCATTACAAGGTTTGTTTTTGAATTTAATCAATCTATCAAACTCGTGATGTGAATGGATCTTATCACTTTCACAATAGTAATGGAAATGTTGTTTTCAAATCTACCAAAGTTGGTTACGGAATCAAAAGTAATCAACGATTCTTCTTGGTCAACTTTATAAGTGAACTCGACCAACCAGGTGAATACGTGATTATTGATGACACTGTGTATTATTGGCCATTATCACCTCTTCAACAAGACGATGATGTTATGATTTCAGTTGCAGATACTTTAATTTCCATTTCTGCGAATGCACAAATTTTTGACAGTTTGGATTTTTCCATGACACGAGGAAGTGCCATCGTTTCAACTTCCAACTCAAACATTGTTGTTAAAAATTGTCGAGTGACATGTACAGGAAATTACGGATTAAGACTTTCTAGTTGTTCCAATTGTCAAATTCTCAGTAATACCATTTCTGAAGTTGGACAAGGTGGAATTTCCATCAGTGGAGGCGATCGAAAAACTCTTACTCCTTCCAATTCGTTAGTTGCCAATAATACCATATTTGATTTTTCCAGAATTGGTAAAACATATCGTGCAGCTGTCAATTTCAATGGAGTGACAGTGACAGTGACACATAATGAGTTGTTCAATGCAGATCATACGGCCATTTTATGGGGAGGAAATAATCATGAAATTTCGTTTAACAAAATTTATGATGTTTGTAAATCGACAGCAGATGCTGGAGCCATTTACAGGTAAGTGATGAGGAAAAGTGTTTTTTACAACATTGAAAATTTCTTATGGAACACACCACCAATGCAGTGGTCGTGATTGGACCATGCGAGATAATGTCATCAAACATAATTTCCTCTTTCGTGTTCAAGGACCAGGTCTCTACGGAACCAGTTGCATCTATCTAGATGACATGTTCTCTTCAGCTACCGTTTTTGGAAATGTCATGTTCCAATGTTATCGAGGACTTTTATTGGGCGGTGGCAGAAACAACATGGTCATGAATAATATTTTCATCAATTCTACATACAGTATGGCTGTAGACGATCGTGGATTAGTGTGGGCTGACAGTAAGGAAATTATGGCAAATTTATTGACCATGCCCTACAACAACTCGGTGTGGAGTGCAGCGTATCCAGAGTTGACTCACATTTTGGATGAGAATCCAATGGCACCTGTTGGAAATAAGGTTCAATGGAATTTAGTGACCACTTCTGCCACGAAAACACAAATTTCACAACCCAACATTCGAATTTATTCCATCTATGCCAATAATACCTTTGATGTTCCTTTGTCGGTATTTGTGGATCCCTCGAATATGAATTTCAATCTCGTCTCTGGAAATATCTATGAGAATAATATGAATTTGTATAATTTTACAAAGATTCCATTTCATGACATTGGTTTGTTAAAATATGTGCCTCCTCCTTCTCCTCCGAGTGTGAATTCTGTTGTTAGACCTCGAGTGAGTAATTCAACCAGATCTGTTTCATTGACAACAACAACATTAGGAAGAAGTTGTAGCATGTTCATTTTAATGATGAATATTGTTGTGATGATTGGTGTGATATTATTCATGTAAGATCAATAAAGATTAAACAACGTCACAAAGAGTCATATGAAGAATATTTCATGAGTATCAACTCCATGAATTTTAAAATTCTCATTTTGTGGTAAATTGTTGTTTTTCGCCAAACAATTCAATAATCAGGCAAAGAGCGACGCAACATTCTCAACACATTTCCTCCCATAATTTGTGAAATTTCCTTCTCTGTGAATCCTTCTGAAATGAGTGCATCTGTTAAATACACTAAATGATCGCTCGCTCCAAATGCCTTAATTGTTCCATCCCAATCACTTCCAAGTGCAATGTTATCCACTGAATGACCACCCAATAAATTTTTCAAATACTTTATGGATTTCGCAAGCGATTCAAATCCAAGTCCACAAGTGGTATATTTAAAGAAAGCAATTCCAATAACACCTCCATGTTTGGCAATTCTTTTTGCAAACTCATCAGAAAGATTACGAGTCGTATTACACACTCCTTTGACTCCAGTATGTGAAATAATGATGGATGTGGAAATTTCTCCTCGTTCAAGCATTTCGAGAACATCATTCATGGCCTTTTCTGAAGCATGTGCCAAATCAATAATCACTTTCAAATCGGAAAGTTTCTTCACAACTTGTCTTCCAAAATCAGAGAGTCCATATTTTGTGAGTCCATGAAGTGAACCACTCACTTGATTGTCACCAAAATGATTCAGTCCAAACATTCTCACTCCCATATCGTAGAGTTTTTGAATATTGTCAAGATTATTCTCTAAAACAGTTGCACCCTCGATGGAGAACAATCCAGAAGCATGTTTCTTGTTGTGACTTCGTTTGGTGATAAATTCTTCCAAATTTTTCTTGTTCTTAATAATTGTGAAAATTCCCTTACTTTCCGACTCGTATTGATGTAATAATTTACTATAAGCACGAGCTCGACCAAATGGAGAAAACCAAGCAGAGTATTCGTACAATTGGCTGGCAATGAGAAAGGGTAAAATATCTGTAGAGTTGACATTGGTTTTCATGTTGAGAGTGTGTGGAATGAAATTGACAGCAGCAAGCACTTGCAATGCTTGATTTCCTCGTTGCATTTTTGGAAGTGAGACATGACCTCTGTGAACATGTGTTACAATTAACATGGTAATCATGATTGTAATTCCAATGAAGTGAAAAATAAATATCATGAATGAAATGAAAAATCGTCATGAAAAAGTAAATAGGTTAAATCATTTCATGTGATCACAATCAATAATGGAATCACATCATCATCATTTGAAATCATGATCGTCATTAACAATATGGTCAAACATGACCGATAATATTCAAATTTTTAACATCATTCCACACACAAAATTGTCAAACATGGCACAATATTGTCAAATATTAATTCAAATTATCAACATATTCCACACATAAATGACATACTTTTCAGTGGTCAAAAATCCTCCACGATATTTCCACATCAACGTATCTGCATGCAAATCTGCAATAAAAGGAATATTCTCATGGATCGTCTTGGCATTTGCATTCTTCAAAAATGTCTCAAATGAATAAATTTGATTCGAAAATGTGTCAAAGGCCCATGGCAAAGCTACAAAAAAGATCACTCCTGACAAGACACTCCGAATGAGAAAAGATCTCACCACTGAAGTAAATCCAACATGAGAGTGATAGGAAATTGTGTCATGTGTTTCACTTTGTTTTTGTTCGTCTTCATTACTATTATTAGTATTGTTATTGGTAGTTGTATGACGAGAAGGTGTTGTTTTTGATGATTTGCAAAATTTAAACAAGGCGGAGAGAGGAAAGAAGATTGAAAATACGGAAAGAAGAGCGAGGAGGCTGGACAAGACATAACCAATGTAATCTTCTAAAAGACTCTCATTGCTGAGTTGTGGAAATAATGATGATAAAGAAACACTTGTTTGTGACATTTTTTTTCTCGAAAGGGGATCAAAACTTGATCTGTTTCATTCCAATAGATCCAATTCAAAGAAGATGAAATGATCATGTTGGATTAATCCATTGATATTTAATAATCCCTTCCTATATGAAAGATTTGCACCTCATATGAGAAATAATAAATCTATCAAAATAAATCTTAATCATCATGACGTTCACAAAGTTAAGGTCTCTTAGTAACCTTTGAAGAGGGTTCACATCAAGCGAATATCCGATCGAAATATTTTTAGAGAAAAAAAATTCAACACTTCAAAACGATTGATTTTTTCTGTGGCGACGTTCTGAACAAAAATTGTCATTGATCGGACTTGTTCTATTTGATCATTGCCATTCAGCCATTCACAACAACAAGAATTGAAACGATCGGATTTTTGAGATCTCATCCAAGCAATAGTAGCACTTCCACGTTTGGTCGATTCCTTTTTTTAATATTGTGGTTCAGATTGAGTCTGTTTCTCTCAAACAACAACAACAACAACTTTTACAACGGATTCTGTCTGTGGAGAATTGGGAGATACTTTGAGAACATCATATTTACCACAACAACAACAAATTCATAGCCCATTCAAAAATACGAGTTGTAGTCAATTCATTGTGTTGATTCGGAACATCTTCATCTCGATCTTCGTATTAATTCCGAATCAAATAACATGATCTCATCAACCTCTCCTAATAATAGTCTCTCCTCGAGTGGGTGTTCTAGTAGTAATAACAACAACAACAACAACAATACCACCACAGGTACTACTACTACTACGAGTATTGCAACTTCTCCCATAAAACCCAGTCCTTCCTCCAAGAAGATCATGATGAAACCGACATCGACCTCGATCGCCAACAACAACACCAACACAACAACTCCTCCGCCTCCTCCTTCTCCATGCCTAATGAACCAATTTCCAACCTCATTGGGATCAAGTCCTCTCAATACTCTCCATTCTTCTCCTTTCAAACCACCTCAACAACCACCCATTCCTCATCATCATCAACCGTTTTTTCCATTCCATATGCCAACGATTCAACCATTCCCAGGAAATACTCGGAACGGTACTAGCACAACGACAACAGTAACTACTACTACTCCTTTACTTCCTCCAAATCCAATGATGGGAATTTATCCTTCTTCATTCATGATGACAACACCTCCAAATCAAGGTCCGATGATGTTAGGGCATTACCCATCTCCAATGCATCATCATCATCATCATCATCACAGTCATTCATTTACTTCTCCAATCATGACTCTTCCTCAAGGCATACCACTAACAAGCGGTTCTGGAACTTTACAAGATAATGGAAACAATGTGTTAACAACAACAAACACAACTACAGCAAGTATGACGGCCACCACAACATCACCTCCACTTGTCACGTCTAGTCATCATACTTCATCACCACAAGCAACTGTTTCTACCGCTGCCACATCAAAAAAGACAAAATCTTCAACAACAAGAAAAAAGAAAAAATCCTCCTCTGAGAAAACAACCTCTCCCAAAAAATCGAGTCCACCAAAACGCAAAATACCCTACACAAGTCAATCCATTCATGCTCATATAATTTCATACTTGTTTGAAATTGGACTTTCAGATAGTGCAAAAACATTGCAAAATGACCTCAATAATCCTCAGCTCTTGAATGTGACTTCTACATCTATGAAGAGTTTTGTCAGCAATCTCACTAATGAATTAGAAAAACTTTCCCTGTCTTCACCTCCTCCAAAGAAAAATGTCACAAACTCGACTCCTATCAGTACTGTTACGAAGGATGCCAGTTCAGAAACAACATGCTCACAACCCCTCGTAGCAGCATCAACAGCAGGCACTACCACTGCAACAGCAACCAACGTTCCTCAGCCACCTCTCTCAACCCCATTCGCACAACCTTCTCTCAAAATCTCTTCACAAAGTATAACAACCAACCATACTAATGAATTTAACGATATTACTTTAAAATTGAATGATAATTCTAGTAACAACAACAGTATTAGTAGCACCCAACAAAATTATGAAGCTAGCCAATTTTTGACCATTCTCCAACAAAGTATTACAAAGCAGCCTCAGCAAGGTCACACGCATGATGGTATTGCAACATATGTCGATGAGAGATTGAATAATCTAGAGCAGGCTCTATCCATCAAAGAGAATAAGGGAGAGATATTTTCAAGATTAAGGCAAGTGGAAGAACGAGTTTTAAAAATTGAGGAACATCAAAACATCATGAATGGCTCCTCTTCGAAGGAAGATTCTCAAATTCACAATTCTGTCCATGAAAATACTTCATCATCACGTCTCGACACCATACTATCCATGAATCAAGAAGAAGAATCACTTCAAGAATTCATGAATGAGAATGATATTGACTTCTTCTTAGATATAGACAATGATCCTCCTAACTGGCTATCGAATGTTCCCTTTGAAGAAGGCGATTTGTTTGAATAAAGTGTCATCAGGATGGAACGCCTTTCATCAGTCTCTTGTGCTTGATTCATCATTGCACAGTGCTCCAACAAATTGTTGAATTTGGTAAATTAAAATTTTTTTCGATTCAACAAAAAAATTCATCTTTCTCTTTCGATTCAACAACATGAGCCACAAGAGAAAACGATTTCAACAATTGGTTGAAGATGATCTCATCGAAGGAAAACCAATCTATAGTAGCGGAGATGAAGAACCATCGGAAGAGGATGAAATGGATTTTTTCAATGACATTCCACAAGAATACGACAGTGATAGAGAATATAAAAGCAAGAATGCATCCTCTTCATCGTCGAGGCTTTTAAACACTACTTCTAATGTTGATGACGATGTTGATTTTGATATGGCTGATTCCATGAAAACCACAACAAGTAAATTTGATTTTAAAGGCTCCGATATAGGAAAACTCGTTCGTAAGAAAGCACACGAAAATCCCAAGATTCACAAACTCATTCAATCAGCCTCAATGTTCAATGATGAAGGTGATGATGAAGAAAATGGTGCAGCACGACAATCTAGTGATGATGATGATCATGATGGTGAGGATGATGACGAAATTTCCGATTATCGAAAAGACAATGAAATTTTACTGAGAGCCATGAGAAATGATTCCGATGATGAAGATGAATTGGAGAATGATGGTAAAGAGAATGGAGAGAAAATTTCTGCATTTGATTTGCCACCTGAAGTATTTGGAGAGGGCAATGATGATGATGATGAGGACGATAATCTTGGAGATGACGAAGAGGATGAAGAGGACGATGACAATGATGAAGACAATGAAAATTACGATGACAATGATGAAGACGACGACATGGAAGAAGAGCCACACGATGAACAAGATGAAGAGGAAGAAAAGAACAGACAAGATATTATCAAAACTTTGGGTAAGGCAAAAACTGCCAAGGACCATTCATCATCCTCAGAAAATACTTCAAAAACTGAAATGAATGATGAAAAGGACGAAGAAAAGTACGACAAGTCCTTCTTTTCAGAAATTCCAGCAGATATTGAAGCTTCTAAATCGTTCAATGATATGAATTTGTCGAGACCAATTTTGAAGGCCATCTATGAAATGAATTATGAACATCCAACACCCATTCAATCTCGATGTATTCCTCTCTTATTGAAAGGAAGAGATGTTTGTGCCAGTGCTGTGACAGGTTCTGGTAAAACAGCTGCCTTTATTTTACCGACACTGGAAAGATTATTGTACAGAGATCGATCGAGAAAAGAAACGCTCGTACTTGCTTTATTACCAACGAGAGAATTGGCTGCTCAATGTTATGAAGTTTGCAGCAAGTTTGCACAATATACGGACATTAGATGTTGTATCATTACAGGAGGTAACTTGAAAATCAACAAACAAATTCAAGTGTTGCAAACCAAGCCAGAAATTATCATTGCAACACCTGGTCGAGTGGTAGACCACTTACTGAACACACCAAATTTTGGACTCGATGAAGTCGAAGTTTTAATTTTGGATGAAGCGGATCGATTGTTGGAGTTGGGATTCGAACCACAAATTAAGACCATTTTGGATCATTTACCAACAGCAAGACAAACCATGCTCTTTTCTGCCACCATGACCGATGATGTGGAACAATTAGTGAAACTCTCATTGAAAAATCCAATTCGTGTCGCATGCGATCCTAGAACAGGCGTTGCTGGTGAATTAACACAAGAATTTATCAAAATTCCAGATGATCAAGACATGATGACCAAACAAGCTATTTTACTCTCACTTTGCACCAAATCGTTCACAAGTGAGGTCATTGTTTTCTGTAATACCAAATCCATGGTTCGAAAATTGAAAATGCTTCTCTTCTTGAAGGGGTTGAAAGTTTCCGAATTGAGTTCCTCACTCACTCAGGCCGTTCGTTTGAAAGAATTGTACAAATTTGCGAGTCATGAGACTGACTTTTTGGTGTGTACAGATGTTGCTTCGAGAGGTTTGGATATTAAGGGTGTGAAAACAGTCATTAATTTTGATATGCCTCTCAACTTAAAGACCTACATTCACAGAGTGGGACGTACGGCTCGTGCCGGTGCTTCAGGTACTGCTGTTTCAATGTGCAGTGAGAATAGTCTTGCAATTTTGAGAAAGATTGTTCGACATGCAAAGAAAAAAGGTCAAACTGTCCAACAACGTGTCATTCCTCCAGAATCGATCGAATTTTGGTCACAAAAGATTGAAGAAATGAAACCTCAACTCAAAGAATTGGAACAACAATTGAGACTCGAAGACGAAATGCAGCAAGCTGAAATGTTAACCACAAAGAATGAAAATATCGAAGAGTTTAAAGAAGATATTATGAGCAGACCACGAAAAGAATGGATCATGTCCAAGTCACAACACAAAGAACTCAATGAGAGAGCAAAGGCCCAAATGATTGAGGAAGACGAAGACACTAAACCTTCACACAAGAAACGAAAACTCGATCCTGAAGAATACTCCGACGAAGAAAACATGTTGAAGAAACCAGTGCGTGTTGACTATAAGGACTTTTTAGAAAAGAAGCCAGTGGACAAGAAAACAAAACAACGCCAAGCATTCAAACGAGAAATGAAAGAAGCAGGTATCAAGAATTGGGACAAGTTTGTCAGGCGTCACGTCAAGCAAGATAAACTCATTAACCGAATGAAACGAAATAATATCGAGTCAGATCTCGTGAAGAAGCACAACAAGGAAAAGGCCCTTCAACAAAAGGAAAAGAAAAAGGCAAAGAAAGAATTCAAGGAAAAGAAAAAGGCACTTGCCATGAAAATGAGCTCTCAACAACGAGTGGATAAAAAGACAGCCAATCGATCCTCTACGGAAAAGAAGAAAACAACCAAGAAGCCATCTCATGGAGGTTTTAAGAGTAGTAAGAAGTATAAGAGAAGATAATATAATATAATTTTTGAATCGTCCCTTTGTGACAACATTCAAATTTTTTGAATTCCTTTTTTATCCAACATTGATGTAAAGGATCCTCATGTTCCTTTCATCCAATGTGTTGTTCTGAAGATGATTCACCAAGCTCAAAATGTGCGAAGATGTCACAAATTGTAACAAAAGGACAATCTATTTTGAAGAATTATCAATCTTGAGTAATCCTTCAATGTCAACAACCGGCAAAATTTGAGGTGGTTCAATGCAATCTTTAAAGTTGGAAGTCTTTTTGTTCAATATTATATGAATGACCATTTCAGACGATAAAGAAGAGGACAATACTGTGCATAATATTGGATTCTTTGACCATTAGCACGCACGACATTCACCAACAGATTTAAGCATGATCCACAATCTTATTTGACATTTGACACTATTACCATTTTCCTCCACATTTGACAAGCAGAGAAAAAAAACACTCACGTGATCACCGTCGGTCCTCATCACCACCAATCTTAATCCTCACGCTTTCCATCTAACTGCATCACCCTCTCTCCAAAATCACCATCGATTGACACAAGAACCACAACATTTGTGGTCTCAAAATATATTAAAGTTTTATTGTTCCGGAACCATCGACTCACACACACAGATAGGACGATCCATCACGAAAAGCACATTGTTCGGACAAGTTGTTGTTTCATTCCAATTGAATATTCTCGAATTGATTGAAAAACAACCCTATTATTCATAATATTACAAGAATAATAATAATATCACACATTTATCATCACCACCACCACCACCACAACAACAACATTCAGATATCACAACAACACGAACAATTATTGAGTGAGAATGGGAAATCATTCGAGTAGTCATCATCATTCTTCCATGATGATGAAGAGAACACCTTCTTCCAAATTAAGTTTATTGAGAAGTATGAATTATTCCAACAACAACAACAACTCATTGAATGGAAAGGGTTTGAATTTAGGATCAAATTCTTCACAACAAAATTCTTCTTCACAACAACCACAACAACAGATGCGAGTGATCATGTTGGGAACGGGTGGAGTTGGGTGAGTGTTGTTTGATAATATTATTTATTGAATAATAATGAGTGACTTACAATTAATATACTATGATGAATATCATTATAATATATTATCAATTGAAATTTAAATATGATATTTCATTCAATATGGATCCATCCTATTTTGATGATGAAATGGATTATCTTGAATTGACATTTGGCATTTGATGTTGGTTGATGATATCTCCACATGATCCGAACCTATGTGGTCATATTTGCACGTACCTAAAAACTTGGAACGTTGAATCTTCCAAAAATTCAACTGAACCTTCCTTTTTGACATTTGACACCGTCAGAAAAAGTACCTTGTTCAAAAACATTAAGCTCTTATTCAACGGCGGATTTGATTCGGACGAATTTCTCTCTTATCGAGAAGTCATTCTCTCCAACATTGTCCAAATGGTTCAATTCGTCTTGCGAGCGCTCATTACTTTATTTCCAGAACACAAAATTGAAAAACCAGAAAATGAAGAATTTGCGAATAGCATTCTGAGATTGGATTGTGAAGATTTTATTCATATTTTGAGGATTGTGGATGAGAATTTTATAACACGAGTTCAGAAATTGTGGTTTGAAGAACCGGCCATTTTAAGGGCTTATCATTATAGACATCGAGTAAGTTCCTAGTTCCTGGTTGACTTGAATTCTTTTTCACGAATTGAACTCTTTAATGAACCAAATGAATCAAATGAACCAAATGAACATCATGATAGTATCAATTACCTGTGGAGGATTTACCTGATCTGATCAAACAAATGGATCAAATCTATTCATTGCCAAAAACGAAACATGTCATGTCTTCCTATGTGAAAACTACGGGAATTGTGGAGACAGAATGTGTTTATAGAAATACTCGAATACGTGTTTTTGACACAGGTATGTGGGAACACTTTTGGATTGTGAATCCTTAAAGATTTATTTTCTTCACTTTGGGATGAAATTATATTCATCATTAACTCTTACTATTTTTGGTAAATTGTAAAGGTGGTCAACGAAATGAAAGAAAAAAATGGGTCCATCTCTTTGGCTCCACCAATGGCATTATATTCATCGTTTCACTCTCTGAATACAATCAAGTTTGCTATGAAGATGACAAATCCAATCGTATGAAAGAATCCTTATTACTTTTTGAAGAAATTGTCAATGCCTCGTGTTTCGAACGAGTTCCAATCTTTCTTGTATTCAATAAGAAGGACGTTTTTCTTCACAAAATTCAATATTTTGACATTAGTGAAGCATTTTCAGATCTTCCAAATCACATTCGACTTCACAAGCCAATCAAAAATTTTCACAAACTTGCCAACGATGCCAAACGAAAACACAACATTCAACAGAAAAAACAGAGACGAACTCCAGGAACTCTGGAAAGTGCACAAAATCCAAAAACGATGGAACGATTTCAAAGAGCTCGTTCGGCCTCTATTCAAAAACAAAAACGAAAGAATTCACTTGCGGGAGTTTATGGATCGTCACCACTTCTTCCTCGAATGTCACCTTCGAGATTTGTGGTTGAAAATCATCATTTATTATCAGAAGAAGAACAATTCAAAATTCGTCAAGAAAATTGGCAGAAAATTCCAAGTGATATTTTAATTTATATCTGTTTCTTTTTGGATGCTGTGGATATGTGTACTTTGAGTACAGTGAATTATGAAATGTATATTATTGCAACGTGTGACACTGTTTGGCGATCTTTGTGTTATAGTCTCATGAAAGATATTGATGAAGAACATGTGGACCTTCTATATAAGGAAAGATATCATTTATTTGAACCGCAATTGACTGGAAAGGTGAACAGTGATGAAAGTCCTTCATCAATTGTTTCATCTGTATCGACGCCGACCACAACAACAACCAAATCAATGAACTCATCTTCATCTACTGGAAGTATTTTGACTTCGAGCTTGAGCTCAGTCATCTCAAGTGTCACCACCGATAAATCTCCTTCTTCGATCAGTAAGGCCATTTCAATTCAGGGAAACGTTTTTTCAAGCTTCCAACCTCAACAAACCACCACCACTACAGTACCTGGTACTAACTTTACCAATACTTTCAATATGAATAATAATAATGGTGTTCAACAACCATGGTTTGGAGCTAAAGATGGAATTGGCATTTCAATCACTGCTACTCCAACCATCCACAACCACCAACATTCACATCATCATTTCACTTCATCCACCGTTAGCATTTATAGTGATAGTAGTAGTGAAGAGGACCCCAACATGTTGACCACGACGACGACGACGACGACGAGTAGTTTGTCATTCATGCCAGAAGAACGAGAGGAACGAGAATTTAGAAAAAGAAAATGGAGATTCTTTTATGAAATTGGAGGATATGTGTATCGAGATTCGATCAAGTATATTCAACAGCAATTTATTGATTTGGCAAAAGATGAACAACGAAGAGCACAATTGTGGAGAGATGTGAGAGTGACAAGTGCTACGAATGCTTCCACGGTTCGAGAATTATTGGAATATGTTTTTGACACCATCATTGACGCGCATGAAACTAACTTTGATTTTGATGAAGATTTGTCTCCCAGTACACCGAGCTCTAAATCTAAATCTCCAAGAAGAGTTGCGAATGGCAAAACCAAAATGAGGAATTAATGTGCAAAATTTTGCGACATCCATCTCAGCCATTCAGATTCACTAACTTGCAATAACAACCAATTCTTTTTTAAAATCTTTAAGCTTTAATTGGAATTATTGTTCCATCCAATAATAAAATCATAATAAATTATTGATACATGTGCTACGATGTCACAAAATCATACCGCAAATCCCACAACTACTTCTTGGTAGAAGTGGGAGAAATAAACGACGAAAATAGTTTCTTTACATTATTCCACGTGATTGAATCATCCGTCACTTGAAGCACATTTTCCAGTCTCAATTGAGGAAACCAATATCCTAACAACAGACATAACGTCACCACAGTCACAAAAGGTGCAAAATTAACCTCCGTTCGAAGTGTTCCCTTATTACTTTCATGATACAAATGTTCCATGGTGGACATAAATCCTGACCTCAGAGAAGAAGATTGATAATCCGTAAGATAGAGAATGAGAGCAAGTGAAAATCCAGCAAATAATCGAAATCCCACTGGAGTTGTAATATCCATCCATTCGGGAATGTAACCATTGGTGGCAAGCGCTCGCAACCCGCCATCGATACCTCTTGCAAATAAATAAAGAACGATTTGGTTATTGACCTAAAGAGAGTGTGAATTCGAAATATTGGATGATGATGGAAGAATGTAGGATTGAGAACATGACGAGTCAGTACGCGTGACACATTATAATAGTTCCAAAATTACAAGCGAATATACATGTAAGGAGAAGATGAATAATATTTCGTTCAACAGTTTTTGTAACATATGTAAACACCAACAACAACTACTTACAGCTCCAGAAATTCCCTTACTTTCACCAAACGCTACATAACCTCCAATAAATCCAGCAATCCATGCGTCGATACCACTCCGTATATTTAAATGATTTCTACAAATATATGTAATTAATTTGTAAATTCCGACAAACGAGCCTAGATTCTTTCCATGATGAAACATTTGTTTGATGACAAATCTCACTTTTCTAAATTCTGTTGGTGTCTGGAAAATTATTGCATAAATTAATGATTGTAAAATATATGGAACTCTTATTCTAACTCCTGTCACAATACCATTTCTGTAACCTCTATATACACTTTTTAATCCATCTTGAATGGATTGTTCTAACATGGTTGGTGACACTGTTGAAGAGGAAGGAGGGGAAGATTTTCCATCGATTGTGACAGTACTGTCAATTGTCACCGCCGAAGGTTGTGAGGAAGGTGGTTGAGAAAGTGCAATCTGTACATTGGCAGCACAATTATTCATAGAAAGAAAATGTTGTTGGGATGAGAGTCCACTATCGTCATTCGCTCTTGGAGTCACCACCCCACCCTCAATAGAACTGTCAGTAAAATTGGATGATTTTTGTGTCATCATCATGAGCGTAATTCCATCTTCTTCTTCATCAAAAGTATTTCCAATAATAGGTTTACGACTTTCTTTTTGTTTTGATCGAATCTTCTCAAGAAGAGTCTCCGAGTGTTTTTTTTTCCTTCTTTCATTTTCGTTCGTTTTAACCTCCTCACAACGATCATCATCATCAGAAAATTCATTCTCACTAAATTCATACAAGGCTGTCGGAGTGGCATCTTCCATCAAGGTAGAGGCTGCCATTTGATCCGACAGAAAATCCATCAGAAAATCATCAGCATTCATATGTTGTTGTTGTTGTTCTCTCTAACGTGTTTTCCAATGATTCTCTCTATTTGAAATATTTTGAAGAGACAGATCGGAAAATGCTGTTCTCTGTGCTCTTCTTCTTCTGATGAGAATATACAATTCAACGCGGAAGGCTTTACTTCCTCAATGATGATGATGATGAATAAATCAAATGGTGGTGGTGGTGGTGAAATAAAAACTCATCAAGAGACACGTTCCTGTACGAATTCAATTAAAAGACTTTGCGTGCTCGGACTTCAGTTGCTGCTGCTGCTGCTGACTCGAGTCGCAATCTTTTTGGTGCGATTCAATTTTTTTTCGAAAATTTTCCTTATTCTCCTTCCTATGAATATGCTCATTCGAATAGATAGAAATGATGATGATGGTTGTTGTGTCTTTTCATGATGTTATTATGGTGATGTTGATGGTGGTGGTGTGTTAGAATCACCTGTATGTGTTTTATTGATTGAGAAGATTGTGTGGAATGTAGGCAGGAGATGTAGTGGTGGTGGCATAAGGTCGACCATTCATGGGTTTTCTAGTGGAAACACCATAAGGTGAGTTGGCAGATGCTAAACGTTGCAAGGCTACCCCTGATCGACTTCTACGTGGCATGCCATACACATTTCCAAGGTTAGCAGTGCGAGAGCGTTCATATTGAGTAATGTCACTCACCAAATACAAATTTGTTTGTTGCAAGATCTTGAATACAAGTATGGATCCTATAATTCCAATTCCAGACAACACAACAAGCTCCCAGAACAATCCAACACTAAACTTGGACGTGTCGTACAGGATGTGACACACTCGTAGGGCCTTTGGCACTAAAAAGAACATTTCTTCAGAGCAGTAAAAGGCTACAAATCTTGCTAATGAGCTTGGATAATTTTTAGCCTTAAAGGTTCGAAGCTTTTTAAGTCTCCATGATTGAAGCATCATTGTCATGCATGCAAGGGAGATGAGAATTTCAACACTGTAATTTTCTCTCAAGTTAAGCCAACGTAATAAAATTTCGAAAAAGTTCAAAAGTGTCACTCCGACTCCTAGTAAGCTCTTATTCAAGAATCCGTAATGAGATCCAATAATGACCAATGTCAATTCAAATAAAATGGAGAAGATGAGTGCATTAGTGGAATAAGAAATGATGAAGCTACATATTGTGGACATGAAAAACAAGATCTCTCTTTCATCTAAAGTAAAATAGTCAAATAAGAGAGGAGTGTCACTGCCACGCACTGGAATTTTTTGTCGCTGTTTCACAACACTTGGATCATAGTCAGCATTATCCAAAGCAAATACAAAACGCATAATTACCAAGAGAAGGGTTATGCAAACCTCTCCCACGATAAAAGAAAATATTCCTCGTTTGTACAATGGCTTCGTATTGACTGCAAAAATAGAATTGTACAACTGTACCACAACAAGTGTGAAAATAGTGAAAAATACTCCAGCGCCAATAGTGAAAGTAATCTTGTCGAATAAATTAGTCTCTCTATTTTGTTGGGTGGGAGATGCTTGAGTGGGTGATGATACAATGATCGTCGACTCATCAGTAAATTGGTGTTGGTGATAATTGTGAATTTTCTGAATTCTGTATGAAAATAAATAGTGGATGAGAGGTCGCAAAATTTTTGACACCAAGGATTGTAACCACAAAAACAATTCATTGCTGCCAGAGGGGGAGCTCTTTGCTGCAGAATGAAATGATCGTGTTCTGACAGAGGGTCTTCCATCGTGAGTCACCATAATCGTATGATCAAGTGGATTCATGTCACCAGCTGCTGCTGTGGTGGTTCCTGGAGCAAACATGACTCTTTGACCTCGAGGCAAGCCAGAATCACTCACATCTCCTCCCGTCATGATTGTGTTGTCAAATGAAATGGAAGATGGGCCATAATCATGATAGGAAGCATATTCAGATGGATAGAGATAAGAGGGAAGTTGTTGATAGTCTGTTCGTAAGGTCATCGGAGAAACTGAAGCTTGTCTTACATCATCAAAATAAGAGCCATTCGCAGCAGTGCCATGAAAAGATGATGATGATGATGGAGAATAATTACTTGATGATGAGTTATAGTTATACATGGTGCTCGTGGTAGGCCGATATGGTTGTTGTTGTTGTTGTTGTTGTGGTGATGGCGAGAAAGAGGAGTTTGAGGACTGAATGGGTTTGCTTCTCGAATTTGCGGTCATCCAAAACTCATCATCATTCCGTTCACTTTGTAATGGGCTAAAATTCATCTTGTTACTCTTTCAAAGTGATTCGCGAATGAGAAATTAATCAATGCTTGATGATAATTCTTCTGCTGTAGCGTGATTGGAATTTAAATGAGAGTGAGAAAAGAGGACGCAAGGAAAAGGCTTAAATGTTTTTTTTTGGTTGAATTTTTTTTGTGAAATTGAATTGGCGGGCAGGTCAGGGCTCTATGTCTTGTCAATGCCATTGCCAAACATGTCGTTGGAAGAGAGATTGATCTGATGATTACATTGACAAGGGCCATTGTGGAATGTCATTGTTAAAAAGTGTTCAGTAGTTGAAGAGCTTTACTTTGAAAAATTAATTCTATGATCAAAAAAAATTGAAAAATCCTTCAAAGAGCAGATTTTTTTTGCAGGCTCCCCAAACACTTGATCGACCACATTCATTGACCTGCATCATCATCATCTGTTCGGATCATCATCCTATCGGATTCATCAAAACAATTTCTAAATTTTAAAACAACCACCACCATCACAACAATAACAACAAGATGGGTCATACGGCATTTGAATATTTTCAATTGTTGGATGGCCTCAACAAGGTGGAGTCCTTGTGTGTGATGGGAAATACGTTGTTTGTAGCAACAACGGACGGAACACTCTCCTTGTACAATTTACAATATGATAAAAAGGCTGGAAGCAAGGAACGATTTACATGTACTTCATTCAGCAAAAAAACACAATTCAGTAGGAAGCCAATCACACAAATGTGTTCCGTACCAGAGTTGGGTATTTTGATTTGCCTCACAGATGGATTTATCAAGTTATATACATTGAGTATGTTGAGAGAAATTGATACTCTGAAAAATCAAAAGGTAAGAATTTTCTGATATCATGTGTATGATATGGGTATATCAAGAGGAATCTGTTTTGAAAAAATAATTATTATTATCGTGTAATTATCATTTCGGTTGTCATTGGTCTGTTTCATCATCGACATATTTCATTACATGATACACTCACGAAACAAACCTTTACCGTTCAAAATTCACTGAACGACACATGTCAAATGATATCAACAACCGAACAATAACACAATTTGTTGATCCTATAGCAAAACCCATTGAAGGGATGCATGTTTTTTGCCTTGAAAAAGCACAACGGAGAATTCACAATGGCTGTTGCATCCAAAAAGAAGATTACAATTTTACAATATGGAAGCAAGGAATCCACATTTAAATATCAACAAGAATTGGTGTTGCCTGATGCTGCCAAATCGATAAATTGGAGTGGAGACAAACTTTGTGTTGGATTTAAGAAGGAATACTCTCTCATTGATACTCAAAAAGTAGGCAGCGTGCCACAAAAATTATTCGACACTGGAGTATCTCAACAAACAACACTCGGACTATCATTGCCCAATGAAACCATTGTGGTCGTGAGTAATATTGGAGTGACACTTAATTTCTCTGGAAAACCCACCCGTTCCCACGGAATCGGGTGGAGTGAATTTCCCAACATGATTGCCTATTTGAAACCTTATCTCATTACACCACTTTCTGTTTTTGTTGAAATTCGAATTTTGAGCTCAACCATCAAGAAAGAGACTTTTATTCAAAGCTTACCATTGAAGGATATTATTGCCACAAGCCAGCAAAATTTCATTGATTTAGATCAACCAGATAATATGGATCAGGGAATGGGAGTGGGTTTCAAACTTCGAACAGAGCTCGATCGTGACGACACTATTGATCCCGAGAATCGAGTATTTCTTGCCTCGAAAAGCAGTATTTATGTTCTCGTAATGAAACAATTCGATTTGCAAGCCGAAGAACTGTTATCGAATCAACAATACGAACTAGCACTTCACTTGTGTGAAACTGTAGAAAATACGAGATACAAAATTGAGGACTGGAGAGTCAGTTCCATTCATACACAATATGGTTTTCATCTGTTCGCTAAGGGAGAATTTGATAAGGCCATGGAACATTTTGACAAAACCAAAGACGATCCTCGTATGATCATTTCGCTCTTCCCTGATTTATTGCCTCCCAAATCTTCATTCAAAGTCTCTCTACCGTACACTGTGCAAGAACAAACAAAAATTGACCAATATCTCAAAGATATTGAACAGCGAAATAAGGCCCTGCAAGCTCTCATTCAATATCTCCTCCATAGAAGAACGCCTTCTGATAAAGAGCTCAATGAACAAGCCCAAGACGAAGCAGAGGCAGTAGATACCGCACTCTTGAAAGCTCTCCTCTACACTAATGACCCACACGTGGAAGATTTTCTCTCATCTCCCAATCGTTGTAATATTTTTGACAGTCAGAAAACTCTTCACTCTCATCAAAAATTTAGAGAGCTTGTCATTTTCTACAAGACCAAGGGTCTTCACGAAAGAGCTCTCGAACTGTTAAAATTACTGGGTGACAAATCTTCATCCTCAACAGCATTTTATACAGACTTAATGGGAGTCATGCCAACAGTCAATTATCTGAGAGACCTTCAGCAAGCAGGAGAGGGCAAGCAATACATCATGGAATTTAGCAAGTGGATCTTACAGGCAGAGCCACTAAGAGGTTTGAAGATTTTCCAAGTTCCAAATTGCCCATTCAATGTCAATGAGGTAATTTCACATTTGGAATTATTTGACCATACCTTGGCAATGAAAATTGCATACCTGGAGCATTTGATCAAGGTTGAAAAATCGACAGATCCAAACCTTCACAATCAACTCTTATTGCTCTATTTGGAGTATGTCACTAAATATTCTTCTCCAAAATCCAACTATGAAGAGGATAACACCAAAGGGTTACTTTTCACTTGCAAAGATATCAAACATAGAATGAACGATTTCCTTTCACACTCACAATACTATCACCCTGAAAAGATGCTTTCACGTTTTCCTTTCGATTCTCTGTATGAAGAGAGAGCCATTTTGCTCAGCAGAATTAATCGACATTCACAAGCATTGACCATTTATGTTACGAAATTGGAAAGTATTGAAAAAGCAGAAAAGTACTGTATGGATCACTATAATCCAGAGGGTACTGAAGAGAGTAGAGAAATTTTCTTAATTCTTCTCAAAATGATTTTGCAACAAAGTGGAACCAACACCGATAGTAACAACATGTTCTTTGAAGATGCCATAGGATTACTGGAAAGACACTTTTCAAAAATTGATCTCATTAAGGCACTCAAATTATTGCCTGAGAACGTTCCAGTGATTGAATTAATGAGATATTTTGAGGCAGTAATGAGGTCACACACCGAACAAAAGAGAAAGGTACAAATTATGAAGAATATTAGTCGATCAGAAAATTTACAAGTTCAAGAACAAGTGATTGGGGAAAGAAAACGACTTGTAAAGATAAAATCAGACAGAATTTGCCCTGTCTGCAAGAAGAGAATTGGTATGAGCGCTTTTGTTTGCTATCCAAATGGTATTGTCACACATTACATTTGCTCAAAGAATCCAAATATTTGTCCCGTGACTGGTCAAAACTTTTTGAAATTGTAAATATGTCGATAAAGAGCAGCGATCAAGTATTTATTTCTGGTGGAAGTTCGATCAGTCAATTTTGAAAGTGCATTTTAACAATTATCTATCTTCAAATGACAAATTGTTCGACCAGAAATGATGAATTAAACACCCTCAGAGCTCAATTGAGGCATACATAAATTATAGAAAACAGAATCTTTGAACACTTGCTCTCGTGTTTTCCATCCACACCAGCCCCCAGAAATGATATCCTCCAAATATTCTGGATCATTGATACTACCAGTGAAATGAGGATCCAAAATCAAGTACGAACACTCTCCTGTCAATTCATCAAACTCAATTCCTAACATGGTGTAAGCCAACACTCCTCCACCAATCATGATGGGACTTCCATTCACATCGAAATGATTTGCAATGGTACGGGCATGAGAATTCATTTCATCTCCTCGATTCACATACAAGACCTTACTTTGCACTCCACACCATTTTTCCAACACAATGGTATTTTCAAAAGCTCCAATCCATTGACGAGAGCCCAAGAAGGATGCTTGCTTGTCACCACAATCCACAAGGCATTTCTGAATTTCTTGATGAGTAGGTAAATTTACCACAACTGCTCCCGCATGATACTGTGCGTGTGAAATGAGAGTTTGCAAACTTCTGTATGCACAACCCCAACCTTCATCATTGAATTTGTCTTGACAATAATGTGAATACAAATAATCACCACGAACGAGATGTAAATTGTTTGGATTGGTAGATTTGATGGTTGATGGATAGCCTGCATAGAGATGGACGTTGAGGATTTTCTTGTTGAACTCGCTAATCTTGGTTTTAGGAGAGGGACCAAATGTCAAAGCTTGATTGGTTCGAATGAATGGTTGTTTCAATGAAAAGTATAATCTCTTGTGATATTCTTCTCTCAATTTGATGGCATTTTGTTCATTACGTTGCTCAAAAACAATATCGTCACTATAGAATGGGTAACAACAAGTGAAAACATGAGGATAGTCTTTTGGTAGAAATGGATAAAATCCAATGTGTCGAATACTCTTTGAAGATCCAATGTGTGGCAACAGAAAACTTCCACTTACAAAATACTTCTTGACAAAGACAAGTTGGTCAGCGAGACCTTCAACCAAAACCTGTCTTAAATTATCCAAATTATTTACCATAGTACCCTTTTGATAAATTGGAATGTAACTCGTTGTTTCAAGTGAGAGCTTGCAATTTGTATGTTTCTTGTCTGAAGAAATGATAATTCCACTGCCATACTGATTGGGAGATAGATTTAAAAAGGCATCAAAATGCAAGAATTTCGAAATGGTTTTCACTGTGGAGGATGTTGTATTTTCATCGGATTTGTGTTCACTGAGTTTCAAAAATTCTCCAAGGGTTTGCTTTGGAAGTTTTTTCTTCTTGTTCTTTGAGGTCATTTCCTTCTTGTTAAAATTGGCATCCACTTTCAATTGTTGACTTGAAGTGTCCACCACTGTTAATTTCTCAGGCAAAATTGACTCGATGGTTGATTCACGACCACGGATTTCAATAGGAGCTACGCTAGCTGTCGTGCTTAAAGTAGACTTGTTCTTTTTGGAAGACTGTTCAGCAGAGTTATCAGTTGATAGTGATGCAGATCTAATCAATGTCTTTTCTTCAGATTTTAAAGTGTCAATATAGGAGTCAATATGTTTTTTAAAAGTCTCCGTCATTGACTGATCGCTGTTCGTCGACGCTTGTGGATCAAATGTATATGGAATGATCAAGTCGCAATGCAATCTGGAAATAATAAAAGCTGTCGTCGATGCTTTGACATGTTGTTGCAATTCATGTTTGTCTCCCACAATGGAAATTTCAGAAAATTCACGAATAGCATCCTGTCGAATGACTTGAGCTGTTTTATCCGAGATATTGAAATTAAACACCTCCAGTGGTGATGAAGAGCCACCTCCAACCATCACCAACAATTGTTTAAAATTATTTTCTTTGGAAAATAGAGATGGAAATTGTGATGAAAGCCATGAGGTTATTACCTTCTCTGTTTCTGGAGCTTCCGATCCAATAACAACTTCACTGCCATGATATTTTGCCAGTGTTCCTTGTGTGGTATATAATCCCACAATTTCTAAACCTTTCGGAATCATCATGAGCTTCATCAAATCCAATTCACTTTGATCCACATTGGAAAGACTCTTCATAAAATTCAAAATATGAACCTGATCGTTTCCATTCATTCCGATCAAATAACCAAGGACCGGATTCGTGGATGAAGCCAAATGTTTAAATAATTGACCCAGTCTATTTTTGATGAGGGAATTGAATTGAATGAGAAAAGTAGGTGATGATTGTGATGAGAGCATTTTTTATACGTGCACAAATTGTTAATAAAGCCTCGACTTCTCAGGTATTACAATGTCGATTTTATCATTGGACCCTTCTAAACTGACGTAAGTCTAGGGCCTTATTAACAATTTAGCAATCCAATGAGTAAAATTGAAGAATTATAAGTCCTATTAGCTAAAAATCAAGCTGTTGGGACATATTATGTTAACCTGAGAATAAATATCTTAAATATCTGTCGACCGTTTCAGAATTCCAATCGCCAATTGTCTTGTTTGCTGCTTCTGAAAAACCAGAAAAACTTGCTTCCAAAGCTCTGATATGTTCTGAATGTAGTGAAGGGCATGAATGTTTCGATTGTAAACAATTAAAGAGTTTGGTTGAGCTTGAAAAAAATTTTTCATGCTCAAAAAATTTTCTGCATATCAACGATTAGTCTCTCTTTGCGTTGCTTAGTGACTTCCCACCCATTCACACTCCCACCCACTTGCTTTCTTAAGCTTATTCAAGTACATTTTTCGCTGATCGGAATGTTCTTGTGGTAAGGAAGAACATTGTGACAATACAGGTCTACCTTGATTCGAATCTTTTCGGCAAGGATTTTATTGAGCTAACTATATATTTTTGTTATTTAATTTTCATTTATTTAATTCATCATGTTTTCATGTTTTTCATGAATTTATCAAATTATTATTATTTTCATGGATTTATCAAGCAATTGCTTAAATGCGACCTCACATCATGGAGTCTTCGTCTCTGCCGCCTAATTGTGACTTCTTGCACTTCACATCATGTAGTCGTTACTTCTGCCTTCATCCTTCCTGCTTCCTTGCTTTTCTTTGGTTTTCTCTTTTTTTTTTCCGCTGAGCGGTTTTTGGAGTTTTTTACCTTCTCAAATCTTAATTAATACTCGGGACTCTACTGAATAAAGTTAATTGACAAATATGCAGAAAATCCCACAAACACCGGACCTTTATTAAGGTCGGGTGTTTGGAGAGACCACAAACCCATTAGTCCTTCCTTTAATTAACAAACGAATTTTATTGTTTACTCTTTCGTGGATCAGAAATAATCATAATAGTTGTATATAAAACGTTATATACAAGAATTCTTGTAGTCCACAAATCGAAGGCCTGATTGGATCTATCTTTCTATGAATTCAATAGACCATGGAGATCTGTTCCATATTTGTGCCACAGGTGATAGATTGGACATTCCCTTAATTAAATCTGTCACTTGATAATGCTCTGTGGGATCTCTAAAACCGAATAATTTGCACTTATTCTTAATGGTAAAAGGTGGAGCTCTACAATTATAACCTGAGGGGGTATCAAGGAACATATTAGTTAGGAAAACAAAACCAGTTCTTCCGAAGGTGGAAGTGAGTATCTATATTTAATTGCAAAGTCAATCATTCTATTCCAATACCTGTCATAATTTAAACTTGTAGACTGTTCATTTTTATGGAAGATGATAACTATAGCCACTTCTTTTAATCTGCTCATCGAAAGTCTATCAAACTGGCTACCACTCTCGTTGATTTCTTCCAGGGTTCGACGTTTCCGCTCACAGAAGGAGCGAAATCACTTCCATTCATCTCTACACAAATGAAACTTGGAATTTTTGGATTAGAGGCCACCACCATCTTGTTTTCCAGACTGGGTGAATTAGAATCATCTGAGCTTTGGATTCCATACAATGAAGCATGACTCGCCCTACCAGGTTGAACGGGATGCAATACCAGTTGATTAATGGTTCTGTCCACAAAGTTGAAAAAGCGTCTGCTTTGTCCTCCCTGCTCAACTGATAGCGTGTGGTGTATGGTATCACTTTGTAATTGTGATGTGACGCAAAACGATCGTTCCCAATCGATACATTCAAGTGCTGCTGCACTTGGTTGCAAGTCTCCTGAACTACTTCCCAATCTGTCGGATCTGTTTTTTGGGTGATCTGTCTGCGATTTGGTTGTGTTCTGATGGTAGCCACTCCAACGACAACAGATGAATATTGTTATCGAATATAATTCTCCAAATTGATTGAATTAATCTGTTCATGATAGGGCTTTTGCAACTTCCTTTCCGGATCGAGCTTAAAGCTACCTTTGATTCCGTATAAATAATTAAATGTCTTCCTTTTAGAATATCCTTCCATGTTAATATAGCTCTTACTTCCAATACATTTATATGATCTTTCTTCTCTTGTTCTGACCACATTCCTTGAATCCTTAGATCTTTCTCTGGTATGTCGAAAGGGATAGTCTGAAGAAGGAACTTTATTCTGCTGGTACTTGTTATTATTCGTCCTTGTTGATGTGGATGCCCAATTCATCAGGTAATACATATTTTCGTTTATTTGTGAAAAATAATGTGGAATGAATTCTTCTGTTTGGGAGAACAACAACAAAAGTTGGATTCCAAATGACACATTAAAGGAGGAAGCAATGAAAGGGCAGAATGGTCTACATATTTGAGCTGCCATTCGAGAGATGATGATCGTTGGGTATGATGATCAAAGTGACGACTCATTCGAGCACTCAGTGTTGGACACAATGATGACGAGGACTTGAAGTTCAAACATTTTTTGACGATGAATGGATCGGAAACTGGATTAAAACATTCATTGTCGAACTGTGGACTCGTACCTCTGTTTTTAATGTTATATCACACAATGATTTCACTCCTCTCGAAATCAATCAAATACTCTCTTTACAAAATTCCATTTAAATTCAATTCTTTAGTCAATTCCGATCAAAACAAAAATGCAACACTGAGTGAGTATAGTGATCGTGTCCTCTTCTTCTTATATTTGCTGTCACTTTCAAAGTCAAGCTCGAACTTTTGTCGGATCGTCCACAACAATCTTCCTCTTCTAATCAAACATTCCCTACTTGACCAATTACCATCATCATTATCATGTACTACACGCATCATCATGAAAATGAAGAGTCATCCTGATCATTCCACTAGTACCACCATCACCACCATCACCACCACTAGTACCAATTATAAATGTCTAGAGATTACCTTTCGGGATCACCAAGCCTTGAAGTGTGTATCCAATTTCGAACAATGGTTGTTCATGAGCCTCATCACAGCCAAGAAGAAACACCTCCTCACCCTTCACCTCTTCCTTCTCCTTCTATCATTCCTGTTTCTCTTCATCATCATCATCCATGTAGTTCAAGCTCAAGTCCCTTCTCCTCTTCCTTCACGTGGATTAGCCTATTGCGCAGTGGCAAATACTTCCATCCTTCCACTCACTTCAAGCCTTTTAAAGGAACAACAACAAAGAGATGGAATTTTGTGTCCTTTCGGATTCATCAAACAAACACAAGTGATGGCAACCACCATATCTTTTCAATGCGTGAGTGTCCTTCAGTTATTGAATGAAATTGTGGATCAAAAAGATTGTTTCATTCCCGATGGTGAAACAGAGGCCAATCTTTCGCCCATTCTCGATCCTCAGAATTGTCTGTTTGACTTTTTACATTGCTCGCCCCGTACTCGAAAGTGTACCTTTACGAATACGAGAGCACAGGGAGATGTGTGTGTCGATCGATTGAATTGTATTGGATCGAGTGGTACAAACACAAATATTCAACGAGCATTGGCTGTCAATTGTCATGAAGGAAGATGCACCTCGTTGCAAAATTCTCCCTCATTGCCCATTGGTTCTTCATGTTGGAGCGCTTCTTCTTTGAGTAGTAGTGAGTATGCTCCTTTTTTGAACTATCAGAACAATACGTTATTGACCTGTGTGGAAAATTCAATTTGTACGTCGAATGGTAATCAATTACCACGTTCCTATTGCATTCAACTTCAATCGAAAAGAGCTTCAACATTTGAATCATGTGGTGCTGTGAGCAAAGATCGAATTCAAGACATGAGTTATAAATTGTGTAAGGAGGGATTGACCTGTCAATCACAATACATGAAACCTAACACTTGTGCCGAATTTATTAAGGCAAGTGACTTTGAGGACCTGTATCGATTTCCATTCAATTATCATTTGTCCATACCCACGTTGGTTTGTCCAGATGGTTATAAAGACAGCTCAACATTTATGGGAGATCGAATTATTTGTCAAAAGAATGGAACTGATATTTGTTTGACAAATGCTCCTTGTGGTGGCTATGATCTCTTCAATATCAAATCAAGTTATAGCTTTAAAAGTGGACGACCGAGACCACTTTCCAAACAATTTGACAGACTCACCAAGTGTGACACCTCGACCCAGAAATGTGTGAGAGTATTTGGAAAAGAGAATGGAATGAACTGTTCAGACCATTCGGAATGTCGTTCGTCCTATTGTTTCAACAATACCTATTGCACAAATATACCAAAAGAAATTCCTTGCGGACCAAGCGTAGCAAATCCAACTCTTTATGATTGCCCCGGCTATTCACATTGTATTTGTACAAATTCAACACGAGGCATTTGTGCAAATTTATGTTTTGCTGAATTGGCAGATTTTCATACGTGTGCTTATAACGTTGGGGTATTTGGAGAGACTAGCCCAGTATCAGTCATGGAAAACACACTATTTCCATTCGTTGACAATGCATCATCCGTATTTTCTCTTGAGAATGGGACTTGTAAAGATTATATGGTGAAATATTTTGAATGCATGCAATCGGTTCAGCAAGGTCTGCAATTGGAAATTCTACCAATCGTTGTCGTTAGCCAAAATGGTGATACTGAGAAAACTGCTTCTACAACACCACAACCAGATGATGCATACTTCTTTCGCGTACAACAAGTGCCATCATCCCTCGAACAACCACTTTTTATTGTGAATATTAATGAATCGTACCAGACAGCTATCTCACGCTTAGAACCGAATACGATTCAATTGACCACTATTGACATGTTCTTGAACCTCTCTCAAACACTCATGCAAGTGTCACCTCTGTACACAAACGTTAGAACTTCAGATTATGTGATCATTTCGACAACAGAGAGAATGGTTGGATTAATGCCCAGGTATAAATTCAAAACTGTAGATTTTAAGAATATTCATGCATGTGCATGTTGCACGGAAGCAGTCACGAAATATTTGGAGGCCTCTCTTGATGGAGGTATTTTATTGAGATCGAATCGTGTGAATGTAGCTTCTGCGATTTATATCAACAATGTGGATTTAAGTATTACCATTACAGGACTCGAACCAATCATGGGACATAACTCATTCCTGAACCGCAATTGGTACGAGAGATGTGACATCATTCTTGTTCCTCCGCAAGATATTGATGCTGTCACACTCTCTATCAAGAATAACATGCTACTACTGGACAACAATGGAACTTCAATCATCAAAGAATTGGAATCAGCATCCATGAATGATTTATTTGTGATCTTTATTTCAAATTTACCTTCCAAAGTGTTGGCCATACCTAGAGATGTGAGAGATGCAGCCATGACCAATCAACCATTATTTATCAAAATTTCTGAACTAGTTCGAGAAGCAATTTCACAAAAGTATAATCAAGCCATGCAACTATACAACAGCTCTCAAGCGAACGGTACAGGCACAAATTCAACTCGTGTCGATTGCTCTCTATTCAATTCGACATTGGATGTTAGGGCGTATCATCGAATCATCTTCTCCTTTCCCCTGACATTTGATCTGTTTTACCCTCTGCCATTATCTTCATCATCATTTATTATTGAATTTGATCAATGGTTTTCAATGAATGAGCTCAAAAAATATGGAAATTCATTGGAAGAACAAGCAATGAAACTATTGGACATTTTAGTCGATCCAATGTGCTACAGTAATTACAATTCATACTTGGGGGTTTTTCACTATAAAGATACCTCTAAATATTGGGATTTAATTTTAAAGGATTCCATGTTGTGGGTGGTAATGGCAAGCAGTTTGTCGTTTTATGCATGGTTGTTTTCCAGTTATAGAAATAGTGTTTCGTTGAAGCGAAGATTGTTTACTCCCTTTATTGGACCATTTTGCATGATGATTATTTGCTTGATGTACATTGAGCCTATCTTGATGTCTCTATTCAAAACTATTGGTAGGAACATTATTCCTCTCATTCCAATTCCTGACCTATTCATGTCACTTCTAACAGCATCCTATATTGTTGTGTTAATAAGATTTTATTTTTTGAGAAATTTATATCAAATTCGAAAAGGTCTAGAAATATTGAAAGGCAACAAGATGAACAATATGAGGATATATAGAATGATTGCAAAGCCATACGTGGCTCTAGTATTGATGATATTTGTGGCCATACTATTGTTTGGGATATGGTTTGGAGTTTTTTATGGAATCATGGAAAGTATCATTATTGAACGATTTCGAAGATTTGAATGGACCCTCCAATTTGATGCCTCATTGTTAGCTTTGACCACTCAATTTGGTTTTTTGAGCTTGGTCTCCATTATTTGCCTAACATTGGATGCTTTATTTAATTTGAAAAAAATTAGAAAACACGTAAGTATTCAATTGCACACATCTATTCAATTTTTAGATTGTCGTCGATCGTCGCCATGTTTTTATACTTACTTTGAATAGGGTATTGGATACTATTTCATGTTTGATGACCCTTTTCACTTGAGAATGGACATCTTTTCTCAATTATTGATCTTTTTAATTTCCATTCTCGTAATTTTAGACATATTTGTTTGGAATACTCTCATAGTTAACAGAATTGGAATTTTACTCTTCTTCCTATGCTCTCTCATGATATTCGGAGGAAATGTCATGATTATTGAATACATTTCATATTTTAGATACAAGCGGTGGCTGAAAAGATGTTGTTTCATGTCAGCAGATGACGACAATTATGATGCATTAGCTTATGAATGGTACGAACATATGAAAGATTTAAATTTCAGAGAACTTCAAGAGGTAGGTACTTTTATCCATGTAATGATGGCCATCATGCTCCTATGACATAGCAATATGCCATTAATTTGTTTGCATTAGAAAATTTGCTACTCTTTGAAGAATTTGAAAAGGTTGAAAAGAAGAAAAACTTGTCACTCAATGATTTCATGACGCTAAACAATATCATTTTAAGTGTGAATTTATCATCTGATTCTCGAAACACATTTAATGATCTTCTCACACACCTCACTCACAATCCCAACGAAACCATACCATTCAACAGATTAGAACCAATCAAGCACGAACTTGTCTCTGAAAACATAATTCCTGAAATTTACATTCCTCTCAAACAAACCAGTCATTTTGTGAAATGGAAAGAAGCCACATCACTCCAAAAAGAAAGCAACATTATTACTGAGGTTCCTAAAGAAAAAGAATTGATAGAACTTTAGATTGTGTGGATTGACATGTGTGAGAATTTCATTAGAAAGGTTGTTGTGATGTTGTAAACTTGGAGGAGATTCATCGATGAATCCATATGGAATTCATTTATTGGTTGAACACTACATGAAACAACTGTTGTGAAATTTTCATCAGTATAGCTTGTTTGAAGAGCTGTTCAATTTCTTTTCAGTTTTCTTTTTCTTGTTATTTTTCTTTCTAGATTTTCCTTGTTTGGGAGTCTAAGTATCAACATTGGCTACTTCTTCCACTGTTCAAGAGAACATTTCACAGTAGACCTCTTCGACAACCTTGGTTCTTTCTGTTTCAGGAAGTAAGAAAAAGAACAACAGAGTGCTTCCTTTCATTGTCTCGATGCTCTTTCGACAGAGAGCAATTAATTTTTCCTTTTGTTCCCATAACGAAGCCTCACTCTCAACATTTCGGAATGTAAGAACACAATAAAAGTCGAGCCAGTACTTGTTCTGCCCTTTCTGTTGTGCACAAATCAGTAAGTAGTTTCATGAATTCAGGGAACTTCTTAAATAATCCCGATTTTGGACTGCCAACTTTTCCACCCTTAATGTACGTGAACAGGTTGAATTATCAACTTGTTGGCCAACAATACTTTGAGGAAGTTGTGATGAAGTATATGAATGAGAACATGTCAAGTTGGAAGTATCCAGGTAAATTCATCGAAGACCTCAATCCAAGAAAGTTTATTCCACCAACCATCAAAAAATAAATTGATTGTTATTCATGTATATTTGTTCTAACGCTTCTTTAGTAAGGGAGTTGTTTGATTTCAAAACCGTATCAGTTTCTTGTGAAAATAATGTAAAATTTTTTAGTCAACTGAAACTTTAAGTTCCTGGTTGACAGAGTTATTGGTTTCGGAAATGCACAATTGCTCGTACTTGTTACTTCCACATATGCAAAAATCAAAGAAAGTTGGAATTCCATGGTCTCTTGGATGCCATCTCATTATTTGAGAAATATTAAAAAACCCAAAGTGAGTTCAAGGCGCTTTGCAAGAAGAATGAAGAACCTTTGATCGACCTTCCACACTTTCTACATGGACCCTTACACAAGCACTTCAAAACGAAAAGTTGGTTCACTTTTGAAGAATAAACTTGCCACAAATGCAAATCAATAAAATTATTAAGCGTAATGTCTCTTGAATGCCAATTTGAACAGTCCGGAGAGGGCCGACTTGTAAATCAAACAGCCTTAATGTTCACTCGAACCACATTCCTACCGACAAGGTGACACTTTAAAAATCTCCATATTTAGAAAATGATACAATATGACCGCGCCAAAAGGATGTCAAGCCTTACTCATCTCAATCCAGCCTTACCACATTTTTACCGGATTGGATTGAGATGAGTAAGTAAATACTACAATCATGATTTGAAACCACCATAAATGGTGACTTGTGCATGCTTTGAATGCCAAACCATCAACAAAAAAACAATTAAAATATTCTTCAGACTTGAGAGAGCATATTTGCTCACAAGGCAGCTTGGAGTGTGTATATTCATTTATTCATTTTCCATAAAATAGAAGAATGGTTTGGCCTGAGGGTGAGTGATTATTCTGTTCTTTGTTAAGGATTAGATTTCTGTAATGGCAACATTTCAACAGTTTCTCAAGGTGATGAATTGTCATCCCTTCGAGAGAATTCAAACATTGAAGAAATATGACCAATTCACATACTCTGTCCTATTAAGACGAGATCGATTTAAGATGGCTTCTCTTGATGAAAAGGATATTGGAAATTCTCTATTCAACAATAATGACACTGGAGTATCATTGGGAAATAAGCTCATGATGCAGTTTCCAAACTCTCACTTTCATCACAGTCTGGATATAACTTTTGAAGGGTGAGCTTTGGTGGTATGGTTATCAAGGACAAAGCATAATAGCCTAAAGGCATTTGATGAATGGTCAATAGGAATTATTTTCTTTCATTTGGAGCAATGTGATATCCTTCTTGTTTGTTATCTCTTCTAGTTTCATCAATATTTATAAACAATATTCAAAAAAATGTCACTTTTTGAGTCTCTTTATTCATCACCTCGATTTTGGTTTGCCATACAATCACTGATCGGAATTGGAGCGTTCTCTCTCTGTACTCACTTGATCCTAAAGAATCGAAGATTTACCATCTTTTATGCACTGTTTACGTCGATTCATAGCTTGTTTACAAATTCGTATTTTGCATCCAATCATTATTTTCCAATAATTCCTATTGCTGGCCACTTTTATTTAAATGGCGCATTATTTGCACATTTATTTGTGTTGATGAAATGGAGAAAATTAAAGCCCAAGTAGGTGGACTTTTGATTTGAAATTTAACTGTTGATAATAACAACGATCATGAATAAGGTATGCGTACTTTCACCATTTAATTTTTCTGAAACTCTTCAATTTCAATTGACACTAATTGATACAAATTCACACAAATTGACACAAATTGATACAAATACCACCAAATGCACTAGTTGGTACTTGTGGAGCATTTGCATGCCTGGATACTTTTATTTGGCTTGGGGTGCAATGGGATCCATGCTCTCCATTCCTCATTCCATTCTGAGAATTGCATTTCGATCTCTCTTTTCACAACTCGATCCCAATATGATCTATTTTCATTGTTTAATTTTGATACTCACTTCCTATTCATTCTACTTGTCGTTTGTGAGTCCACCATTTTGCAAGGAACAAGTGCATATTGATTTGACACATAATCGCAAGAGTGAAGAGCTTGAATCCAAACAGTTACAAAAACAACACACTCCTCACGATCATGTCGTAGAATTGACAAGTGACAAGGTGGTACATCAAGATGAATCGTGTATTCTTCGAGTGTTTCAAATTACAGATGCACACTTAGGACCATACATGAGTAAGAAACGATTGTTTAAAGTTTGTCAAAATATTGTGAAACACAAACACCAAATTGATCTCGTAGTCATTACTGGTGATATGGAAACCATGGACACACATCACGACGAGGATTCATTACGAGAGGCTCTTTCTCCTCTCAAAGAGATTTCTCACAAAGTTGTCGCATGTTTGGGAAAGTAAGTTTTTTGAAGATGAATATCAGTTGTTTTTGGAAGGAATGTATTGAAAATTCTTGTGTAACACATGACTGAAAATATATGGAACCACCTTGTGTGTGAATATTCATTGTGTGAAATCGATTTCCATGAATCAAACCATTCACACAGTCACGATTATGAAGTGTTGGAAAAAATTCGAAGAGCCTATCAAGAAAATTCCATTACCTTACTCGAGGATGATCAAACCATCATTGAAATTGAACGATGGACCCAATTGAGTGGCGAAAAATCTCACGTTCAAATCATTGGTTCATCTTTTTCATTTGCAGCAATGGAATCATCGACTCGACACATTCAAGAATTGTGTAACAAGTTTCCACGAGTCGATGCGAATACTCCACGAATTTTGTTGATTCATAATCCTTCCATGCTATCTGCTTTGGATACAAAGGATTCTTGTGATATTGTGTTTAGTGGACATTTACGTAAGTGTGGATTCGAATATGAATCTATTTGGAAAGATTGAGAAAATTTTTTCTTTAAACCAATTTGTGTGAATTTGATTGTGATATCGAATATTGACATGTCAAATTATTCCACTGATGATCCATGATGTGGCATCCATGGTGACTCACCATTCTAGACGGTGGACAAATTGGAATTGGAAGAATGACTTTTGTGAAAGGTCTATATTATGCATTGAAAATTTTTGGTAAGGAAAAGACAATTTTCAAAGTTTATCCACCAGATCAAGGTTTATATGGAAGAAGGTAAGAATGCTTTTTATTCTGTATCAAATTCACAAGGTTATTATTGTGACATTCTGTTGTCTGAACATTAGAAATTTGAGATTATATTCTCATAGAGGAACTGGTCACTATGGATTCCCACTTCGACTGGGCATTGCCTCTGAACAATCTCTCATTCATTTGTACTTTTAATAAACATGTCATCATTTAAATTCCACAATAATTTCTTCTAAAATTTAAAAAAAAATGAGCAGCAAAGCCTCTTTCCAATCTCCATCATCATCATCCTCACAAAAAACACTACTACCTATATTCATTTTGATACTCTCTGTGGTGATAAGAGGAATATTGTTTTATTATGAATTTGATAAATCATTGGAAGATGAAATTCACTTTTCTACTCCGACCACAAGTTTCAAGCGATGTAGGTATATATATTGAACGTCTTCGGAATGATAATATTCGGATCATCATCCATATGAATGACCGAATCATTGTAATATTCCAATACAATGATGTTATAATAACGATGAAATTGCCAACAATATGAATAACGATCAGTGAAAGAAGGATTATTTCTCTCTCGCATCGGTCAATCACCATATTCAAGCTCTTCTTTTTTGCAACCTCCTCTTACATTAGCACCCTTTGCATGGGCTGATCAATTAACAAATACATTTACAACGCGCAATGAGAGTTATATACAACTTTGGATGTATCGATCTATATTTATAATATCAGATCTTGTGGTTGCATTTTTCATATATGGCATTGCCAAAAATTCGACGACATTGTTGCAACCTTTTCACAGCAAGGTCACATTGCCACCAAAAACATCCACAAATAATTCTTCTCAAAATGCTCCAGAAAATACTACTTCTCAAAATTTACCTATTTTTTTGATGGCATTATATTTGTTAAATCCTGTCATGATTGGAAGCTGTGTCAGCATGTCAACCATTGTTTTCAATAATTTATCAATTGCTGGGGCCATATATTTTGCAACAAAATCGAACATAGTGTCCAGTACCTTATTTTTAGCATTGGGAACTTATTTAACATTGTATCCCATTACATTACTTGTTGGAATTATGTTAATTGTGAGAAGTTTGAAATTGAGAAATCATGAACCAGTCAAAATGTTTGCAATTATTGGAAAGAGTATGGTAATGTTCATGTTTTGGACATGTTGCTTACACTTTGCGTCAATTTCTCTGTTGGAAAATATTAGAGGTGGCCTTGAAGGAAAATTGCCAGCCGTAGATACGGTCATTTATCCATTCCTCACTTCAACATTGGGCACAATTATTGGACCTGAACGAATGAGTATTCTCTACGAATACTTTTATCAATGCTATTATTATCCTTTCACACTTCAAGATTTAACTCCCAATTGGGGAACGATGTGGTACTTCTTTACAGAAGTGTTCAACGATTTTATGGCCTTCTTCCTTTTAATTTTCCATTTGCATGCATTTATTTATGTCATCCCTCTCACACTCCGATTCACAAACGATGGATTATTTTGGTGCCTTATTCAAACTGCTATAATTTCAGTATTTAAGTCATACCCATGTTTGGGAGATTTTTTCTTTTACATGACACTGCTCCTCTTATTTATTCACATCTCTCAACACATGAGATATGGTTTCTTTATTGTGAGCATGTTACTTGCATCACTCTTTGTGGGACCTATTTGTTTCAACACTTGGATTCACAAGGGTACAGGAAATGCCAACTTCTTTTATTTTGTGACTTTAATCTTTCTAGTTGGAAATATTTTACTCATTGTCGAATTTGTGTTCGCAAGACTGAAGGCCACACATTTGTACAAAAAGAACCAATAATTCAGGACACGGTAAAATCTAGGTTCTGATATGCAAAACATTAATAAAATTGAGATGTATGCGAGAGGCTGAGAGCGAACTACACATCTGAGCACTGCAGTTAGCGAGGATAGCCATGCAAGAGGTCTTGTCTATTGCAGTTTCCTAAACGATAGTGATCGTATTGGAATGATCACATCGAGGATAAAACCGAAATCAAACACCTAATGATTAGGAATAGACAGGATTGAAGCAAATTTTTTCGCACCGTTTTTCTGCTTCTTCTTGTGGGTTGCAAGAATTGAACTTTTTCGGAAGGTGATGCATGTTTTTCAAAGACAGGGAAGAGCACGTGTTATCATGTTGTTCTACTCGCGAGAGCCATCTCAACATCTGAAAACCTATTTTTGAATGAGTACACCAGTCAACAATTAATATCCTAATTTTAATTGAGAATACATGGATGTCTTTGAAGTACCTTATGTGTTGTATTAAGTTTTGTTATTTTAAGAGGGGCTGTTTTTAAAGTATTTGAGTATTTCGAACCCTCAATCATTTTTCTTCATTGAACATCGGAATTTGGAGTAGTGTGCTCGCACCACAACAAGAAAACTACCCACTTGATGATAGACTCCAATTAGAATGATTCTTCACAAACTCACTAATAAAATGTCACATTTTGTAGAGCAACCCTATTGACACAAATACTTATTGAGCTGATTGTTACAAGTTCAGATACTCTCGTAAACCTTACAAGACGTGGAACTCCATAATGTAGATTCAACATGTTCAACAAATATGGTAGATTAACTTCTTGTACAATTTCTTGTACAAGGGATGATGAACAGATACAGCATAGTTATAAACCAAGCAAGAAGGTTCTCCGTTCTGGCATTGCTCGCAGAAATCCCATTCCTGAGCTGTAACTGGAACGATAGTCACTTGCTTTGATTTCTTTAAGCAATTCTTACACTGTATTTTCGTCCAACATTTGGAGGCAGTACCTTTCAAGTACTAATGCACAAAAAACCAAAACCATGAAAGATAATTTCGACAAGTCTGTCCTCAGGCGCCCATTTCGCATAATTCCTAAACGAAGTAGCATGAAAGCTTGAAAACTGATGTCCCTCAAGTCCAGGATAGTGCATCATATAAATGGGATCTCCAATTTGTAATATTTGAGGGGAGTGAATGAACACTACCTTATTGGTTGAGTTTTTTCAATTCTTTGGGAATTGCAACTGATGTATTGAGATATCCATATATCTAAAATCACCTTCAGGGATAGCACCAGATCCAAATACTTGTCAATTACGGCAGGAAAATCTATTCTAGTTCGTTCATGATTGTATTTTCTTCTCACTGCGTTAGGAATACTAACAAGAGATTGTAAGCATTCTACTTTTCATAATTAAAAAAATTGCCTGCACCATGTTCTCTTCAACTGCTCCCTCATCATCGTCATCATCATTGGCAATATCCGAAACAAATGACTCTTTGACAGAAATTGAACTAAAAATTAAGGCCTATATGCACATGATTGATAAAAATCAGCACAAAAGAAGTTTGGAGAAAACATCGGATCATATTTCGGTTCATCAATTATTTAATCCTCCATCATCACCATCTTCAATTCTGATGAAAAATTCGGAATTGAAAAACCATCAAATCCAAGATCACACCAGCATAAAACAGCAAACATCAACTCCGCTTGATATTAAAGGATTCAACGAGAGGGTCAAAACTTTTCAAATAACGACATGGTTCAACAAACCTTACAATGTAAACCCGCTCGAATGTGCAAGATATGGCTTTATCAATTACAGTCAAGACAAGATTCAATGCTCACAATGCCGATCAAAATTAATTTTGAAAACAGAATTTGAAAAAGTTAATGTACCCAGTGATGTCATCGAGAAACGATGTGAATCTTTTAGAGAGGAGCTGAAATCATGTCATTCACACGACTGTATATTTCTCAATCAACCATCCCCACTACGATTTACTCTGTTTTGTCATCAAGACACTTCATCTGGAAAGAACAAGAATATTATCAAGTTGCATTGCTTCAATTTTCATAGAATGCTAAAGAAATTACGAAAATTACAAGCGACTTATCAGTTAAAATTGGAATTAAGTTCTGAATTTTTGACAAAATTTCACTCTCCAAACGAAGAATTCGTACAGAGCACACTAAAGGAAATTAATATGCCAAGTACTAGTGAGGATGTGACTAATTCCGAATCTGTTGTTTCACCGGCCTTATTTTGGTTGAGTGTTTTTCATTGGGAAGTGTTGCAAAAAGTTTTCAACAATGGCTCCGAAAAGGATTATTTTTTATATTGCGAACATTGTCAAATGAGTCACTATTTGAAGAAAGTTAATCGTGGACAGTTATTAACAACGGAGGATTCATTGAATCCTGCATCCATGCATCGATGGTGGTGTCCATGTGTGCATCACAACCAACTCTTAACAGACTACGAACAGATTACTGAGGACGAAGAAAGCAAGTTTTATTCGAAAGTGCTTATAAAACGAAAACTGAACGAGCCTCCTGGATGGAGCCAAATGTTGGACTCGCTGCAGCAAGACAGCAAAATCTCAAACCAAAATTCTGAGAACGGGTTGATGTACCTTCATCATGAACAGTTCACACCAAGTGAATTCGATGCTTCCCTTCTCGTGAAGAACATTTTACAAAACTCATTGAGCTCAATATTCGTCTCAGAGAATGAACGGCGCCAATGGTTGAGAAAACAATTTGAAAAGCCCAACGAAGCATTGCAAGAAAATGCTGCTCTCACGACACCTAAGGAGCAACAAGTAGGCGAGACAAGAGAAATTCCACCAGATACTGCTACCATCATTTCCAATAACAATGTCAACTTTGGACAAGAAGAACAAGCTAGATCAACACCAATAATCACCTCAACCACGTCCATCACTAAGGAAGTTTCTGACCTTTCTCATGTGGCAGCAGCAACTCTCTCAACAACAGAATTGGCTCAACTAAGTGACGTTACGGGACCAACTCCAATAGCCTCAATACAGGATCAACATGGTGCGGGTGTCAGTGACGTCACCATCTCTGCATCTCATGAAAAAACCGTAATCACTGAGGAATTGTCGTTATCAATCAATTTGGAGCCATCCATAACCTCATCCTCCTCCCATACAACGCGTACTCCATCCACACAATTGAAATCTTCCTTCATCAGTCCTTTCCCTGCCCCAACAATGAATGAACAACATCAACAAACGGGAACTGTTTCGCAAAACAGATTTGAAACTCTGTCGGAAAAGGAAGGTATGACATCGCCAATGTCCGGTCCATACGAGCAAGTGGATGCGTTATCCTCGCTAACGCCAAATACTTCGACAACAGTAGCAATCATGCAACAAGATTTTACTTCTTCTTCTAGCACACCCATGACGACAATGACGACTTGTGACACCACAAGTACTACATCACTTATTGAACAAGAAGAACCCTATTCTTTGTCGTCAGGGTTTGTTGCAGCATCTCCGCTTGCCTCAGAAATCACAAATCATCACCAACAAGACACTCTTGTCTTGGAAAAGAACGAAATGGTGATTGAAGGGCTTGTTCAACGAGAGCAAACAACAGAAGCATCATCTGTTTTAACAACACCAGTTAAGGCCGATACTATTGTTCAACACGAGCCTTCCACTCCATCTATGGTTTCAATGCCTTCTCTTGCATCTGTGGTGTCTTCACCTCCTAGTTCCTCGTCATCGAATAATACCAGAGCCACGCCAACTAATGCTGCATCGATGTCGTCCTCATCGTTATCATCCTCGCGACAGCTTGATCAGATCTCCACAGTAACCACAACAGCAAGTGCAGCAAGAAAAACTGATATGACCACAACGACGACAACAACCACTCCCTCAAAACCACCTTCTTCAACCAATGAAAAACCCTCATCCACTACCACGAAAACTACTGTAGTTACAGCTGCCAGTGGTAGCAGCAGTGGCAACATTTCAACGACAACTCCCAACAAATCGTTAACCTCTTCTCACACAAGTGCACATTCCACCGCGTCGACTCCTCCAAACAAACCAAGAAAGCAACAACCAACCAGTGGCAATAGACAAAGTTCAAATAAGAAGCAAGCAACGCCCAATTCAGACAATACTGCGACATCGTCAAATACGCCATCTTCCAAACAATTTCGACAATCTGGCAACAAGCAACAACAAGGCAACGCGACACAAACCAACAACAAACGAAAAAACGCCCAAAGCACAGGCAAAGCGAGCAAGAAACGCAAATAGCAAGAATATTGAAGAGCTGTCAAAGCAAAGAAATTCACAAATAGTCGTGTTGTGAGCGCGTCAAGAAAAGGTTTTCTTTTTCCGGCTGAAACTCCTCGGATTGATTACTTTGGATCTCATCGAAAACACGGTTCCACCTCTTTTGCAGTTTCCAAAAATCACGCAATATTCAAAAAAACAACGTCACCACGTGTTGACCACATCAATATCTCTCTCATACTACATCGTATCCCAATAATCCTTTGCCACACTTGGTGCATATCCGCGTAATAATTTACCTCCACAACACCATCTGAAAAGGCAAGTGGTGTGTGGCGAAGAAAATACCATCTTCATTTTTAAACAACTGCAATTAATTTGTACGATATCCGTTCAATAGTGTAATATCAATATTTGTGTGTTGATTAACACATTACAATAACTATTTAAAAATCCATCAACGATACAGGCTTCATCAAAAAACAACAGCACACATACTCTCATCATTTCACACCACCCAACGACACTACACGATTCACTGGACGAAGTACATCAAAACGCACGCACAAATAACGCACAAGCATTCAATCATTTCCTTCTTCTTTTGCTCAAATCTTTTCACATCAAGAAACTACCAAGCTTGCACCTGTCCAATCTTTCAGGAGAAAGCGACATTATCATAACCACCACACCAATTCACATTCCTTTTAAAAACCCTTCTGCAGAAGAAGGCATAACCAAAATCATTGAAATCACCAACTGTCAACATTCAATTCTTTTCATAATTACTTGGCCAAGTTTTTTAGTCTGGAAACCAACTGCAACATCCAATAATATCATTCAAATTCACAACAAGATTGATTTCTATTCCATCTTTCGCATTCGACCAAAAAGAAGGCAACAATACATTATGGGACCAACCTTGTTCCCTCCTTCCTCGCATCGACATCAAAAGAAACATAAATCATCATCCTCTTCGAAAGCTTTTATTTCTAACGACAAACCAACCATGATTATATCTTCTCAGACCTGCCAGGAACATCATTCACCTTCCAGTAAGGAACCTGCTGCTGTTCTCACCAACAGCAAAGCCATGGAATTGTTATTTGGCACCAAAAGTCCTCCTCATCATGGTCAACATCAAAAGATGCATGAATCCACAATGATTTCAACGATTCAACAACATCATCATGACATTCAAAAACGTTCATCCCTTCTTATTGACGATGCGAACATTGCAACTCCTCGTCAACCACAGCAACCACAACATTTTGATACCAACCACAGCATGTTGCAACCCATTAGTGGTGGCTCACAACAAGCACTCATTGCTTCTCGTCATCCTCCTCATTCGACCATCACATATTCTGCATCGTCGTCTTCATCGAATACGACGAACATGATGCCATCACCTCGCACTTCGAACACGACCAGTGGAGCCGTATTATTGGATGCACAGGTGGAAAACAATGTTCTTCACACACCTGTCGCTAGCACCACCTCCACTTACAAATATGGCAATTTTAGAGACTTTGTTCCCAATGACTTTTATTCTTCGAATTTGCATCATCGTCATGGTACTTCCACGATAAGTAGTAGCAGTAGTAGTAATAACACTCATGGGCATTACCAAGAGGACATTGTCTTTTCTCAAAAGAATATTCACACAAACAACAACACCAGTAGCTATATCCATTCAAACTCCTCTCCTTCCAGTCAACGTTCTAATCCTTTTCATCAACAAGAGAAACATCATCAGACTCCTCTCTCATCCAATCCTCCTCCCTATCATTTTCACACCCATGCTTCCACACATCAAGGTTCTGGAGGTTCAGCTGCACAGTTAGGATGGAGAGTGAGTGGTTCGATGACTTGTTTTGGAGGTGGAGGAGTACAGAGAGCCTCTCCAACGAATCCATCGATGATGCAAAGCACTCCAACAGCAAGTGTACGAGGAATGGTGACTTCATCATGTGATGTTGGTGATGATGTGAATGATGAGAGGGTTCGTGAAACACTCGATTCGAGAGGACAAGACGAGAGAAGAACATTGCACCATGAGGATTATTCTCATGCACATCATCATCGTCATGATGGATCATCCCAAATGGAATCTTTCAAATTTTATAATTTATCGAATATGGAAGGTCATACTTTCGATGGTAATTTAGCTCATCGTTCAGGTTCTTCTTCTACTCATCGTCATCCTCCTGAATACCATTACTCATCGATGAATCCTCATGATTATTATCATAGAAATTCCATGCCACGAAATTCCTACATTGCTGCCAGTACTTTGCATCATCAAGGACCAACAACAACTTTTCGTGATGACGACGAGCATGTTCAACCTTCTGTGAAAAAGACCAAATTCATGGCTCCACAAGAACGACAGGAATTTATGCATCATGTACCTCATGATGTTAAAAGTGATCATCACCTCCTTCAACAAGTGCATGAACATGCTGACACCAATGATGCAGCTCACCATCCACCCAACTACTACGAAGAGTATGTTTCAGATTCTGTGAAACATTCACTCGATGACACCCAGAGTGATCAACAACAACAACAACATATTGCAAGCAGTAATGAGTATCCAAAATCGCGAGTGAAACCAACAAGTAGTGCAACAACAACAAGAAGAAGTTCAACCACAAGCATTAGTACAACAGCCACTCGAGAAAAATCGAGTAGTTCAAATTCCAAAAAGAAGACCTCTTCTTCTTCTGCAAAAATCACTCGTAAATCATCCTCTTCAAACAGTAGCAATCGCAGTGAAGACAGTAGCAGTAGCAACACCAACACAGCACTCGATTCTAGCAAGTCAAAAACTACTCACCTCACTATTGAAGAATTGGACGACTCGGTCAACATTCCCATTCGTATTTTGGCTTACAATTTGGGTCTCACCAAAGATGTTTCCAAATCATGGAGATATCGTGACATTCGAAGAGCTCTCTTCGAACGAATGATTGAAGATCACATTGATTTTGTGGACACTCAAGAAGAACATTCACTTCTCAGAGAGAGACTTCCTCACAAATTGACCTATAGCAATTTCTGTAAGAGAGTCATGCTGTTGGTCTTTCATTATCTTGTTCGAGATGGAAAGGAACCAAAATTTTATCGAAGACCACTTGTGAAGAGAGAGCTTATTGAAAGTTTGTTACGGGAAAAGGATCCTCACTTTTATTCCATTGTTAATCCATCTCATGCTCGTGAATTACATACTCTTTTGAATACGAATAGTGACATGACTTTCAAGCAAGCAGTTGCAATCGTGTTTAAGGGTATCCTTAATATGGAAACTTTACAAAGTCTCAATAAGGTAACAAACACGAATTTGAGTCGAAGAAGAACAAGTAGTAGCAGTACCGCGACGACTAGTCGTACCAAACGATCTTACAAGAAGAGTTCTGAATATCTCTCTGATGATGATCATGACATGAATGATGACCATGATCCCTTTGAAGAAGACACCAATCAAAGAGTGAACGAGACGACAACCTGTGATGTCACCAACATGACTAATAGTCGTCTTCGTCGAGGTGCCTCTTCTTCTTCTCAACTCAGTCAAACCACACACGACACTGAAGACAATGATGAGGAGGATGACATTGGAGACAAACCTTCCACAAGACCTCGTCGTCAAGCAAGTAAGAATTTGAAACGCAAGTTAAAGGCAGTAGTTGAAATTTTGGGTGATGAACAAGATGAGGAAGAAGATGAATGACGCCTCTACTCGTGTCATATCTTGTTGTGATTTCAAGTGACAAGGTGAAAAGCCTTCAAAGACAATTTGACTTGAGATATCTAATTCAATCATAACTGTTTCTTTCATGAGTGAACATGAAAATAATATTATTTGAGAATAAATCTGTAGAAATTTGGAACGTCAAGTTTTGTGCGTGAAAGAAGTCGAACATGGAGATATTCTTCAGAGAGATAAAGTCGCCAACAAGAGTGGAAACTGTTTGGACAAAGAGTCGTTGCTTGTGTTTCTTTTATTGTTGGTTGATTGTGAGGTCAGTAATGATAATCTTGTTGTTGGAAGGATTTGGTTTTGTTGTTGTGTTGAGTTTGCAGCGTGAGGGAAGTTGTTGTGGATAAATGTCACAAACTAAATGTCAACGACTTCCTTGTGTGCACGTCTCATGATTCAAATAGTAATAAATATAATACTATTTAAAATATTATTATTATTACAATTAATTCGGTCCAAAAATGGAATTTGTCCAAGGATCGACCAATATATTGGAGAGTCGTCTTACAACTCTTCATGAATCGTCTCTTTCTCATCAACATTTCCATTCTGACTCAAAAACATTTTAGCAAAAGGTTCCGCAAATTCTCTAAAACTCAACACATCATCTCCATTCACATCCAATTGATCAAACAACAAATCCAAAGCATTCTCCGCCTTGGTGTCCATTCCCAATTTCTCTGCAAGTGAAGGATCTTGTTGTAACATGACTTCCATCACTCGTTTTAATTCTTCCTTCTCAATCACTCCATTCTTGTTTAAATCAATTCGAGAAAAGAGTTGTGAAATGACTTGTTGTTGCTGTGGAGTGAGTTGATTGAAATTGGAAGAAGGAGTTGATGGTGATGGTGATGATGAATTGGTTTGGAAATGACAAGCAGAGGAAGTTGAGGCTTTTCTAGTGAGCATGTTGATTGTTGCGAAGTGTGAAGGATGAGAACTCTTGTCGAAAGAAGTGATCAGAAGTTGATCAAAATTTGGATTTTAATTGTTGTTTGTTGGTCACAGGAGAAGTTGAGACCACTCAGTGGAGAGCTCGATAATGAAGATGGATAATTTTTTTTTATGAAGGAGCTGTCACCGTGGGTTTCTCTCTGTGACAATTCTTGAGAGTGACATGAGACGTGTAAAAGACAATTATAAAAAAGAAGATGAAATTTCCGATTACCTTTTGTCTGAGGAGAACCTTATCATCTCCAACTACCCTTATTTCGAACTGTAGTGACAGGAATAATTCAACAATAATTAGTACGTCGGGATTTTATTTAAGATTTTAGTCAAGTTCTTATTCTATTAAGGAAAAAAATGTTCTTCTTAACGATCATTCAGGAATTGAAGAAATTGCTCGTTTCCCATCATTTCATCCTGTTTAATTCCCTCCTTCAATATTGAATTTGAATTCGAAATGGAACAATTATCCCTCTTTCGGAGTTCATCTTCGGAGCCTTATACCCACCACAAGACCCTTTGAAAATGATTTTGGAAATACTTCCGGAACTTCAACATTCAAATGCACCTCCTCTTCCTCCAATCGCCATACACCAAGTGGTTGTGGTTTCCTTCGATCGAAGGAAGGAATGAATTTTTCAAGGTGTGATTTGAAAAATTGTAAAAAAAAATGCAAAATTCTTCAAACCATTCGTTGTTGCAACAACAAGAACAACATTCGGAAGAAGAAACCGCAACACATGGATCTATCGATTCGAATACAATGATCGAAACAAATTTCATCCAAAACACGAGTATTCCTATTCATACTCGAACAACTCTCTCTGAAGAAGAAGAAAATTTTCAAACCATGTATTCGGAGGCTGAACAACAATTTGCTCCTCCGAATGCTGTAGTCATGGAATCATTCATAGAGGAACAAGAAAACAAACAAGATGATGCACCACTTCAGAATGTGAGTCGAGAACATCAAGATGATATTGTTTCAACAACGTCGAGCCACAACAACAGCAGCTCGACGAGGATAAAACGTATTTGGAAAAGGGCTGGACAAGTGCCAATCTTGAAACATTTCATTGGATTTTTGAGTACATATGGAGCAATTTTCCTGTTTAATCATGCATTTCGATCTCTCTTTTTTATGGTAGGTTTGGTATTTTTGAATATTATAATGATTTGAATATTTCTAAATTTGGTGAATGTTATTTGCGCATGTCCATTAATTAATTTAATGGTTTCCAATTTTTTATGTGAAACTTGTTGAAAATCATTTCTTTGGAATTTTCTCATTTTCACATTTATTCATGAATGGTCATAATATTCACATGAATGTTATGTTTGATTACTGTTTTTCAGAATTTAATTTCTGGTTTGGGAAATTTCTTTTCAGAAATTGCCATTGTTAACCTTTTAGAAACTCGAGCTGTCAATTCCACTCTCCCTTCCTCCAACTCTTCTCTCTCCTTTTTTCCAATAACTTCCTCTCCATTCTATTCTTCGAGGCATGATTCATTTTCACCAAATAATTTATTATCAAAATTTGACATGCTGTACAAAATTTCTCAGAAGGATGTTGACATTCCAGATGCAGACTTCACTCATGAAGGAGCCTCAGGAACTGCCATTTCTGGAGTTTTTATTGCACTACTACTTCCAGGAATTTTTCTAATGCCCGTCACTGGAATTGTTGCAGACTTATTTGACCGAAGAAAAATTCTATTGGCAAGTGACATTGCCAGAGGTTTCATTGTATTGCTTTTTCCTGTTGCTTACTTTATTCAGGGCCTCGAATGGCTGGTATACCTCACCATCTTTTTACAGTACTGTTTTGGTGCATTCTTTGAACCTTCAAGAGAAGCTCTCGTTCCATTGGCCGTCAAACAGAAAGATTTACCAATTGCCAATGCATTGGATTCACTCTGTTGGTTGGCAGTGAGTTTTTTTGGTTCTTCTCTTGGTGGATTAGTGGTCAGTGTGTTGGGAATTCCTGCAAATTTTGCATTTGACAGTGCATCCTTCTTTATCTCTGGATTTTTCTGTCTGTTGTTATTTAAATACAAACATCTTGGACGAAGAGGAATTGATGATAGAAATGTTGAAACACATTTGGAAAGTAAGAAAGATTCTGTCGAACTCGATGAAAACGCTGTGAATAATAATGGAAATCCATTGATGCCATCATCACCACCACGAATGGAGAGTTCATTATCTAATTCTCCTTCAACCACTGAAGAAACAATACTTTCTCAACATGCTGTGATTCACTCCTCTACTGAAATGTTACATTCTCGTGACGACATGAATGAAATCACAGACGCTTCACCAAATATTGAATTGAAAGAAGAGAGAAATATCATGCTCAATCGCAAGATGCAACAAGATTCCAACATGGATGATTCTCCAATCGTGTCGGATTCACTCGTAACAACTTCTCATGTCAAGTCAACCAATTCTCTCATTCTACTCTTCATTGAGATGAAAAAGTATTTTATTGAGCTATTTAGAGGAATTGTCTTCTTTTCAAAGAATCCATTAATTTTCACTTCGACCATGGTGAAAGCATTTGCTGGATTTTTCTGGTTTGGATGTGAAATTATTTTAATTCATCTCGTCTATCAAGTATTGGCTGTGAATGATCGAAGAATGGGAGGTATTTACTTTGGTGTGGCCAAAATGTGGGCAGGAATAGGTAGCGGGTTATTTCCTGTCATTGTTGAAAGGCTTCTTCCAAAGACTTACACCACACTTACACTGAGAGCCATTCTCATGTGTGCTGTATTTTTATTCCCAGTGTGTTTTGCATTGTATTATGTCTCTGTTAAATTTGCGGTAGAAGAGGAGACACGAATTCTCGGATTTGCTGGAATTTGTTTGTCACATTTAATATTAGGAATTTCTACAGGTAATTTATGGAGCTATTCAATCACTCATTTACAAATGGTTTGTCCAAATGACTTTCTAGGAAGAGCTATGGCCTTAGATATTGGATTCTTTTTAAATATTTCAAATTTAATAGCTGTCTTTACGTATGGAGTTATTTTGACTGACATTTTCAAATTTAGTGCCAATCACATGATTTTATTTGAATTGGTGACGAGTATTGGAGCTTGTTGTTTGTTTGCCGCATGGTTTTTCATTTTCAGAAAGAATGTCAAATCAAGACAAGATTATTTGAAGGAAATGGATTCTGAATCTTCAGAAGTTCAAGAAGAGAATTTTCCATCTTCTTCTCAAGAGAATATGACAGCTTGATCGTTGTCAGTTGTCAACATTTTTGTCAATCATTGACATTCATAAACATCACGATGATTAAGAAATGAAGAAAGTATAATCTTTACTTGATAGAAACATGATTCATGATGTGGCGAGTGCTTTGAAACACTCGTTTGGCAAAATGGCCCAAAAGATAGGTTGAAGAGAACAAGTTTTAACTTGCAATTCTCTTCTTTCCCTTCTTTCCATATCCATTTATGGAACTTTTCTTAATTCTGAATAACATAACATCAGGAATAGCTATCTGAGAATCTGATTACAAGATTGACATTGAAATGCAATAACAACAAGGAGGATCCTCCTAAAGAATCACTTGTCACTCCACGACCTGCATAAAATGTTTACACAACCAACAACAACAACAACAAACACTTTCTTGTTCTCTTCTCCTCTCAACCACCAACACTTCTCCTCCTCTTGGATAGATGTTTGTAACAACAGAATATGTTTTCAGAATAATCATTCATTGAGGTGTTGCGATCCATCAATAGTTTCATCCAATGATGAAAATGTAGCTTTCGAGTTGGTGTCCTACCCACGAGTCAGCATTCATCTCATTGATTTGAATGTCAAACATCCAATTGATGATCGTTTTGAAGACACATTTCATCCTTTTCCGTTCGTGTACGAAATGCTTTGTTCGAAAATGTCACACACGGGAATTCTACCTTTGAGACGACGTAAAAGATCTCTCAATTCTTGTTGTTGTGAAGAAAACCCCTTTTCATGTCAATTTGAACATGTATTTTCCTTTGGAGGAGAAAATTCCTTTCATTCACCCTATGATGTGAAAATTTCATACTCTCTTGAATGTATCTTGATTAGTGATTATCTTCATCGATCGATTCATGTCTTTGATTTGCATTCGAAGGAATATGTTTCGAGTTTGTTCATGCAAAACCATAATCCCAAATTTTTATGTATTGCAGAGTCGTATAAGAGTGCCTTCTCGAGGTATGAAAAAAATCATCCAAGTTTGGAAGATGCTTTAATTTTGGATGTTGGAAAAGGAAGAATTCGAATGTTTGATTTGAGACGATTAATGACATTTCATTCCAAGCAATTTCCAAATCTCTTGAGGAGGTCGAACGAAACAAATCATCCAATCATTCAAATCCATCCTTATTGTGCGAGAAATCCATCTTTTGAATCGATTTCACCTCATGATGCGTTGGATGCTAATGAGAATGCATGTTCACACTATATATGGCAATCGAATGATTTCAAGTTTCCAAGAGGAATGGCAGTCTTGACAGAGACTTGTCAAGTATTTGTGTGTGACATGTTTGATGATTGCATCAAGGTGTTGGATTTGAAGAATGGAGTCCAATTGTCTCGAATTGAAATATTGAGACCTCATGACGTTGATGTCTTTATATCGAAAAAGTTCAAAAAAAACAACCACGGTTGTCAAAATAATAAGGGAACAAGTGTGACAATCACAACGACACTTGTGATTAGTAGTGATCATGATGGAATTCAAGTATTGTCACAGGAGAAACTTGAGAATGAAAAGATGATCATTAACAATGAGGCATGTCAATGTGGGCAAACAGTTCACTCATCGTCGACCACAACATTGATGGAATCAGAATGGACAAATGCCAAGATCAAGTTTGAAGACGAGCGATTGCCGGACGATGATTGGGATCCCGTTCATCCTTTCTCGTTGGTTGTGGATATGAAATGCAGCAATCTATTTGGACTCTCGCAGCAACAACAACATGTAATTGTGAGTGACAGCTATCATCATCGTATTAAGGTTTACTCGCTCCATAATGGAAAACTGGTCAAAACATTTGGTAAATACGGAGATGCAATTTCCAATGAATTCAAATGCACGTTTGGATTGTGCATGAATGAAATAAGTGGAGAATTGCTGGTTTGTGACTCGTGGAATAATCGTGTTGGTGTATACAAGTAGGGAGAGAAGTCGTTCAGTCATGATGTTTCTGTACAGTCTGATCTACACCATCACTACATAAAACCCACACTTCACATTCAGGAAACAAGTTGTCATTCAATTTATTTTAAAATCAGTCCTGTTATTGACACAATCAACCAATTTACTTGGTCTCAGCCTTTCTCTTTTCCTTCAAAGCTTGGAGCTTCTTCTCATCTTCAAGTCTCTTTTGCTCTAATTGCTTCTTTCTTGGACCCAAGAACTTGTTCTTCTCGGCAGTGGTTTGGAATTTACCCTTACCAATCTTGGAGGTGGTATCAATGAACTTGAGGGTAATTTCTTCCTTCATGGATCTGTTCCACTTGTTTTCTGGAACCAAAGTCTTTCTCAAGGTGACAACTCTTCTAGCAGGACCTTGAACGTTACCCTTGATCATAACCCAGTCATTTTCAACAATACCATAGTTAACAAATCCACCCATTGGGTTAATGTCCTTCTCAGTCAAGTCAAAGTCAGTCATTGCGGACTTCTTTCCTTCCTCAGTGAGGCGAGACTTGCCAATTCTGTAAATCTTCTTGTTTTGATGGACTCTGTGGAAGAAACCCTTTTGACCAGCTCTGGCAACAGAGAATGAAACTCTAGCAGGATGCCAAGCACCAATACAAGCAACCTTTCTCAAACCTCTGTGGGTCTTTCTTGGCAAACGTCTAACACCCCATCTGGAGACAACACCCTTGGTACCCTTACCCTTGGTGACAGCAATCACGTCAATTGGTTCGTCCTTAGCAAATACAGAGTCGACAGAGACAAGCTTTTCAAGGTTAGCCAAAGCAAACTTGATCTTTTCATCTACATTACCACCGTTGATTTGAATTTCAGCAACGTGGGCCTTCTTGTTATTGATTGACTTGACCTTGGATGGTTGAGTGTGAGCAACAACTCTAATGACATCAGCATTCTTCTTGAAGCTCTCCAATGTTTGAGTTCTCTTCTCTTGAGCAGCACTTTCCAAGTAAGACTTGGTGAGCTTGGTGAATGCTCTCTTCTTCGAGCGGCACCAGTCCTTATAGAAGACTCTTCTGAATTCATTACCAATGTTCTTAGCCCAGACAGTACCAATGGACTTCAAACCAGTTGGAGTTTGCTTGTAACCAACAACACCGACAACAACCATTGGTGGAGCTTCAACAATAGTAACTGCATCGAGACATTCCTTTTTGTGCAACTTGGAACCAGGCTTGTTCACTTCTCTGACAATGTGAGTCATACCAGCCTTGTAACCCAAGAAAGCAGTCATATGGGACTTCTTGCTTTGGTCATCCTTTGGATAAGCCTTGATTCTACCACGTTCTCTTCTGGCCTTCTTTCTTGGCAAGAAAGCAAGTGAACCGTGTCTTGGTGCTTCGAATTTTCTGTGAGACATATTGAGTGTATTTTTTTCAACAAATTTTTTAAAATTAATTGGTCAACCAGTGTTTAAAGATTTTACAATGAAAGTTGAGTCCAGCGAAATGCCGAGTTCAAAAATTGCTTTGAATAATGTGGGCTCATCATTTCGTGAGCACTGATAGGAAACGGCCCACGTTCTCCCAAACGTTTGTTCGGTTTCTATTGTTATGAATAATAAAGATTCGTTTGAAGGATTCCTTCAAAACAAAAAATGCCTTTGAGAGAAACAGTCCCGATCACAGGTGGAGTAGGAGAAGGCTCCTCTGAGATCAACCCTCACGATCAACCAACAACAACAGCAACTCCACTCACATCATTACCTTATCACCACAATGGTAATGATCGAAATAATGATCGTACTGATAACATCAACACCGAAAGATCTTCATTTCCTCCACCTTTCAGTCATGATAATGCTGACCAAAATAATAATGATAGAAATAATGATAACAATAATATTAATACCGTTATTAGCGATGATAATACAACAACCACTACTGCTTCTACTAGGAATAATACAAACCAACAGCATATGATTAGTTCCTCCATCCCAACCGGTCCTACCACTCCAACTCCTCCTCCGAATTCATCAACAATTTTCAATAATGAGTTTTTCCAAAATCAAGAGGTGAGACGACATGCGCAAGCAATTGCACTCAATATTATCAGATTTGTTTTTAGAGCATCACCGTTTGTTACAAGATATTTGGAGGAGCTTTGCTATTTTATCGGAATGCTTTTATTCGTGTCTCTTGTATTGCTCCACTCTTCTTTTTACATATCACCGAATAATTTAGCTAATCCATCACAACAATCATTACTAATGTCAACATTGACCAAATCAGAAATTGTAACAAATCATGTACAACAAATCAAATTGATGAGAATTTTTTCGTCTCAAGAGGCTCAAAATTTGACCAAACATTTCCCACCCTTATTACGTACAGCACTTTTTGGAATTGATTTTCATGGATTTAATTTAAGTACCAATAGCATCTATGATGATCACAATAGCAGTAATTTCTTCAAAAGTGAGCATGCTCAACTATTGACCAATGTATCGTTGGAGAAATCTACTGCCTCTCAAATTCAAGTTACTAACATGTTAGAGGACAATACTAGTGTCCGAAATATCATTGTCACTCAGAATGGAAAAGTTGCTGATGAAAATTTCACACTCTCACCGACATCATCTTTGCAAGCCGACTCTGTTCAACCACCACATGATATCCAAGTTTCAACACATCAGGATTTAGAACAGGGTAAAGAGAGTTCTGTCCTTCGCCACACATCATCGAAGGACTTAGAGATCTCAGAGAAAACCGCTGTGCCACCTTCTGAAACGCAGCACGAATCAAAAGAGGATACCAATTATTTTGAACGTACTCAAAAAATCCTCAACCTACTTGGTAATGCTCTACTCGATATATTTATTCGTCCATTTTCTGTGAAACCTCGTGTTACTTGCTTAGAAAACCGAATTATGGAAAAGTATCGAGGTGAGCTCATTAAAAGGTACGAAAACAGAACCGACACTCTCACTGCCGCCTCAGTGCATTCATTTCTTTTAAGATTGTATATTGAGGGTCCAATAGACAAGATGATGAGAGAATGGGAAAGAGAATTGTCTTTAAAAAAGACCAAATCTCAACCTTTCAAGAGTGATACTCCAACGAGCCAGCTAGACGACACAAATTCACAATCACTTCTGAATGCTCAACAAGAATCTTCTTCATCCGAATTGCAAAGCCAATCTCATTCAGAAAACGCCAAGAAAGACACCTCTCAACAAACCTCTCTTAAGGAAAAAGGTAGCACCACTAATGATGTCAGTGTTGACACTCCTTCATCGGGAGAGACAGAGGAGGAAAACAATTCAGATGAGTGGTCACTCTCTCTCGATCATGCAACAGACGCTATCAAATCTTGGATACTCTTCAAGTATCAACATTCCCCTCTCTTTACCGATATTTTTAACGATACAAGATTATTCGTCTACACAACTGAGAAGGGCTTATTCTATATTTCAAGAGAGACAAAACAAACTTTATCTATTCCTTCCTATACTATCAGTATTGATTGGAACGATTCTTGCTTGTAAGTTGTTTTTATGACAAGCCTTTTGAATGATTGTTCAACATTGTATCGTTATTCTTCTTCATGTGATGACGAACAAAATTCGAAAATTATTATTTTGAAATAGTGATATTTTGGGAGGATCATTTCCCTATCTTCTCTCCTTCTTAATTGGTTATGACACCACTATTCTAAACACATTTGTTCAGTATAATTATGACTTCAATCATAACTATACGATCAATAGTGGAGTCTTGTATTCTAGACAATATGATGAGATTTACTATTTGAAATATGGACAAGTAGAAATGGATGGTAAGTTGAGATTTTATTTTAATCAGGCGGAATTTCAATAACGTGTTATGTTAAAATTGTTTATCATTGACTACGAATTTTGGCTATCATCATTTTCGAATCATATCATATTCGAATAATAATTATATTTCTTTCTATTGACTATGTATCTATTGAACTTGCTTATAGCCATTTCGAGAGGTATTTCAAAAATAGCTCCATTGATTGTCTACCTGATGGTATTTGTTCTAATTTACTATTTGGTGAGAACGACCCAAATGAATATATTGAACATGATCGTGGAATTACAGCTAAATGTCTTCTTTGTGCAACGTATGGCACGCTCATTCATGGTTCACTTGTTCCAAAATTTAATGTTTGTGCCAGTGTTGCTAGGAGTTATCCACTTTATCGATAATTTCTTTTCTGGAGATCAGAAAGCAAGTTTATTAGTATTTTGTCTCATTTGGATTTCTCAAATATTCATGAATAATGTTTGCAACTCAAGATTTAGCAAGGCTGTCTTTCCATGGGTTCTTCACTTTTATTGCTCCACGTATTTTATCTATTACTTTAGCCATCCCCACGGCTATTCTTACCTTGCATTTTCAACTCTTTTCTCAGTTATTGTACAAAAGATGCTTTATCTGTGGAACACCTGCGAGTATAATTACATTGTAAACCACCATCCAATACTGAGAGACATCTTGGGCACTGGTGGTGGTAACGCCAATAATGACGATTTTGATATTTTCGATAGAATTAATGCAATGGTACATCAACGAAATGGAATCCCGTCGGCTCCAAGAATTCAAAATGTTCAACAATTCGTATTTAATTTGAGTGACATGAATAATGGACATGCTATTGAGCAACAAATTGGACGTTTCAACATTTCCATCTCTCTCGCTCAAAACAACAACACTGCCAGTAGTCATCACGCTCCCTCAAATACCACTCCTACACATTAATGACTATGGATTGAATATTTGCACACAACTTCTTACACTATTACTACAAATATAGTACACAGAAGCATTTATTCTACACATTTCTTTTGCATACAAACAAACAAATGGTGTTCTCCAAAGCTGGCGGATTGTACCTCCATTTGTAACTTGGTATTGTCAAAGTTAGGACATGAGACATTCATAATTTCAACTGGCACATCCACAATCTTTGGAACTTCATTGTAGAAATAAAAGCCTTGTTGGTATGGCCAGCTCACGATCTCTTCATAAGAATTGTCTCCGCATACAAAGATACGGTTATCATTTGTTACAAAGAAGGAATGATCAAATTTGGCAAATGCCTTCATGATTTCTCTTCTACAGAACGGATGAATTTCATAGTCGTTCGTTTGAGGTTGAAAATTGATTTTTGAAGGGACGAAAATTGCTGGCTCATCAGTTTTAAATCCTAGTTGGCCCTTTGAAGCTTGACCAACAGAGTACAGGAAAAATTGAGTAGACACAAACAGAGAGTGATTTGTCCCTGCAGCAATTTGTGTGACCTGATATCTGTTGAATAACATGGCGGGTAACTCTGAAGGAATGCAAACTCTCTTAACTCTCTCAAAACCACATCTACGAGTGAAATCACAGAAATCAAAGATATTTACATAGTGGTTAGAAATCTCTCATTCTGTAAGTCCATTCTCGAACTACTTACTGTCCAAATCGATTGTCTCCGAATGTGAAAACTCTCCCAGACTCAGTTAAAAGAATTGTATGAGAGTCACCACACTTGACATCTTTAAGAACTTCGTCAGTAAAAGTGGCTACCTTTGTCAACAAGGGGATGATTTCCCTGTGATCATCAATTCCACATTGTTTGTGCTCATTGGCTCCGCATGCATACAAGTCTCCCTTGTGGGTAACAATTGTGTGTTTACCTCCTGCCGCAATCTTTGAAACAGGACTCTCATTTTCTTCCCATTTGACAGGGGCAATAAGTGAAATTGAGCTTGTATGTCCCAGAGAGAGTTGTCCGTGGTTATTCGATCCATACACAAATAACTTTCCATCACCTCTCAACATGAGATAGTGACATTCATCATCGCTGCCATTGCAGTCAATGTCAACAACATTATCCAAGTCCAATTCAGTTAAGCTTGACTTTGAAGATCCTCCTAAAATGAAGACTCTTCCATCTTTGGCCAATAGCATGGTAGTTGAGGAGGTGCAACAAACCTTTGCAATGGAAGGAACCTTCTCGAAAACAGAGTTGATATCATCTAAAAATCCCAAAGTTGGATGTAATTGGCAATGTAGCATTCCTGTTTGATGATTGAAGTTGCTTCCAGCGACAACAAGGGTTGTGTCACACTCGCTGTCATCTTCGTCCAAGCTCTGCGAGAACTTATTGAAGAGACTTCCTTTGGGAATGTATTGCCTGAACTCGTCAAAGTATGGATGCTGCAAAATTTGCTCAGTAGTCAACCGGTTCTCCTGATTAATACACAACATTCCTCTCAAGAGATCAATTTCATCCTTGGTGCATGTTCCAAACACGTAATCCAAATGCCTGTCTTGAGAGATGTCAAAACCCTTCTCTTGAATTAATTGTTCGACAAATACTTTTACATTGTGTTGACGAGAACTCCAATCGGATGGTGTTGGCCTTCCAAACAAATTGATCACTCTTTCCCAAACCTCTGTAGAAGTGGATCCTTTGAAGATGGGAATTCCTCGTAAAAGAAATGCGAAAATCGTACCAAGAGTCCAAATATTATTCACTTGTCCACTATTATCTCCACCTGTAACATCTCTGAAAACTCTCTCATTCTGACTTGCAAACACATAGTCACGAGAGTATGTTTTGCGAGGACTAAAATTGAGGGAAGAATTCATATTTCCTAAACTTCGTCTTGGTGTTCGAGGGGATTTTGTCATTCTTGCAGATTTAGGACTGTCAAAAATAGATGTCTGTTTTTGATCCGGTGGTGATCTTGGAGATGAAATTCCACCCTCTGAATGTCTTCTTGGAGTAGGCATCCATTGATAGGCAAAATCATCTTTGGTTTGTACAGTTACTCCTGTCAAATCAATTAAGCCAACTTTGCAACCATTTCCGACCACAATAAGATGTGGATCTACGCAAAATCGATGAAGTGTTTGATGAACCAGTCCTGCCTTATGAAGTTCATGAACGGCACAAACTAATTGGAAAAACACATATTTTCTCTGTTCATTATTGAGCATACCGTCGATGATGGCATCCACAAGAGGGAGTTCTAATTAAGTGTTCAAAATACAATGAATGGATAATACGTATATCCAGAGACAAATTTTCCATCAATGATTTCGTGATGGGTCATGATAAGAGGGAACACATTTCAAGACAATCATTGGTAGTCATATGTTGTACAAATTGAACCAGGACAATTTGGTTTGATGTTTGTTTGATTTTAGAAACACATCACTGCCTAAATATCATCTTTCAAATTACTTACGCATATCAGCTTCAGAAAACACAAGATATGTAACGTGACCCTCACTCTCTGGAATTACCCTCTCGGGTTGAATAATGTTCTCTTGATGGAAGGACTGAACGAGTTGTACATTCTTGAAACACTTTTCTTGATTATCCACTGGATTCTTCTCGTAGGGAATGGTCAGCTGGTCGATAACTTTATGAACAACCTTCATGATTAATACTTCCTTATCTTCATGACTATTCTTCTCCTTGGCAGTGAATAATTCAATTTGAGGGACTCTTGTCAAATTATCCCCCAAAACAGCCTGCTCGCTTTCCAACACTCTCGTAAAATTTTCATATTTGCTTTTAATCTCCCTTCCAAGTGTCGAGAGCAAATATTTGTAGCTCCCAGCACTAATAGGGCTGCCCTTATTTGCGATGGTGTTGTGGAGGTTATTGAGCAAAATATCGGCGTTCATATAATTTGCAACCTCGAGAGCATATCCCTTGTTCATCCTTATCGCTGATGGTAAGATACAGTTTCAGAAACGATGATGATGGATGAGAGAGAAGAAGAAACGCAAAAAACCTTTCCCGTCTGTTTTTTGAAATGCTTTTTTTTTGAACGATGAAAAATTTCGATTCGTTGAAATTTCGTTGAAAATGCAGGAAAGGAAAGCAAAATAATTCAAAAATGGTTTTAGAGGTTGTTCCAATCGTCAACTATATATCTCCTATCGTTTGTGATGGAGTTTGAAGGATGGATCCCTACAGTAGCTATTTTTGTATTTTTTGAAAGCTTTCAAGAGAGGAGAGAAACATCTTCTCGATTGGGTTGAAAGACACTTTATTCTTGCTTTTGGGATTGGTCGAGTCGTTTTCTTTCTAATTCTTGCAAAAGATAATCCTTGAACTGAGCCTTGGAGTTAAGAGCTCTGTACTCGTGATATGTAATCATAATGTAGTATAACTCACTAATTGAAATTTTGGTGGTCGTAAATTTATGCAAGATATCCTCCATCTCCTTCTTCAAGACTTCATTCTTGAAAGTCGAATAGTGAAGTACCGAGTTGGTTACTCTTGCTGCACAGCTCTGTTGAGTTAATTTCAATGTAATGTCTCCACCAAAGGCACCACATCCCCAATTACCTGTAGTAATGTCCGTATAGTTCATGTTCTTAAATCCCAAGTAGGCCTTGTTGAGGTCACGTTTTATCATTTCAGGTGCAAAGTGTCTTTTAGGGATGGCATCCATAATTATTATATCAATGGTATGGCCTCGTGGCTCGAAAAGTCCTGTAAATTTAAATGTGTTCAAGTATCCTGTATACTCGCTATAACGAATAATGTTTTTCATAATGATAATCTCAGAGTCTGAAAGAGACTCACAAATGAGAAGTGTCAAGAAACTTTCAGGACAGCAGCTGAACAGAACTGCATTTGTGTAAATAAATGCGTAGATATATGGTCATGCATATTTCGAATGAAAATATAATTTCATGTGAATGAGTAGACATGTTGGCAATACATGTAGAGGGTCATCATTGGCCACATTTGAATAAATTTGTCACATACCTTCTTCCTGAGTGAGGGATGGAATAATGGAACCAATATGAATGAATCGGTTGGCAAAGTCCACAAATCCACGACATGGAATATCTTCCATACGACCACAGTGCACGCGAATCATATTCTTTGTGGCTTCCTCATCGGAAAAGTCAATATCTTTCATTTCCAACCAATTGGGTTCGTCTTCAGGAAGCAAATTGTATCGGGTAAAGACAATATCTTCTCGTTGATCGCATAACTTGTCTCCATAAAATGCTTGTTGATAGAAATAACTGAGCTGGCAAATAATTCTTTCAACAGCTTCGTCCAAACGACAAACATACAATCTATTGAAATCCAAAACGCCATAATCTTTTTCCTTCTCTTTTTGGAAATGATTGTGAATTTCCGAAGAGATGTTCAAAAAGAATGCATTCGCTAGAATACATCTCACATATTTTGGTGGAATTGAGAGAGAGACAGACTGATTCATTTGCATGAGAGGAAGCTTTTCGATCAGCTCATTTTCTGGAACTTCCAATGCAAAGTGAGCAATTTTTGGCAATAAATGCCGATAAAAGTCAAAATTCTTTGAAATTTCTCCCTCCTCATTTCTACTGCGAATGTATTCCGAGAAGATATCAATGGCTGCCTCGAGACCAGGAAAACCAAATCTCTTTTTGGATGGATCATTTTGGAACAAGTGCAGAATGTCTTGCAATTCTTCAAATTCCTCCATTTCTTCAATGCCTTCTAGGATGGCTCTGCTAATTTCAGTTCCCTTCAAAAAGAAGTGATATTTGAAAGGAACATGAGGAATAAAATCCAAAGGAGTATGTGGTTCTCCGCCTGAAGCATTGAGAGAATCTCCATCATTGGCTGTTGTTATTAATAGTGTTGAATTGGTGGTGGTGGTAGTTGCTTGTTGTTGAGAGTCGGTTGATGAAGTCATTTCCGCAGATAGAACCAAAGTTTCCAAATCAAGAAAAAAATATATTCAGTAGTGGTGGGATGATGGAGTTCAATCCTATATCAATAAATCGTACTGTTCAACGTGAATCGATTATGGTTTGAAAAACGACAATAAATCCTCTTCCAAGAGTTGTTCGTGGAGGATGATGATGGACGATCACAGAGAGGTTAGGTAACTTTCCAAAAAGAGTTTCCGTGTTACACAGATGGTGCAATCACTTGGCGACGAGTACTCTCTCAAAGTTCTTCGTGAGTTTCAACAAAGGGACCAACAAGAACACACAACGGAATCAGTACAGACACACGCGTGAGTGTCAATTCCTTGTCGCTATTTTTTTCTTTGTGTTTCTCTCATGAACGACGGCGCACATTTTCGTCTTCATATGAATGGATGGATTTATGGGAGAATCAAAAGCACACGTTGACATATGTCAACGGGTGTCGCACGAAACGAAAAAGCAGAAATTTGAGGCGCAAGCAAATGTCCTTCCTCAGATCTGATGGATTTTCTCTAAAGGTGATTGCGTCACATAGATGATGTTGTAAAGATTGTAACAAGTGATGCGAATGATCTAATGGCTTCCGTGCCTTTTCTTCGCAATTTCTGTTCTTTTCATTTCGTATATATTCATTAAGTTTGGAGTTTAATTGTTTGAGGGTAGCTGAAATGTAATTCGCTTGTTGTTCAATTCTTTCCAAACGTCTTTCCAGGCTGTGGAGCATGCAAGAGTCAATTCTGATGTTCATCTTGCGGTATTTTTTAAGGGCTCGAAAGCATAAAAAATTGAAAAAATATTTATTGGCCCTTCGGTGCCTCAGGTCTTTCGTTTTCCCAGTATTGATTAAAAGCTCTACCCATCAAGAGCGATAGAATTGCTTGAATGTCTACCCAGTACTTGATGATGTCCTGTTTTCTTCTTGTAAAATATGTGTCAGAGTTAAGAATGATTCCTCTGCTGTCGATAAGGAATTTGGAGGAGGTTAGAATTTCATTTCGGTCATGGTGAATCAATTCAATGTTTAGAAGCCTCTTCATCTGTTGTTTAGCATACATTCTTTCCTCCGATAGTAATGTGCAACGTGTGGAATAATGTTCAATAGTTCCGGTGCAATTACATCTGGGGCAGGTGTGAGTTTGTTGTTTAAATGTTTTCATGTGAACATTGTGCATGTTTCTCCAGATTGCATATTTTTGTTGGGGAGAGATATTCTTTGACTTCATGAAATTGAATGTTGTTGGGAAGATGCAAGAAGGGTTAAACTTATTCCTGCTCTTCAAAGTTATTGATTCATTCCATTTCTGAAGTTGGTTGTTCTTGATGAATGTTGCAATATCTGGAATCCAGTGGTTATTGGATTTGAGGATAATTTGGTTTTGGGTAAGTTGTCTGTGAGGAACTATCAATTTTCCTGATGTGCATCCCTTTTTGGCTAATTTGTCTACGTGAATGTTACCACTATTTTGGTGGCCTTTAACTTTGATGATGGTGATTTGTAGGTTTTTAGATTTCTTGAGGAATTCAAATTCAGTTTTAAGGGGGAGAAATGGTCCTCGGTATTTAGGATTTGATAGCAAATTGATACTTATTTCGCTGTCTGTGTAGATTTTTGCTTTTGATTTTGTTGGTAATAATCGGAGAGTGTAGACAATACTTAGTAGTTCAGCTAAGTTATTGCTATGGATTGGGTCAAGTTTGAATTTGTGTCTAGTTGTTATATTTTTGTAAAATAATACCAAATCCAGTTCCTTGTTCAGTTTTAGATCCATCAGTCCATACTTCAAAGTTTTTACATTTCTTATGGTATTTTAGTGATTCTTCATTTACAAGTTGAGGTATGTAGTTGCAGTTATCAACTTTAAGTTCATACTTCCTTGCTATGTGGTGGAAGTTTTCAAATATATTTAGGTTTTTGGATTTTTTGGTGTTGAATGTTGATGTGATAGCATCATTTACCGCTTCTTGCATGAGTTGGTAATTGTGACATGAGATATTAATTAATGATTTTAGGGTTATGATATCAGTCATCATTTCAAGGCATGGAATACCCATTCCTCCTTGGTAGTTTGGTAAGTATAGGCATTCTTTAGGTGTTCTTGCATCAATATTTAGTTTTCTTTTGATTTGGTTTCTGATTGAAGAGTCGAATGATTCTATTTGGGATTGGCTTATTGAATTACTGCGTGCAAGGTGTGTAATTTGGGATAAGGTTTTAGATGTGACTACTTGTTTGAGATTATATGGTTGAATCAGATTAATTGGGAGGATGTTAAGGATATTCATCATCTTATGTTTCCTTTTTTCTAGTTCTTCCTTAAATAATTTAGATTCAAAAAGATATCCTCCGAGGATTCTTTGGTTGTCTTGGTTTGGAATTTTGGTATTGTTAATCAAGGCCTCATTTGGTTTAGGGAGTGAAGTTGTAACTGATTTGGATGGATTAATTTCTAGGAATATTTGTTTGAACCATCTGTTAATTTTCTTGAGTCTTTTGTTGTGGAGAGTAATGTTAGAATTGATAATTGACATATCATCGGCAAAACAAAGTGTGAAAGCATAAAAAATGAAAGCACACACTCGTTCGTTCCACGTGGGAGGACGAATTGCCAAATTTGATGGCATGCAAATTGGATTCAACAAATTACTGCAACAACAACAACAATACTCACGACGATTCTTCTCCTCCGAGCACAGAATTCTCTCTGAGAAACATTTGTATGGCTCATGGGCATCATCCTCACATCTCTCTTTCATGAATGTGCAAAGGCATTCTTCTTCCTCCTTCATGCCGTGTTTCTTTTCTCAACAACCATGTTCGTTATCATCAGTTCCGAAGGTTCTGGAAAATAATAATAACTTTAAGAATGGAATAGGTCCAGGATTTTCGTCGTCGTATGGCATGAAAAGTTTTTCCACCTCTCTGAACCATCCATTGAATTCTCCCCAAGATCCTCAAACAAATGCTTCTGTCCCCAACACTACATCCATCACCGCTTCTTTTACATCATCATCACCTAACCATGACTCGGAACAAGAAAGTAAAACACATTTTTCCAATCAACATCAAAAACACAACAAAATGGCAAAATTCATTTCAAAGGATCAGTACAACCATGTTCTACTCTCTCAATTATTTAATGTGGACAACCAATCACATAGAGAGAACCTTCTTTCCAGGACAAAACATTTACTTTTGAACAAAATAGATGCTCAAGCTTCAACACATGAAATTTTTAGAGCTCTTGATGTTTTTACGAAACAAGATATCAAAGAAATTATTCAGTTTCTTGATGAGAAAGATTTATTGATACCATTTTTCAAAAAACAATTCTCACACATGGTATTAATGAAAATTTTCAATTGTGCAGGTCCAGAAGAAAAAAGTTTCCTCATTGACAGGTGTTTATTTTCACAAAATGTGATGGAAATGTGCACTGGGCAATTTTCCAGCGCGACTGTGAATGCATTCATTCCAGGATTCAATTTGTCAGAGATGACAAGATTTTTACAAATTCTAAAAGGAATTTCCATTTTGGATTTAACAAAAAGTGGAGGAGGAACTGTAATTTTGGAAACAGTACTCAACCAATTGCAGGATCCTTCCTTGAAAGAAGAATATTTTAGCATGGTAGAACCATACTATTCAGAATTGATGACTGAACAACATGGAAATTATCTTGTACAGAATTGTATTTCTCACATGACGAAGGAGCAACGTTTACGATTTATTGAGTTACTTTCCAAAGATTTAAAAAATTTATGCCAAACCAGCGAAGGAGCCATTGCGACAAGACACTTTTTGAAAACTTCACCAAACTATTTGGTACGACATTTTTTCACAAACATAGTCATACCGGATGTTGGAATTTTTGCTAACAACAAGTTCAGCAATTTTATCATTGAAGAAAACTTTTCCAAACTCTATCAAAGCGAGCGGAAACAAGTACTGCAAGGAGTCAGTGCCCATCTCGTAGAAATATCTAAAACTGCTCATGGCAGCATGTTTTTGAAGAAATTGTTCCAACTCGCTGATAGAAGTGACGAGTTGATGGTGTTTTCCAAGGCTGTGAAGAATAATTTACTCGAACTTTCCAAGTCGACTACATCTTCGTATTTTGTTGTGGATGATTTGTTCACACATGTGCTCAAACTAGGACATTCAAGAAGGGAGATTTTGAATGCAATGATCTCTCATTTTCTCTCACTGATTCAATATACTTATGGATCCTTGTTTATGCAACTCATGTTCAAGAGTGAAGATGTGGAACGAAGCGAGCTTGAAGTTCTCGTTCATATCATGTCGAATCATTTCGATCGCATGTTGACAGATGCAAAATCTGCTGCACTATTGCGAGTAGCCATAGAAAATGGTTTTGCAGAGACGTTTTTCTTGAAAATGAAAGGCAAAACATTTGAGCTAGCACAACAAGTTCATTCGTCATATGTGGTTGTTGCTTGTTTACAAAATTGTAATAGATCCACGGTTGTGCAAATGTTAAGGGAGCTCTTGTTGGATCCTTCATTGCCCAATTCCGCCGTAGAAGGCGAACAACAAGTCGATCAATCCGTCCCATTGTCCAAAGAACGGGTGTTGACTTTATGCCGACACAAGTCGGGGTCGTTTGTCATGCTTGATGTTTTTAAGGTTATTGAAAAATATGCCAGCAAAGAAGATGAGGAGCAACTTTTAGTCAAGTTGGCATCGATTCTGGTGGAGTCTGAGCGATCCATTCTGAATTACAGGCTCCTGAGTACAGCCAAGGAAATTTTGTCAAAACACTCTTCATCACCAAATTCGAGCAACTTGAGGGTGCGTTCTCGATCATTCCACGAAGTACTTGCAGTGTCAGCAATTGAAACACAACGAGATTTTACTGGAATATAACGAATAAATAATTAAAGATTGAATTGCTTATGATACAGCTTGTAGGCCTTCAGGGCAATGTCACCATTTCGGTCGAACTGCTGCAAAACATCGACCCAAGAAAGTGGAATACTGGAGCTTCCGTAAATGGCTCCACACAGGCTGCCAGTGACGGCTGTATATGAATCTGAGTCGCCCCTCATGTTGGCAGATTTCAACAGGGCATCGACAAAGTTATCTGTTGTGTAGACACAATGCAGAGCCATTGCCACAGCATCCATTGCATACGAGCCCTATATTATTAAATATAGGATTATATAATAATTTCATATTAACGAACATTAAGCATACAATTCCAAAGAGTATCAAATATTGTAATTGAATTCAATCGACAAAGTAGTATGTTTCTGTCTGAGTTCACTCAAATCTAAATTACTACTTACCACATAACCTGGCTGTTGTTTTGCTCGAGTTTTGCAAAATTCAAAGTTTGGATCCTTCCAATTCCAATTTCTGTCTTCAAGATCAAGATGTGCATTGGACTCATGTTTTTCTTCCTTCATGGATTTGCACAAACACTGTACACTATACAAGTCAGTCTGGAATTCACTCAAATCTTCCAAAACATCCTTCTTTGAATCGGCTCTATTGATTGCGTTTACAGTAATAAATGCAAGCAGCCGACACAACTCGGCAGCCTCTTCTCCCTGATGAGTTGTTTTGCTCTGTGCATGGGCAACAGACATTGCCTTGTTTCGGTCATCATGGAACATGACTGGCACAGGTGAATGTCTCATCACACTACCATTTCCACTTGTGGACTTGTCACCTGTTTGAGTGAATTCAATAGTTGGATCTTCGAGAAATTCAGTCATGGACATGGAAATATTGCCACCAAGACCAACTGAACTTCTTTCCCTGTCACTGAGATCAGGACTGAATCCAAAAGCATTACAATAACCTAAATACCACCAATTCACAAATCTAGGTGTCATCACACAAGTTGCATTGTTGTTTCATTGAAAAGTTATCATGACATCATCATTCAAACAAGGTAAAGCAACATGTTGAAATGAATATTAATGTACATGCACCAAAGAAACTCACCTTGTTCTCAAATCCAAAGCATTGAAATCTTGTTTCACAAGGAGAGAATCAGCCAAACAAAGAGCCATTGAAAAATCGTCGGTCCATTGACCTGGTTTCAGCATGAATCGATTGTAGTTGGGCTTTTGCCAAATTTCAGCATGATCAAAGCCTTTCAATTCCAAAGTATTGTATCGAACTGGACTAAATTCCAAAGGAGCACCCAATGCATCTCCAATGGCCTGTTAAGATTGAATGGAATTTTAAATGGATCAGTATTCATCCAACAACATGGTAATTTCAAGTCGAACGAATAATTTTCAATGTTGAATGCATATTTCAATTACAAAATGGAAGCAAAAAGTTCATCATAACAATTTCATCATCAGCACCACCATTAGACATTTTGCAGTGATTCATGAATCACTCACTTACATTTCCTAACATACATCCCAATGCACGATCTTCCTTCGGATCCAACAATTTGTTTCTCAACCTTTGTTGAACGAGTTCTCTCTCGGATCTAATCTGTTCATCCTCTCCGAGTATGGAAAAACCAGACAAGACATAAGATGTATATTGATTACCCTTGATCACCTCAACTGCTTGTTGTGAGCTCGAGAAACAAGCTTCCAGACCCTTTTCTCTTGTTGGAAAGAGTAATTTACCAGAGGATTGAGCATTTCCCATAATGATGATGATAACGAGCGAGTTGGTTGTGGTGAATTTTTTTTTGAATTCTTTAATTAGATCTTGAGAAGAGTTCCAAGTGTTCAAAGAACTTGTAAAAGCGATTGAAGTGATGGCAAGTAATAACTTATCTCAGAATCAATAGTAATTGATGGATTTAATATTTTTCTCCAATTCAATCAAGCTTTTATTTCGTTTTTTGTTGTTCAACAGCAGCTCGATAAATTCCTTTCAATATTCCATAACCCCAAATCAAAACAATAGCTGGAAATACAATCCACACAAAGGAAGGAAGGAAATATAAGGTGATGAAAGTAAACCAATCGTTGTGAGCTGTAAATTCAAATCCTCCACAAATATCTACAAGCATGTAGAGAACTGTCTTGGAAAAACTCATCAATGAGGCACTCAAAATCAACAAGAATCCATCAAATGATTTTCTTCGAACAAGACCAATCAAGACAAGAGTAATTTCAACGATATTCATGATGGATTGAGCAATGACAAAACCATTATCGAGTTGGCCATAGGATTTGTCCACTTGAATGTAGAGATCATCTGTCATTGAGAGAACGTTCAATATAATCATTCATTCATCATTCAAATGCATTCATTAAAAGTTCATTCCATAAAAACATGACGATCGTGACACAACGATGTGACAATTTCCGTTCGTGTTCTGATACGACGACTGGATGATACTTACATGGAGCCCAAAACGCAAACAAGTCACCTCCCTTCATGGTTCTGTTGCGAGCAAATTCACGCAACAACAACAAATGATGTTGTTGAGTTCATCATCACCGCCGTGGTGTTGTTCAATTCCATGGTAACGTGCATGTTTTGGCATGACGTGAAACATGTTTCATAAAAATTCAAATGGACCTAAAATACAAGGACATCATGAAACAACAACAACCTACCTCGGACGCAACAAGACAAAGGTAAAGTCCCAAGTGGTTACGAAAAGTTGAGCCACGAGCCAGACCGTGATAATCAGAGGATAATTGAATTGAATGATGGCAGCCATTTTTTTTAAGGAAGAAGCACGAGTGTCGGCAAAGATCGCAGTTCGACATTTGTGAAATCATCGCCAAACAACCGACCAAATCCTAGGATCAGTGTCTTTGGATTGATACTGAGCTGACAAGATCATAATTGCCACTGTGTCCCAGAAACAACTGCATTTGAGACGAATTCAATGAGATTTTATTGTGGGTGAATTCCTCAATGTTTAGAAGATTTGAGAACTTCTCGTGATGCATTCTTGCATTGCCTTCATCCAATCTCCATTGTTTGCTTCCAAAATTTCGACCAATTCGTCCTTATTCCTACCTTCGAGAATTCCGCATTGTTCCAAATTATAGAGTTGAAGGCTATACTTTTCGTAGAGAGCTTGCATTCTGCTTTGCTCAAATTCTTCCAAATCTTCTTCATCGTCGCTTACATCATGAATGCCTTCAATGGAAAGATCATTTCGTGGAGGTAATTGTTGTTTCTGTTGTGATTGTGGTGGTGGCACTTGTTGAGGTATTGTTGGGACTACTGGTTGAATTGGTGGTTGCATTTGTGGTTGCTGCTGTTGAGAAACCTGAGGCATAACATTCAATTCAAACCAACACAAATGGCCAAATTGTGACTTTCCTGCTGCCAATCGGAAATAACCCTTGATGTTGCCAATTTTCTTTGGAATAAAAGTAACAGACGCTTCAACATCTATAATTAATTTGGTATGAATGAAAATGGATTGTGATATTCAGTGCAAGGTCAAACAATAGTTTCAATAGTTTCAATTTTAAAATTAATAATTATTGAAAATGCATATCATTCAAAACATTCAACGTATTAACAAAATAAATTTGTGACAATATTAAACATACCTTGACCAGGTAATGCTCTTGGAACTTGAGAACCAAGAATTTCATAAGTTGGATTCTCGTCCTTACAAAACAAACAAATATTGTCTGGCCATTGAGTAGTTCCAGTGTTTTTAAGGGCCCAGGCCTTAGTGACTGGTTGATTCACGATCACGCTAGAACCATCAGTAAGGTTCACATCTCTCACGAATTTGCTTGACCAATTAGTAGCATCCACAGAAGTGTTCACTGCAGCAAAACTCCATGAGTGTTCTACATTTTGAGAAGGTTGTTGTGGTTGTGGTGGGGGCACTTGTTGAGAAGGTTGTTGTTGTGGTGGGATAATTGTAGATGGTTGCTGCTGAGGCTGCACTTGAATCACTTGTTGAGGAGGAACGTTCGTTTCTGGTTTCTGTTGTTGTTGCTGAGTGGGTGTTTGTGGTTTTTGTTCTTGTTGTTGCTGTGGTGGTGGTGAACTTGACCCGGTTGTAACGACAGGTTGTTGTGGTTGCTGCTTCTGTTGCATCAAAGCTATATTGCTGCCACCACTCTGATTGGGCAAATTCATTGAAAATTGTGGAGTTTGTTGTGGCTGTACGGAAGAAGGTTTTGATGGTTGCTGTGTTGTTGTGGCCACCGGTGGTGTTGAGGAGGCTTTCGTTACAACCTTCTTTTCAACAATTTCAAGATACAAAACGGGAGAAGAAAAGTTACGCACAGCTTCTTTCCATTCCTCTTCGTTGGTTGTGGTAATCAAATCACATTCATCGTCCTTGTACTTGATCACGGAATTTTCACGAGTAATGGTGGCATGGAAGCTTGTACTCAACACTTGAAGCAACTGATCGAGTGTCAGCGAGGAATGGATTGGCAATCTCCGAATACTGTCTTTGTATTTTGCCTTGATATTCACTGTGGTGGTGGTGGATGAACCTTGTTGTTGTTGTTGTGATAGCATGATATTACTGATACAAAAGTGAGTGATTGCTGCTGCTGGCGTGATGAGGCTTGATTTTGTTGAAACAAACAAGAGAGAAAGAGAGGACGCGAGCACGTTCCGATAATTTTTTTTATCTAATTTTAATTTTGGTTCTTGATTCGAATCAGCTTCTAATTTTATTACAATTCCTTTCTTTGTGTTCATTGTCTCCACTTTCTCAATGTCACACCCTGAATCAACAAGTGTAACCACCTTAATTTTTCAAAAGGAACAACAACAGCACACCCGGTGATGATGGAAAGGAACACCTAATGCCAATCTCCCTTTTTAGAATGATGAAACAAATATATTCGTTCATAAGACCTCTAATTTCAACCAGACAATTTGTCTTACAAAATAAAGAACGCACTAATTGTGGTGCATCTTTTTTTTCTTTTTGTTGCAAAGATTTTTGTTTCAATACCTTTACTGCATGTTTCTACTGCTTTGAATCACCTCCCATGAAATAACTATTGTCAAAATGAAAACAGTCAATAAAGCAATAAATTTGTACAGAGACAACACAGTGTCGGCAGTCAAATGACCGGCTCGAATCTGCGTACAAAGAACGATCAATTCTTGCCACATGGATTCCACTTCATGTTTAACAAGAGGCCATTCTTTTGAAATATCTTGCTCGAGGGGTGATTCAAAGACGTTAATTCCTTCCTCAATTTCGTTTTCATCGATTTGATCTGGAGGAGGTGGTGGTTCCTGATGACTATCTCGATCACCACTGCTCATCAAATAAATGGAAGGTTCAGTGCTTTCAATTTGGGATGAAGAATTGATGTGATTTGGTACATATTCGAGAGTGGTTGTAGTACTACTCTCATCCACAATCTTATTGTGAGGTTCTTTCTCTTGTTGATGAGGAAGAACATATTGTGAAGGAGGTAAAAAGGAGGCGTTTATGTTTTGCATTGTTGAATTGATTCACAATTTCTCTCTGAAGGAAGGCGTGAATAATTTAAATTCACATTTAGCGTGAGTAGTGTGTTGCACAAACATGTTGAAAATACATGGGGAAGTTAAAATGGCTATTTTCCTTTTTGGGAACAATCATAAAAAAGGCATCATTTAGGAAAAGAAGACCTTTCAAAAAAATTGATCTTTATTTCTAACCCTCATTCGATTCAGCTTTAAAACAGCATGTTTTTCTCTTGTAATTATATCATCAACATCATTGGAACCTTAAAATAGCATGTACTTGCATTCATCGAGACCCCTTCATGAATTCTCAACGTCAACAACGTTGTTGTTCAATTTGTAAAAAATCAACTTTCTCAAAAAATGCTCCAAAGACGCCAAGAAGGCTTTGAACCGCCTACCCCATCGATACCGAAATCTGGTGGAGCCATGGCACAGCAGGATCTGAGAGGTCAGACACCACCGAACACAGGTTCTGCTTTCTCTTTTTCCTCTCGTTCCGACCAAACTCCGTTGCTTCCGCACCAGAATTCTAACCATGAGAATAATGGTATGCCCAAGCCTCGAGGCTATCAATTGGAGTTGTTTGAGCAGGCCAAAAAAGAGAATGTGGCTGTAGTACTGGACACAGGAACGGGAAAAACAATGATTGCTCTCCTTTTGACTCATTATATGCTCTTCTCGGAAAATTCTAACCCGAATTCCATGATTGTTTTTATTGCGGAGAACAAAATTTTAGTAACTCAACAATATAACTTTATAACAAATGGGTTGAAGCAGTTTCAAAAAATGGATTTCTCCAATGATGAGTTTTCTAACAAACAGGTTGATTCAGACCCAAATGACATTGATGAAATGTGTGCATGCTATATTGGAGGAGAGAGTGGTCTATTGACAAAGATAATGTCGAAAAAACTGCTGCAGAAAAAGAGATTTATTGCAACTACTGCCCAATTTCTTCACAACATGCTGAGCCACAATGCGCTAAATATGGAACAAATTTCTCTGCTCATTATTGATGAATGTCATCATTGCGGAGAAGGAGATCATCCTTACAAAAGCATCATGTCTCAGTTCTATCGTCCACTTAAGGAGGAGCTACGACCAAAAATATTTGGCATGACGGCTTCGGCCATTAATTGTAAAGGGGATGTGACTGAAAAATCACTTCAACAAAAATTGCAGTTAGAGTATTCTTTAGATTGCAAATTGACAACCATTATGTCAGGTACAGAATTGTACAATGAATTGCTGGAACACACAAATTTACCTGAAGAGACTGTAATACCTTACAGACACAATATTAACATTGATAGTGACTTTGTCGAAAGGTTTGAAGATTTTCTGATACAAACCATCAAACGCATAGTGTCGAGCAAAGAAACGATGCTTGCTGAAGATTTAGAAAGTATTCTCCAAAAGCTGAGTGGTGAACTATTGTACCTTTATCATGAACTTGGTGCTTGTGCAATCATCGAATATTTCAACCTTCTCTTTGATATCATTGGAGACGTTAAAACCTCCGAAGAAGATGAGTGCAAAACAATGATTGACAGCATTGCACACTTTCATGGGAAAGCTGCCTTTGAGGCATCTTCCACCCCGTATTTGGAATTGAATGTTGACAAAAACATCAAAGGAGATATAATGCGATCACTACACACATTTCTGCAAGGTGAAGAAACATTTATGGAGAGTATGAAAACAGCCAGCTTGATTGAACTATTGAAACAGAATTATTGGGACTCTAACACCGAAACTTTTAACGATTGGGTGAGAGGTCTTGTTTTTTGTGAAAGAAGGATTGCCACTGTACTTCTCTCGAGATATTGCTCACGTGTATTGGGCATGAATTGTGATTTTATTGTAGGTCATAACTCCGACAATACCAAAAAAGCTTTTGGTTTAAAGGGAAACGTCACACCTTCCAAGCAACAGAAGAAAATTAAATCATTTAGAGAGGGTGAAATTAAGTGCCTATTCTGCACCAACGTTGTTGAAGAAGGCTTTGACATTCCAGCATGTAATTTAGTCATTCGTTTTGATCCCTTTAATGATTATCTAAGAGCCTACATTCAAAGCAGAGGAAGAGCCAGAAAAAAGGGCAGCAAATTCATCATTATGATAGATGCAGATGATGAAAAGCAAGCTATATTTTGCTCGAAACGAAAAGTTGTGCATGCCCAAATGCAACAGTTAATTTGTGAGGATCATTCAGAGGTACGACAAAATTTTGTTCCACCACAAGACATGCCTCCTTTTGGATACGTGACACCTACTGGCGCAAAAGCAACTATGACTTCAAGCATTCAAATTGTTAATAGATATTTCAGCTTGATTTCAGGTGCTTATTGCACCGACAAAAAGCCAAAGTTTATGACTTTTGAATATCGAGGAGAATTTATCACTCAACTTGTTCTTCCTGATAATTGTCCAGTACATCCACGAACAATTTCTAATGACGAGCAAGACGATCCTCCATATTTTCGATGGAACAAAACAGATTCCAAGAGATACTGTGCCCTAAAAGCAGTCAAAATACTTCATGAACACAAAGAATTGGATGATAACTTATTCCCGACTTACGGCTCAAAATCTTACATTTCTATTTCGCAGCAACAGAAACTATCTTTTGACAAGACGAAACAAAAAATTAAGATTCCAAAAGCGTTCAAGGGAGGCAATTTCGTCATTCATGATACTCAAGAAATTTATTTTTATGACATTTTTGTGGACAATGTTGACAGTAATTTTCAGTTGGTTTTGCCAAAGAGAATCGACAAGGACTATGAAGACCTACTACATATTGAAATAAGAGGTTCACGTAAAGTGCTAATCCAGTATTCGAATTCGAGATTTGTAGATGTGAATTGGATACAAAAAAGTTTTGAACATCATGATTTCATGTTCCGTAAACTATCCAAACTCAACCGTTCGGATGCCATGGATGAATTTGAATACTCTCTTAGGCAATGGAGTTTTTTTGTGTTACCAAAGAACATGGAAGAACACTTTACCAATGTTCCGTTGTTAGACATTATTCGAGAAAGAGGAAGTAATAACACTTCATGGATAAAGGATATGGTTCTAGAGACGAGTTATAACCACAAAATATATTTGGCCAACCGAGTAAGATTTGATTTGAACCCTAATTCAGCCTTTTCTTCTCCTGAATTTTCTTCCTACAGAGAATTTTGTGAAAAACGTTGGAACTTGGTGGTCAATGATTTGAATCAACCTCTTATTGAAGTATATCAGCCTAAATTTTCTTCTCTTGGTAGAAATTACACCGAAATACAATCAAATTCTGCGGTGATAATTGTTCCTGAATTTGTGAATGCATGCTCATTCTCAATAGATATGATGAGTTTCATCAGAAACATACCAGAAATACTGTACAACTTAAGACATCGACTACTCACGATAGAGCTATCCAAAGCACTCGATTTTTTTGATCCTTTGAGAAAGTTTAAAGATTTCAACAAAACTTTAGATGGACTTAATTTGTTGCAAGAAGCAATAACAGCAAAAAGGACGAATTTAAAAATTAACTATGAGAAGTTAGAATTCTTTGGGGATACCATTCTCAAATACATCACTTGTAAGAAGCTATTCTTTTCATTTCCAGATTTGCCGCCTGGCCAATTGTCAAGATTGAAACAACAACTTGTTAGCAATGAACACCTAGCTAATGCTTTCATGAGAAGCAATCTTGAACACTTTATACTAACAGAACCACTTTCTCATGGTCTCGTAGTCAATAACTTGGTTCCATTCTCAGAGAATAATTTTGAGGACTGGGAGGAAATGAGAAATCAAGATATGAAGAAGAAGGTGTTAGCAGATGTTGTTGAGAGTATTATTGGATTTTGTTATCTTCAATTTGAAGACATGAGTTATGTTGAACGTTTTTTAGAGCGAATTGGGGTTCACTTTCCAAACAAAAACACTATTGAATATACCGAGTTTTTGCCAGAAAGCATTAAAACAAGAACCTTAGATTCTTTGCTAGAGATAGCAGAGAAGGGCATTATTCCGAGTGTTGAATGGCAAATTTCATACGTTTTCAATAACAAGAAGCTTATATTGGAGGCCCTCATCCACGCGTCCTATAATTCAAAAGTTAACTATGAACGATTTGAATTTTTGGGTGATGCTATTCTTGACATGATTGTTACAAAACGTATTATGAATGAATTTTATGTGAAGGTCAAAAACAGCAGTAACGCTCCTGATCTACCAAGCATGAATGAGCTTCGCGAGCGAATTATTCAGAACAAGTCATTTACCGCCATTGCTGATAGCTTGAAGCTTTACGACTATATTATTTTTTCTGGCGAAGATATTGTGAATAACATGCTAGCTTTCATCACCTCCAAAGATCCAGAGAATATAATGGTAAAAATTTTGAGTGACGTCGTGGAAAGCATTGCAGCAGCAATTTATTTGGACAACAATAATTGTTTGGACAGTGTGGAAGTTGTGTTTGACACTTTTTGGGAGCAGTTCCTAAATAAGGAATTTGAAGAGACAAGAACCAAAGCAAAACAAAGGATTCATGGACTCTCTGAACTTTATTTTGATTCAGCTTCTGAACACTCTGAAATTGCTCTTTTCTTGTTGAAAAATCTGCATAGAGACCCTTCTATTGTGCTGAATGAGATGTTGCAGAAATTTGTGTGGCTCAAGTACCCAGAAAGTGTGAACATTATTTTTCAAGAGACGACCATTAAGCCAGAGCCCCCAAGGAAACTTGATGCAAATTTCATAATCACGTTTATTGGCCACTCCTTCATTGGAACAGACAGGAACTTGAAAGCGGCTAAAAAGAAAGCAGCCGCTGATGCTCTTCTTTTCATGAAAGACCATAGCAATAATTTGTTTGATCTCATTGATGATTACATACAAGCCAATCAAGTGACGGCAATGATGATGTGAGAGAATAATTCTCTTACAAGCAGTTAAAATTGAATGCCAATAACTACGAACTCCCATCAAAGAAACCACTTCACATGTGGACATTCTTGTACAGGTGTACAGGTAGTACACTGACTCGCCAAGAATGAAGAGAGAGAAATATATAATTTGAGACCATTTTCACAAGCTTGTCGGTGTCAAACTTCACCTGAACACCCGCTACAACCGCATACTGGTTTACCTTACAAGGTTATCACAACCTGTTTGGTTTGCCAGAAATCGAAAAGCTTGATAATCAAACGTTTAACCTTGTTTTAACATGAGAACTTTTATTTAAACTGGTCAACTTGGTTACCCACCATCCAAATTTTGTTGACAGTTTAAATTAAACTTCTCTGCATTAGATCAACATTTTAAACAAGTTACTTGTAAACTCATCCCTCAATAAATCATTCGAATATCATGAGCCTTCTTTCTGTTTGTTGATTCAAAAAAAAATGGGAAAACGAAATTCAAGAAAGAAATCATTCTCTGCTCTGGATCGACAACAGCTTCAACCCTCCGAGCAGGAAAAGAAGAGAAAGAATGATAATGATTATCGATATTCCATCAGGAAGAAGAAAACAAAGAAGAATGACGTTTCTAAAGAAAGATTGGGAAATTCTAGAGGTGGACGAATTATTTCTTACGAATCGAAAAGCACACTGAAAGATGTTGTTACCTCCGCGAACGATCAAGATCTGAATTGTAAAGAATTGTCTAATGATTCGATAGTGGTCGTTTTGTCTTTTATTCCAACGTATCTGTTGTTGCGAAATTTCAGATTTGTGAACCGACATTTTGCAACGATGGCCATGTATGCCTTTGAAAAATACCAAGTTAATTATCAATTTAATGTATCAGAAAAGAAGCTATATGGCCTATCTCATGACGATACTGAACATTTATTTACCAAATATCGTTCATGCAAAAAGATGACAATACGATCTGACAAGAATAGGACGTTTAACTTACAGGGATATACAGGCATATCCGGAAATGATTTTCGTGTATTTGATTTGCCATTTCACAAGCTACAGAATATTTCGTTCCTGGACTGCCTTGGCACTTGTGTTTCAATACCGGTTGAGCTCGTTCAAAGCAATCTAGCTAACACACTCGTGACGTTGAAGATATTTACTTTTTTTTCTAACATACCAACTCTCTTGAGATTCAAGAAACTTCAAGAACTCACTGCACGAATATTTTATGAAGAGGAAGCAATTCCTTTAAATTTTGATGGAGTTCCTGAATCCATCATCAACTTTAAGTATTTGAAAATTGTCGATTCTGAGTGCTGGGAGTGTTCCGATTTTGTTAAGATAATCAGTCGCTGTCAACAGTTGAACACTCTTGAACTGCAAAATATAGCCGATTTTGATATGCAAGGCAGACTAATTGCTGAGGTCATCAAATGTATCAACTCCAAAATACATAACTTGAAAAAACTCAGTTACCTAAATAATGGCAATGGTATTACCTTTGAAGAAATGCATACACTCCCTTCAAATTTGAAATGTCTCAAAGCATCTTCGTCCCCATTGACCAAACAGGATGAACTTGTAAATATGGAGCATCTCAAAAACCTCACACATCTTACTCTTCGCACACAAATCCAGAGAGAGGTGTTCCCAGACCAATTATTTACTCTCATTTATTCGTTTCAAAACTTGGAAAAGTTGTCACTCTATTTGTCTTCTTGCTCCAGCGATCTCTTGACTAAAGTTCCTCGAAAAACTCTTCCCAATTTGAGGTCATTAGCACTCACATTCTCGATTCAATGGCTGTTAAAACAACATTCTCTTTCAGAAATAGTTGCCATATTCGAAGAGTGTGTCAACCTCGAAGTGATAAAAATTCAAGATTACTCGTCTCAACGAACAGAACTTGATTGGAAAGCACTACGAACATTTACCAAGCTCAAGAAATTGGAGGTCACTTGTGACAAATTAACTGGTTGGGATGATGCAAATAAGGTTCTCTCGTGTTTACAAAGTTTGAGAATGACCATCTTTCAAGGTATTGACAATTCTCTCGAATCACTTTCAGACAAAATTCAACGTTTGGAAATTGATGCGGATATGCAAGAATTGAATGTGCACACACTTCTAAAGCGTTTAAGCACAGCTCAGGCCCTCTCAGTTTTCAAATTTTCAATGAAAGAAATGCCAACAACAACCGACTTTATCCTTACTTTTCCTCAGTCCTTGGAAAAGTTGCAAATCTCTCATCTGACATTTACGAAAGGAAAGCAAGAAAGGCTCAAACACATGCTTTCAAGATTGCATCATTTGAGGTCACTTCATATTTTGGTTAGCATCGTCGAGGATCTGCCGAGCCTTCTTGAATCCATATTGATCCTAAAAAGCTCACTTAGAAAGATTTGTATTGAGAATGACGGGAGTAACAAATTTGTTCGTTGCGACAATGCGAAACATGTACTCGAGAAATATGACCAAGCAAGAATTCATCTCACCCTTAATGGTTTTAAAAGGAGCAATCTGTTGAAATACAAGTCCTCTTGTATTGAAATCGTATGAATCTCGCATTCGTGAATAGCCGTTTTGGTCGATTTGTGTTTGGACACCAAATTTGATCTCAACTCCATAAATTGTAAACTTGGGGTCATTTGAACATTCACGAAGAAAAAAATCACCTCTTACACAACGTAAGTGTGTACACTTGGTTTGATTGGTGCTGACTTTTTGAAACGGCTTATTAAATGTTTGTCATCTTTGTTCTCGGGACGCTACCAATGGTGATAATTACTGAAATATCATGGCAGCGAAATGAAATCATCATCGACTCTTTTGAGTAAATTGTTATTGAGAAATTCATCAACAAGGACAACAACAGCCTTATCGTCGAGTATTACTAGGTCATTCTCTTCTTCATTCTCTTCCCAATATGCTCCGAGAGTGTTGATAACAGGCAGTAATGGACAAATTGGTAAGTTATATCGTCATTGAAATTAACCAAAATCTCTCGACCTTTCAATCATCTTTGAATATGATGATGATTTTGTCTCTTTCTGAAATAATTTAATTCGGTTTTCATGATTGTTATGAATATCGAAATCGCGATGAATCTTTCGACGATTAAACCTATCATCCTTATCATAATAATGTTGATGATGATGATGCAAAATGGTTTCGGTGGCATCATCGCTTTTGATTTTCTTCATCGTTGGTGCTAAAAATCCACGTTACAATAATTCTTTGTTTGAAAATTCTCTCTGTAAAAGGTGTTGAATTATCTGCTGCTATTAGAGCTAGATTCGGAAAGAACAGTGTGGTTACTAGTGATGTTTCACTTCCAAGCATTGAGTCTCTTCAAAGAGGAGAACCATTTGTTTTCTGTAAGTTCTTTATTCCGATGCTGTGAAATTTAACGTGAAATTAATCCTAACAATGCATACAAAATCATCATGAATCAAAAATTGCAAATCCACATATCATGTTCATTGTGAAAAACAACACACTCGTCATGGTTAACATTTCTTTTAAAACATTTCTAATATTCAATGACGATGATTATGACAATTCGACAACATTCACTTACTGACCTATTCCAATATCCCAATGATTTCGTGCTGTGTCACAATGTAATTCAATTTCACTTCACAAACATCACTGTGCAGTGGATGTCAACAACAAGGCAAGACTCGAACAAATTGTTAAAAAGGAAGGAATTACTCACATCATTCATAATGCTGCATTTTTGTCTGCTGCTGCTGAGAGAAATCCAGTTCCTGCATTGGAATTAAATACTGTTGGGCTTCACAATGTTTTGGATGTTTCCAAGAATAATAATTGTTCAGTATTTATTCCATCTTCTATTGCTGCATTTGGACCAACAACTCCTTTGGATTTAACTCCAGATGTCACCATTCAAAGACCAACCACTATTTATGGCATTGGAAAAGTTTATGCTGAACATATGGGAGAGTATTATGCCTATAAGCATGGTGTTGATTTCAGATCATTGCGTTATCCTGGAATTATTAGTTATTTGAGTGAACCAGTAAGTACTTCTCACTTGATGAATGTGGCAGACCTCCTCAAACATGTTGGTGTTAAATTTGCAATTTTTTATTGATTTATAATTGAATGTCAAATCAATCCATGATGCAATCTCAATGTTGCAATGTCATTTTCATGAAATTCAATCCATTTCATATTTGAATCAAAAAACATCCTATAGGGAGGTGGTACTACCGATTGGGCTGTGTTCATGTTCTATTATGCCCTTAAAGGTGAATCTTATGAATGCTTTGTCAGTGAGAATACTCCCTTACCAATGATGTACATGAGTGATTGCATTCGTGCCACCATTAAATACATTTTCGATTTGACCAATGAAGATTTGAAGAAGGCCAATCAACGAACCTTTAACATCACTAGTTTCTCACTCACTCCTGGAATGCTTACTCGTGCCATCCAAAAATACATTCCATCATTCCAAGTGACTTATAAACCAGATTTTAGACAACAAATTGCAGACTCATGGCCAAAAGCATTTGAAGACTCTAATGCAAGAAACAAATGGGGATGGAAGGAAGAATATGATTTGGACAAGATGACCAGAGATATGATTATTCACTTGAGAGAAAAAATTGGATGTAAGGTTGAAGTGAGAGGACTTTAGAACAAGTTTTTCGAATTGTGCCATTATTTGGAAATAAAGAGGATATTTGCTTGTGCCTCCTCCTTATATTTACTTGATGATGCAGTCGAAACACGAATCTGTAAATGGCGACGTGTGTCATTGAGCATGGTGATGACCTGATTCAAACGAAGCATGAGATGAGATCCCTCTTATTCTTTTTGGAAATGCATTCCTGAGGTGTGAAAAACGATTGGTCTTTCCTAAAGAAATTGTTGCTTCTCGATTGACAGTCAGCAAATCACTTTTTTTACAACTTGACACATCAATCAACAAGCTTCTGTCGACCTGTCACTTGCCACCATCAAAATTACACACAAAAAAAATCCACACTCTCTTCTTTTCTTTACAACAAACACTAAAGAATGGTTAACAGTCCAAGACCAAACCAACTCTCCACCTCTGCGAGCGTTGTCTCTGTTGGTGTGCAAGGAGGATCAGGTCATCACGGTTACACTGAAGAAGAAACTGAAGCTTTCACGTAAGTATTAATCTTTGACAATCCTTTGTGGATTCATTCAACAATGATCATTTCGACAATTAAATCCAACACTCTCTTGATGATGACTAACATTCATCATGTTGATTGATCATGATGATGATGATGGTATTTGAATCATCTTGCCTCAACATGATAATGTTCCTCTCTCTCTCACTCACTCTGATCTGCCACTTGTGAAACAACCTTATATCATCCTCTTGTTTTTGATCATCAATTGATTTTTTGTGCTCGATGATGATCCATCTCTTCTACCATGATGATGATGATCACTCATTCCTCATGATGATCACTCACTCACTCAAACTCTCACATCATCACATTCTTTCACCACCTCATCACACAGTGATTACATCAACTCTACTCTCATGGACGATGAAGATCTCAAAGAAAAACTTCCAATTGCCAAGGATGGTCTCTTTGAAGCCTGCAAAGATGGTATTCTCATCAACAAACTCATCAACACTGCCGTTCCAGGTACTGTCGATGAAAGAGTCATCAACAAGAAGAAGAGTTTGAATCCTTGGGAACGAAATGAAAACCACGAATTGGCCATCAACTCTGCCAAGGCCATTGGTTGCCGTGTGGTGAATATTAGTCCTGCTTTCATTGAAGAAGGACGACCACACATTGTCTTGGGTCTTGTTTGGCAAATTATCAAGATTGGTTTGTTGGCAGATATTAACTTGAAGGTTCACCCTGAATTGGTTCGATTGTTGGGTGAAGGAGAATCTTTGAGTGATTTGTTAAAGATGAATCCAACGGATTTGTTGATTCGATGGGTGAATTATCACTTGAAGAATGCTGGTTCTGATCGTCGTATTCGTAACCTTGAAGGTGACATTAAGGACTCTGTGGCTTATACTTTGTTGTTGTCACAAATTTGTCCAAATGGTGAATGTTCAAAGGATCCATTGAATGAAAATGATTTGGAGAAGAGAGCTGAAAAGATGTTGCAACAAGCTGACAAGATTGGTTGTCGTAAATTCGTTCGTCCTAAAGATGTTGTCAACCACAATCCAAAACTCAATTTGGCTTTCGTTGCCAACTTGTTCAACAATTATCCTGCTTTGGAAAAAGTCAACTTGAACGACTATGCTGAATTGTTGAACTTTGATATGGAAGGTACAAGAGAAGAACGTGCTTTCAAGTTCTGGATTCAATCTTTGGACATTGATTGTAATCTCATTCCTGAGGACTTGAAGGACGGAGTGGTCTTGTTGAAGGTCTTTGATAAGGTCAAGCCAGGATGTGTCGAATGGAAGCGTGTTTCAAATCCACCAAAGAATCGTTATCAAGCCATTGAGAATACTAATTATTGCGTCGATTTGGCCAAACAATTCAAATTTAACACAGTCAACGTTGGAGGTACTGACATTGCCGATGGTAACAAGAAGATTATTTTGGGTTTGATTTGGCAATTGATGAGAAGATCCTTGTTGGACACTTTGAAGGCATTAGGTGGTGGTAAGGAGATTGAAGAGAAGGATATTGTTGCTTGGGCCAACTCTCGTGTCTCTGATGAGAAGCCAATCGATGGTTTGGATGATCGAACTTTGAGAACTGGTGTCTTTTTGTGCAAGTTGTGTTCTGCAATCAAACCAACTGCTTGTAATTTGGATTTGGTCACTCCAGGTGAGACCGATGAAGATGCCACTCAAAATGCCAAGTATGCCATCTCTGTGGCTCGTAAGATTGGTGCTACTGTCTTCTTGTTGTTTGAAGATATTTTGGAAGTGAAACCAAGAATGATCTTGTCCTTCCTTGCTTCCTTGATGAAGGTCGATAAGACTTTGAACAAGTAATCGATATATGATTCTAATGAAATATGGCCACCATTGTAGTGTTGAGAGTGTGTTGGTGGTGGTGGTGACGATCATATATTTTGTAATATTCTGAAAGAATTTATGTGTATGAACAATATCATGTTGCCAATAATAATATGTCAACAATATAAATGTTGATTTCGTTGTCAATTTAGTAATAATAAACTTGATGACGAGTCACACAATTGATAATTGAATCAAGAATTTTTGGTTTGTTTCATGAATGACGAAGGATTCTGTCAAATTTTTTTTGCAAACCACAACAGCGCTTCCGAAAATAAGGGAATTTCACACACAAGATGACCACCTCCGACTTCCTGGAATTGTCTTTTCCTTTCTTAAGGATCCAGTCATTCAATTCTCGCAAATGATGACATTTACTTTCGTCCCACTGAACAACCATGTGGATCCAATGATAGACATTACTTTCTGATCAATATCAACAACAACAACAACGCAAAGAGATTGTTCTCTTTCGAATGGAAATTTCGCTCTTTCTTTTGCATGATAGGTTTCAAGAGAAGCCCACCGTTGAATATTATGAACCCTCACCATGTGAAATTTCACACTCATACTCGCGCTTTCTCTGAGGATCTCGCTTTAGAGTTTTCACATCCTTATGTCATCATTCTCCACACAACGTTGATAAATCTCATCCGACAAATTCTCCTCTTTTATGAAAATCAGCGAGAGGAGAAGGTTGAAGGAGAGAACCAACAACCAACAACCACAACAACTTTTCAAGGAGGAAAACACACACCTCCCGAATCAAAAGAAAAAAAAATTTCTCCGAATTCATCTCTTCTGTTGTTCGCTGCAGTTGAACCACCAATCGTTTCATTTACACTCTCTAGATCTAAAAAACCATCCTCATTTCTAAAATGTCCCACTCACATCATAACGTTGGAATTGGAGTCAAGCTTGCAGCTGGTAGGTTGAATTTAGAATTGTTGGCCAATGATTGGAAATATATTGGATGATTGGAATGGATTGTTGTGTTGTTCATTTTGATTGAATCATCCTTGATGATGATGATGAATAGGAGGTTTTGCTGGAGTTACTGAAATTTTGGTCATGTATCCACGTAAGTTGTTGAGGATTTTGAGTTCATTTCATCATCATTAATTCTTTCCTGATATCATGATGACATCATCGTACTCGAACAAATGATGATGATGATTTACTTTCTATCATTCATCGAAATCTTCCGATGATTTTCTAAATTTTTACGTACTAATGGTTGTGTCCTTTTTTCCATTGTTTCTCTGTCCATTATGGACATTCATTATTTCATTGACCACTCTCACAGTCGATGTGGTCAAGACAAGAGCTCAACTCTATGCTGGTACTGGAAAGAATCCAAGCATTATTGGTACAGTGAGTGAAATTGTAAAGACCAATGGATTGAAATCCTTGTATCGTGGTATTTTACCACCTATTCTTATGGAAGGTGAGTGTTTGAGTTTTGTTTCACAAAACCGAGATGATGGAATGATCAATTCCGATTCCTTTTCGTATGATTTTATTTGTTGGATTTATTAACATCAACGATCGAACTGTCATCTTTCGATAAATTCTTCTTGAATGATGTGCATTGTTGAAATCATTCCTCACAGCTCCAAAACGTGCTGTGAAATTTGCTGCCAATGAATTTTTCAAGGATATTTTCATGGAAAAGGATACTAAGAAGCTTTCACAAGTGGGTGCTGCATTGAGCGGTTCTTGTGCTGGTATTACTGAGGCTTTTGTTGTCGTTCCTGTAAGTTTGGGTGTTGTTCTCTCGTGAACGATGAATATTTATTTATGAACTCGTATGAATGTTTAAATTTATCTTTCGAAATGCACGGTGTGAATATTGCTACTTGATATTTCACTCACGCTCGAATTATTCATCAAACTGAACCATATTGTTGGTAACTGACAACAAAATGTCACTTTGACAAACATGGTTCTCATTGGCGCACACATCATCACCACTTCAATTTTCATGAATACCAATTCAACACACTAAAAACAGTTCGAATTGGTCAAGATTCGTTTGCAAGCTAAGGAAAATCTCGGACTTTACAAGAATACTCAAGATGCCATTACCAAGATTTTGAAACAAGAAGGTGTGCTCACCTTATACACTGGTTTGGAAGCAACCATTTGGAGAAATGCCACATGGAATGGTGGTTACTTTGGTTTAATTCACGCTGTCAAGTCCAGAATGCCAGCAACCAATTCTGAAGGTCAACGTTTGTTCCAAGACTTTATTGCTGGATTCCTTTCAGGTACATTTGGTACCATGTTGAATACACCATTTGATGTGGTCAAGACTCGTATTCAAAATCAATTGCCTGGAACTGTTCACAAGTATAATTGGACTTTACCTGCCCTTGCGAAGGTTTATAATGAAGAAGGTGTTAAAGCATTGTATAAGGGATTCTGGCCAAAGGTTTTGCGATTGGGTCCTGGAGGTGGTATTTTGTTGGTTGTGTTTAACTTTGCAGTGAGATTTATGTCACCACAACCACAACATCATTAAGTGTATAATATGCACAGAATGTTAAATTTTAAATACATGTCATTGATTTTTGTTCAATTTGAAGGGAATTTATTTCAAAGTCGACTCGATCCTGGACTTCATGGAAGTATTAAGATTCTCTTCTAGTGGATTTTCAATGCATTGAATTTCGTGCATTTCCGTTTAGTTTCGAGCAAATGATCAAATATCGTTAGACGCCTCAGTGCCATGGTGTATCCAGAGTTGAGGTCAACAACTCTCTACACTCTCTCTCAATCCTTTACAACGCAATGATCAAGGTCAAAGCAATGGTACCAATACTCACAGTGGCAGTTGCAGCAGCAGCACCAGCCATATAGATCCATCTCTTAATCATGGCCCACTTTAATTTCTTTCCTCCCTTCACGAACAATTCACCTTGTCTCATCAATTCATCCGATTCAGCTATTAATTCATGCATCTTTTTATGATTCTCCAAAATCTTATCGACATTAATCATCATGACATTCTTCACTTCATCGACCTCGTGTTGCAATTTGGTAATTTTATCATTGTTGGGATCATTGTGAAATTTCATGAGTGGAGTCAAATTGATCATATTCTTTCTATTCGATTGTACATAGTCATGATAGCTCTGAGACATGGCATCAATCATCTTCCAGCAAACTCTATGTTTGACTTGATCTTGAGTCGAAATGACCACATAAAAGACATCACCCGTGCTCGAACGTTCCTTCTTAATGAAGAAGGTAAACATTTCATGAGTGAGAATGAGTTTATCATACGAGGAGAAGACTCGCACAGAGTGATTCATCATCTTGGGAATGATCTTTTGTTCAATGACTCGTCTCAAAGTCTTTTGGCATGATGTCTCTGAGATGACTTGTGTGGAGTAAATTTCATCTGAAGTGCTCTTGATGGCATATTCAGCAATTAATGCATAGGAAATGGTCATGGTTTGAGAATTCGTGATTCGTAGCGGTTCGGTGTGTTTGTTGTGTTCTTTTTATTGATGTGTTTTTTGAAAAAGAAATTGGTGGATTTTTAAAAGAGTCAACAATCTGCCATTTCTCTATTTTTAACTTTAAGGAGAACTTTGAAAACGCGACCAAGGAACATAATTCCAACGTGTTTCTCTGCATTTCCAAGTAAAGAAGAATCATCATGTTTGGATGATTCTATATGTTTTTGGCGACACAAGTGTGCCACACTGGTCAACAACAACTACTATTTCATCCTCGAGAATAATGTGATCTACAAAAGCGCCAAAAACAAAAAAGGTAAAAAAAATGAAAACCCATTTTCAGAACCCTCAACAGGCGTTGCATCACTCACAGCCTCATTCCAATGTCCATCATCATCATCACTCTCATCATGGAAGAAGGAAAAATTCTGTTGTATTCGCAACCGGATCGAATATTGATCAAATGTTGGGAGTGAGAGTTTATTCGTATTTGAATAAGAAGAAGAACGCGGAGGAGAAGTTGTTGAGCTCAAAAAAGCCTCCTTTGGAGCAGCGGAAGAGTTTTCTGCTTCAAAAAAGAGAAGAGTATTCGGAATCAAGTGAGGACGAGATGGATAGTGAGGATGATATGTTGTATGATGATGATAAAGAGGATTTGTTGTATGACGATTTCAGTAGTAACATCTGGGAAGATGATGCAACTGGCAGTCGTTTTGGTATGGGAGAAATTATTCACTCGTTTCGTCCCTGCGAGGCCGCAGATTATATTTCAGATCACTATCTTTATGAGAACGATTTTATTGAGGATCTTAATTTATGTTATGCGAGTACTTTCTTCATCACTCACCAAAAGCGAGTTTTCATGATTGGAAACAATTTTCTCGAGATTGGCAATGAAAAAACTCTAATAATTCCAGTAGAGGTCACATGGGATAGATGCCACGACTCCAACAAATTAAGGGAATTGTCTTGTGGCCATTTTCATGTTGTAATTTTGACAGAGAGGGGAGAAATTCTTGTAGGAGGCTCTAATACCTACGGCCAACTTGGCATTGGATCGCCCTCTCAAAACAACATTGATCATCAGCATGACAATGACCACACTAAAGATGAAGACAACAACGACGAAGATAGCCAAGAAGAAGGTGATGGAGATTCTGAAAATGAAAGTAACCACCAAACGATACCGCCAAAAAAAGAGTCACCATCAAAACCAGTCAATTCATTGAAGACTCTCAACTTTTTTTATTTGGAACTTAACGGTGACGTCGTAGAGTCAGTAGTGTGTGGCTCTTTCTTCACTGTATTCCTAACCAAGCTCCGAAAAGTGTACATTTGTGGACAAATAGGTTTTGAGGACTCAAACATGTTACGAGAACCAACACGAATCACATTCTTTGATAACAATCATTTACTCGTCAGTAAGATATTTTGTGGTTCCAACGATATTATTTTCCTCACAAACGACAATCAGGTGTATGGATTTTCCATGTTAGAACCTGAGACTGTGACTCAAAAACCCACACATCTCACACATATGGAATGCTTTTTGGATCAAAATCCAGGAACAAAGGTTGCATGTGGACTAGGTCATACACTCTTCCTGACACCGGATCACAAAATATTCTGTCTAGGAAGCAATGGCGAGGGGGAATGTTCTTTTCCATCAAAGATTGAAAGCGTTGATGTCATCACACACAACACGCTTATCGATTCTGTACTTGAAAAGAACGAGTTTGTCACCTCAGTAGCATGCGGATCGGCCATGTCCATTTTCACAACAAACATGGGCTCATTGATAGTTTGTGGAGACAATTCTGAGGGTCAACTAGGAATTGGACCTCAACCAAAATCGGTGTTCACGGCTACTAAGGTACGTGATCGTACCACTCCCTCCTTGCCTCACCATATTAAGGTCATTCCTGGTTATCACAACACCTTTACTTTGCATTTACCTGACACAATGTAGATGATATTTAATATAATTTATATTTGGAGTAAGAGTTGTTATTGAATTCTTACACAAGTAACACTCATGTTAATAGTTAATTCGTTCATAGTCCTTGATCTTCTTTGAATTTTGATCTTCAGATCGGTAAACAAACACAGCAATGCAAATGAAAGTCATACAGTAAAATCCAAAAACGAGAGAAGAGAATGGTAAATAGAATGGAGCATAACGAACTGCAAAAACTACATAATGAACACTATATCTCACAAGGCCAAACACATCACTATGTAAAAAGATCATTAATGCTGTGTAAATACTAGCAATGACAACTACAATAATGAATCTGGACACCACAGAACAACTGGTGGCTCTATCTAGCCAATTACCAGACAAGAATGGGAAATTGCATGTAATTGGGAACTTTGAGTGAGAAATCACACTAGTCATAATGGCCCAGAAAATGAAAAGAGCAACAGCAAATACCCAAGTAATAATGGACACAATCAAATCACCCATTTGTCTGTCTGCAACTCGAATACAGGCATTATTTTCATTGCTTCCCGTCATTTGATATTGCCAATAGCAATGGAAAACATCCAAAACTGGCTCTGCAGCTTCAGTATTTGTAAATAAGACATAGCCTTGCTTGTGTGCAGTATTGAATCCATATTGTGCTTTCCATCCGACATTGAGACCTGTCTTGAAGGCAGTTAATGAGCCATCACTGAGAGTCTCAACCAAAACTCCATAGCCTGTAGCTGTTGTGTACTTGAAGCCATCAATGTATTTGTCACCATTGAAAATGCTCTTGGTGTGACGTTGATCCAAAACAGCATTGCCGCTCTTATCAGCATTCAAACCAGCAATCACCAAGTTTGCATATTCTCTGGCACGACTGTATAAACCAAATGAAGATACAACTGAGTATCCCATTTCAGGAATGGCATAGAAATAACTTCCATAAGAGGAGCTGAAAATTCTATCATTTGAGATATCATTTGTGTCGTAGGTTGAAAGAATCATTCCAATAGGATTCAGCACATTTTCATTGATCCATTTGGTGAAATTTTGTCCAGTGACGTCTTCGATGAGTGTTTGTAAAACTGCATAATCAGCACCAATGCTTTGTCGACTCAAGGAAACGGTTCCAACCTTTGAAGTATCCACACGAATGTTTTGTCTTACTTTTTCAAGACTACGGCTATCGTCGAATGCAGGTTGCCCATAGAATGTTTCATATGAATTCAAATTAACCATTCCAGAAGTGTGTTGCAAGAGTTCCTTAATGTTTGTATCATTATGAATGTTTCCATTCAAATCTCGAATCTTGAAAGACTTGAGATAGAAATTAGCAGAATCAACAATGGAATTGATACGACCATCCATCAATAACTTCATAATACCGAAAGCAGTGACCGTTTCTCCGAGCTCAGCAACTGAAAGTAGAGTCGCAAAATTTTACACACACAAATATCGGAAATTGTTAAAAAATTCACAAAGACGTGTGAAGACATCACAAATTCATCGTCGTGTGTTGAAACATGATGATGATTACCATCTTGACGGTCCTTCTTATGAACACAACCTACCTTGGAATAGAGTAAAATTATCAACTGTGTTATTCACTTGGAAGTAAATATCTCGTTGACCAAACGCAAGCTCTCTCACTCGCCATGAAAGATCTGCTGATGGATCAGAAGTATTACTCTCTTGATCAATGAGCACCAATTGAGCTCCAGCCACTCCGTACTTCTTCAACAACTTGGGAAAGTGATCCAAAACATTTTTCTCAATAAACTCGGTCGAAAATTCAGTTCTATTCACTCTTTCAGAGATGCTCACATTCACTGGTTGCTGTTGTTGATTATAAATCCACTCAAAATCAGGAGAATAATTAAAAGGATTCATGTACACATTTTGAAACACCAACATGAACCACAACAATGGAATTGCAATCAAAAAGATGCTAAATAAAAAAGGAAGCGAACACGAGTCTTTCCATTTGCCTATAGAGCCAGCTTCACCTCGTTCATAAGCTGTGAGTTCAGCAGCAACAGGAGTAGAGGTTTCTTCTTCTTGTTGTTGTTCCTTAGCCAACTCCGATGATGCTTGATTCATGAATGAGGGAGGAGCCTTTCTTTCCAACATATTGTCATCGGCGGCATGAGGTGTGTTGCCAGCCATGGCGGAGAGAAGACTTGTTCTCTCCTCCTCGTGGTGAGAATGTTTCATTTTTTTTCGGGTTTTTTTGCGAAGGTTCTCCGTCTCCGTTCCGAATCTCGGAGAGACTAAGCAATTGAGGAGGACTCGAATTTTACAATGTTCAATCAGAGAGGAAAAGGTGTCTCTCCTCACCACCATCATAATGATGATGACGATACTTCTTTAAATATTTCAAACTCCATTTAATTATCCATATATTGTCCCAAAGATGACAAACGATAACAATTTTCATTCGGTTCGATTAGAAAAATTACAAAAAAATTAAAACTTTGTGATCCTGTTAACAATATTGAAAAATCATGAGCGCGTTTCATTGGAAATTATTGAAAGAGAGAACTTTCCATCCAACAGAAACTTTGAAAAAGACTGTTTTTACTGTGATTATGGTGAATGATGTTTATGAAATGCTTCCGTAGGTTGAGAGGAAATAGGCTTTGATCTTGTATTGAAATATTTCTATATTTATATATCATGATGGCGATGTTGTGTTTTAAATTGTGTTTATTATGACATGATCAATCGGCGGAATGGGAATTATGTTTTCATCATCGCATGGCAAACTTGAACTTGTTGTTGATCGAATGATGGCGATGGATAATGATCTTTGTGGGACTGAACAACTTCCGAACTCGCATTCAACATTGATCAAATGTTATCACATTCTTGAAAACAATTTAAAGAGATGACAATGGAGTTGGTGGATTGGCTGAATTGCAAACCATTATTGAAACTGAAAAGTACAAGGCCAGAAATTGTATTGCTACTTTGAATGGTGATTTTATGAGCGCATCGACATTGGCCACTCAATACAAGGTATGTGAAAATTGAATTCAATTAATTGTTGTTGTTGTTATTGGATCACAATCCATGATCGCGAATTTTAATCACTGCCTCTTTCCAATGTGAAAATTAAAATTTCACTGATTTATTGAACAAAAATACAGGGATATCACATGATTGATATTTTGAATCATGTTGACATTGACTATGTCACATTAGGTAAGTGAATCAAGACCATTTCTTCAACCTTGTTCAAATAATAATGAAATCCAAAGGTAATCACGAGTTTGATTTTGGTACTCCAAATGTCATTCAAAGAATTAAGGAAAGTAGATTCAAATGGGTTTGCGCCAATGTTGTGCAACCAGAGGACAACACCAAGGTTTTAACAGGTTTGGTTCGTAAGGTTGTTCACGAGTGTGATGGCTTCAAAATTGGTATCTTTGGTGTTTGTACCAAGACCACTGAGGTGTTGTCAAAACCGGGTGAGTTTTTTGATTCGTTCATAATATGCTTGTAGTAATAGTTTGGTTGGTTCATAATGATGAAAATGCTCTCGTTTTCATTCACATGATCATGTTCATGATGATGTTTCATCATTGATAAATTTTTACAGGCAAGGAGGCTGTCTTTCTTCCAAGTGTTGTGGTTGCAAAAGAATTAGTGAAGGAACTTCGTGAACAAGATGGTTGCGATGTTGTCATTGCCATGACTCATTTGACCATTGCTGATGACAGAGAATTGGCTAGATGTTGTCCAGGAATTAATCTCATCATTGGAGGACACGACCATTCTGTTCACACTCAAATGCAAGGTGATTGTTTCATTCACAAGGTATGTCACTTGAAGTGATTATTTCCACATATATGACTTGATGCTTTTTGAAACAAATTTTAGGCAGGTCATGACGCTCAATATGTTTCAAGATTGGATATTTCAATTGAGAAAAAGCAAACAATTATCAATGGAGAGAAGTTTCAACAGGTATGTGTGGAAAATTAACTTTTCGAGTGTGGATTCATTAGTTGTCACCAACACCTATTACACACACGAATATGAAAAATTTATTATTTTTAATATGTAACAACTATTTCCAATGTTGTGGTTTTTACAATTGAATTATTATTATTCTAATGAAACATATTGCTGTACAGGTGAAAGTCTTCCCTAGCTGCAATATGATTGTAAATCGTGGTTTTAAACCAAATCCTAAAGTATCAGAAGTTATTCAACATTATATGAATCAACTTCCAGAAGGAATTACTGAACAAATTGGTATTACAACAACGTATGTGCAAAATATTGAGAGTTGTGCTCTTTTCTTTAACAATTCTAAACAATGAACATCTTGATTCTTTACTTTAACCATTAATTCTAATTGTTAATATTCAAATGAATGTTAATTACCAACAGAAAATTGGACTCCTCAACTGAAAGTGTCAGATCTAAGGAAACAACATTTGCAAACTTTGTTGCTGATATTTTCAAAGACACATTTAATGCTGAAATTGCTATTATCAAGTATGTACTAAGAAAGAAGATTGTTATTGGTCTAGGTTCATCCTCTACTATTCATTTGAATTTTTTCTCAATCATTATAATCCTTATTATTATTCTCATCCAACAGTGGTGGAGGAATCAGAGGGGATCGTTTCTACGACGACAATAAGAGAATTACGAGACTCGACATGCTCAAAGAATTTCCCTTTCAGAACTTTCTCACTCTTTCAGAAATTAAAGGAAGTGACCTTTTGGAATTGGTCGAACAGGGTGTCGCCAAAGCAGAGAATTGCATTGGAGCGTTCCTTCACTTCTCTCAAGGAGTTTCCATCCAATACGACAGCACTAAACCTCCCATGAGTCGAGTTGTGAAAATGACACTCAATGATGACTATCTTGATCCTGAGAGAATGTATTCATTGGCCTCTGTGACTTACTTGTTGCAAGGAGGTGATGGTTTGTCAGCAGCTAAAAAGGCAGTCATTAAGCAACATCCCAACAATAACAAGTCTGTCTATGATGCTGTATGTGAATGGATTGAATTGAACCGAAAAATTGGAGGTAAAAAAGAGGGAAGAATTTTTGACATTTCGAAGAGAAATGCACCCATGAGCTTGAACTTTTAAATTGGTCAAAGTAATAATTATTAAATGCTTGTGTGATTCTGTTGTAATTCTGTTGCATTTCTGTTGCATTTCTGTTGCATCTCATGCTGAAGATCTAGCCCTCTCCATCCATCAGTGTGCATAATGCACCACAATGGATACGATCGGTGGTTGAATAACCAGCGGATTCTCCTTCTTGTTCCAAAGTGATGTTTGGTGAGAGTTTTGTAAAATCAAATTACAATTTGCGAGGGACTAGAAACCAGAAAAAAAATGACTCAAGGAATTGATCTCAATGAGGCTGATGTTGTACAAGATCCATCGCCATCGCCGTCCTCTCCAAGCGGAACGAGTATTGATATGGTTACGAATACAACTACTACAACTACAACTACAGACTGCAACAACAAAAAAAGAATTAAGGCCGTCTTGTTTGGATTGGACGGCTTGATCCGAAATATCAATGAGATTAATTTCCGAGTTTGGAGTAGTATTTTGACAGATTACGGTTATGATTTGAGTTTTCAAGAATACTTGCAAATATTTCTCTTCCTTCATGAGATGTTTGTCTTGTTCCAACTCTTACCATACAGCACGGTGGATGAACATTTGGAAATTGCTAAAAGAAAGCAAAAAGAATTTGTCAAGTTCATTACGAGTGAGGATCTAGTCTTATCGACTGGATCCGTTTCAGGTATTGAACAATTACTTGAATCGATCAAGAAACATAATGAATCACTTTCAAAAGATGAAGATAAGATTGTGGTTGGAGTGGTATCTGACTTGTCTAACATGGAAACGAAATGCTTATTGGAAAAGCTAAACATTTTTGATCACTTTGATGTGGTGCTATCAAGTTATGGACTAAAGAGACCAAAACCTGATCCGTCGATTTACAGAGTCGCTCTCGAACAATTACAGGTCGATCCTGACGAATGCATAGTTTTTGAAGGAACTACACAAGGTTGTCTTGCCTCCATGCGAGCACTTCAAAATTCCAACGTGATTGGAGTGAACTGCAATGATATTTCAAATGAAATTGATTCGCAAGAAATGTTTGAAAATGGAGTGAAAACTATAATAGATAATTTTGAAGGTCTCGAATTGTGTCACCTTGAATTGATGATTGAATGTCATGACAAATAGCATTATGTAAATAAAAAGTTGAAAATAAATTTATGTCACTCTTTGAACACAAAATACTGTCCCTTTTTGGAAAAGTGTTGACATTCCATCACTCTGATTATTTAGTCGCGAAAACGTCCTGTCTCTAGATAACTCAGTGAATATAAATTTTTCATTACATTTCAATTAATAATTTGAAACTTTCATCTTCTTCTAAAAAGAAGAGTAGGGTTCTTCTTTTTAAACATTTCCAATCCCTCCATAAATTTCTCAACATTCAATCCATCCTCACAATGCACACATGACACTCCCATCTCCCCAACTTCATCGATATTCCTCCTCTCGTCATCATAAAATATCATTCGTTGATAGACGTGAGAGTAAATGTTGGGGTTCAACCTCTTCTCCATCACCACAGCCACATCATCTTGCATCAGTTTCTCAGCAAAGTGTTTGAAATGTTTCTTCTTGGAGCCAGGATATATTTGAATGTAATCAAACCAAGAATGAATTTTGAGAGTGTGTAACAATTCGGTGGCCCACTCAATCTCTTCGGTTCTACTTGCAATCCCGAGTCGAATTTTGAGATCTTGTTGTTGATCGTTCGGAATGGAATTGTTAAATTCTTGAAATTTGACATTTGAATGATGATGATTTGGAAAATGAATTCCGATGGGTTATGAAATAATTCGATTTGAATAGGATCCTTCACAAACATATTGAGCACTTACATTAATTTGGGATCGTTTGGCCCGAGAGAGGTGAGCTCGTTCCAAATCATGTCGCGTACTTGTTGTGAATGAAATGAATTCATTTTTTGTTGCTGCTGAAAATGGTAGAGAAATGGAATAAATTGCAATACAATAATTTACTACTGATACCACAAGTGAATTAACCTTGTGTCATATCTGACATAAAACTCAGCAAATCCTAGAGGTGTACATTCCAATTTTCCTTCCTCTTTCAACAATTAAAACCCATTTCCTCTCGATAGGCTTGCTCTTCCTCAATGGTAAAATGATCCTCAGTCCAATTCGATGACGAAGTACGTTGTCTGAATCGAGTTACTACAGCTTCGTTCGTGGAGCCTGCAAAAATCTCTTCAAGGTCACAAGTTTTCGTCACAGAGAAAATCTTATCGGGATCCACACGAAGATTTCTTCTCAAGTTACGTCGAAGATTGTCACCTTGAGCCCATGAAGGTATTTTCTTGGTTTGTCTTCTCTTTCTTGCTTCTTCCTCATCTTCAGAGCTGTCATACTCATCACTAAGGGCATAGGATGAATATCGTTGTTGCTGTTGCTCCATTTGAGATTGTTGCAATAATGGGATGGAGGATGTAGAGACAGAATTTGGTGTTGGTTTCTTAGTGTTGGCAGAGTTATTGCTTGTTTGCAATAATGGTTGGGAGGTATGTTTGAGAATGAGTCCTGCAGGTCTTTTAGGAGGTTGTGGTGCCTGTTGTTGTGATTGACAGGATGTTTGGCTTGAGGATGTTGCAGTGGAAGAAGAGTTACTGGTACGCAGTGTCGTTCCTTCTACATGAGCTGCCTTTCCTGAAGACCCAACAGAAGGTATATTCTTATTGGAGAGTTGTCGTTGTTTCTTGGTCTGCTCCTCTTCTTGTTCCTTCTTTTTCTTTTGTGCGGCGAGTTGTTTTTCGAGTTTCTCCTTTTTGAGATTCTTCTTTTCTTCTTCTCTCTTCTTGGCCAACTCTGCCTGTTTCAAACTGTTAATATTGTGTTTCTTAGATGCATGATTGCTACTACTAGATGTCTTTTTCTGTGTTGCCTTAAATACAAATGATTTCACACCAGTGAAAATGTTTGAGACGAAACTTCCTGCATGATTGGAGGATGCACTCACATAGCTAGCGGTACTGCTCACGGACGAAATGGAAGTAATCGAAGCCACAGAGAGTCTATTTCCATCACTGAGTTTGACACGTTTCAAATCATTACTATCTGATGAAATTTTAGATTGGAATTTTCTCTTGTGGTCATGCCCATCATGTTCATCCACATCAATAATATTGATCGAGTCTTTCTTAGAGAAGATCTCCATGGCATCCTCTGCAAGTGTTGTTGCGGTGATATTTGGTGGATTGAGTGAACTAGAAGTGTTTGTTGTTGATGTCAAAGGTGTAGTGTCGACATCTTGCATTGCATTCACAACGGCACTGATAGGTACTGGTCCGTCTGGTATCAACATCTTGTATTTGCCATGTTGTGAAACAGTTGGAGGTTCTCTGAGTACCGATGGCGGTGGAGTTCTTCGTTCAGTATTACTGTTATGGAGAGGAGTCATGGATTCTTCCATTTGAGATGAAGTGGGCAATTCTGGTGCAGCTCCGCTAGCAGCAGATGCATCATGACTTGTTGCTAAAGAAAACAAGTCTCGGCTCTTTGCTTCTTTCACTGGAGTCTCGAATTGTTGTTGTTGATGCATGGATTCAAATGGTGGAGGAGACAATTGAACTTCTCCAGGAGATGGCAAGAACTGTTCAACCTTCTTGTTATGAATGGAGAGTTGTCCAAGTTTTTCCATAGCTCCAACGACAGCAGTTGGAGTGGCAGGTTCAGGAATTGGTTCCGTAGTTGAAGGTTCAGTGACATTTCCGACAGAACTGAGGGGCATTTCACAGACCAAAGGTCTGTTCATTTCAGTCACCTCAGGACGATCGAGGGAAGTATGATAGGATGATTGTGGTGACTCGATGGATTTCAGTGAACTAATCTTCTCTTGCAATGATTTCAACAGATCGGTCGAAGTTGTTGTGGAACTAAAAGCAAACTTGGAGAAGAGATTTTGTGCATCACAAATCAAGTCCTCTGTGGAGTCTGGAATTTTAGGTGGATGTGAAGACGGCACCAGTTCAGAAATGGTTGGCCTATTCTCTGTACTGTTGTTATTGTTAGATTTAGCAAGTGGTGGTGAGGCAAAATTAATCTTGACACAAACATCCTTCTCATTGTCCTCAAACAAGTCACTCATCTCAGAATCAGAAGGAACACTCAAACAAAGCACGCTATCATCGGTCAAGTTACCATCCAACTCGCTACAGTTCTTCTCGAATGTGGAACGTATAAAAGGTTGTGATTGCCCGACTGGAGATACTGGCTCTTGTTTTACAATTACCATTGAGGAAGGATTCATCATAGAAGATACAGCATTTTGAGTATTGCTCGAACAAGAGTTGTTAAATGTTGGGAAAATAATTTCAGGTCTCAAAACATCGGCAGAAACAGGAGTAGGTTCTTCAGTGGTGTCATTCATCATCTTGTCACAATTTTCGAATAAGGAGAGATGTGAAATTTGTTCAGTCACATTTGTCTCACCCGAGTCGTTCGTTAAATCAATCACCAAATTTGAAGCCCGATTGGTTGATACAACATTATCAGAATGATGATTTGGTGTCTTTGGTTTTCTTCTCACCTGTCTCTTTTGTTTTTTCTCAACCACAACCTCTTCTTCATTATCGCTCAATTCTTCTTGCTTCACTTGGATGTTCAACGATGGAAGAGAGCTGGCACATGATGGCTTCCTTTCATGGTTCACAGATTGCTCATGATGCACTGGGTTTTGCGTTTGAGGAGGTTTGTCAGTTGCTGCCTCTACCTTGTCCACTGGAATGTGTTCAGAAGAAGCGTCATCATGAGCCTTTATCGTTTCCTTAGACATCAAGGATTGCGAGAGACACTTGGGGGAAGTACTCGTCGTTCCTGCAATAATTAAATGTTCGGATTTTTCACTGTCAGAGTCGGTCGACAAGGATTCCACTGTATGAATCATGTCCAAGTCGTCCGAGAGTCCAGATTTTCGTCCCTGTGCATCGCCATCTCTTTGTGGATCCAATGATCTAGCAGCTGCACCACTATCAAGGACTGGTTCAATAGGAGTCATATCCTTTTCGAGATCAAGTGCAGGAAGAGGAGACAATAAATCTCTCTCCAATTCTGTATTGTCAATGATCATTGGAATTGGACTTTGTTGAGGAGAGGTCAACTCATTCTTTGAGGTTGGAATCATCTGACGTTGTTGAGAATTCATAGCAGAGAATTTCTTCTTCCTTCCACCACCACTCGTGCTTCCTTTAGGAGATTGAAACGATCTAAAGGAAGAGGGCGATGAATGAACTGATCCTTGTTGTTGTTGAATATTATTCATACTATGATTGCGATGATTATTATTACTAATGTTTTGTTCTTGGTCAATGTTTCTTGTAGCGAGAGGAGTCGTGGGCTTTCTCATGAGTGGAGATGGCACCATCATCATATTCGGAGAGGATTTATGGAGAGGTAAATGTGAGTGATAGACTCCAACAGGAGGAGTCCTGAGAGGTGTCTTTTTCTTTCCGCTATGGTTAAAGTGGAAAGGAGTCTTCTTACCACTATTGGGAAGACAATTGAAGCCTTTAAAAGAAGGAGTTACAAAACAAAGAGAGGAGGAGTTGGTAATTTGATCTTTGATAAAGTTGGCACGTTTGTTCAAATCCATAAAGTATAGATCAAACCTTGTGTTCATTTCATTTACAAGTTCAGAGTATCTTTCTTCGTTTACTCTAAGAATGTCAGACAAACGAATAGGTTTTGCCTCTACTGATGATGATGAAGAGAAAGAAGAGGGAGGACATTGGAGCTGACATGAATGTTGTGGTGGTGGTGGTGCTTGTCATTGTAGAAGACATGAGAAGGAGTTGTTGTGTGGTGTGATGTGGAAGGAGAAAATCGGGGATGTGTGCCGAGGGAAGTTGGACGAATCGTGTGTGGTGTGGTAATTAGTGATTTTTTAATTGTTTTGATTTTTAAATGCGAAACGGTTATATTTTTGAAAGTTGAATTTTGGCGCCAACCATTATTTAAGGATAGAACAGCTGTACATCTAATTTTTAGAATTGATTCGATCTACCATAAGAAAACATATTACTGCATCGATTGGGGGCTTGGACTGTTTGGAGAAGAGTTGAATGATGGTGTCTGAGACTGAGTGGTATACTCTGCACATGTGAAATGGTCCAGTCGAGAGTATCCAATGAAATTTGCTCCCAAGCATGCATCAGAACTCAAGCTGGACATCCATGAATTACATTCAAGCTTGGGATTTTTCAATTTAGTTTTCCATGTTGCATTATTAAGCGTGGTAGAATAGGGTGTGACAAACTCATATTGTGTAAACATGGGACCATAAAACTTGAGCCCTGACTCGTGATCGACATACTCCAGCAGTTGGCAGGCACCCACTGCTTCCCAAAGAATCGCTCCATTGTCAACATCTGGATACCTGTGAATGTCGATAACAATTGGTTTGAAACGACCTGCATCGTCACGCTTGAAAAAGAGGTTTGGATACCATCCAAAAACCTTATAATTTTGAGAGGTAGTGGCGTCTCCAAAAGTTTGCCTCAAACTTTCAGGTCTTTGATTAATATTGAGAGTGTCTTTTTCTGCGAAAATAATATTTGAGAGGAAGGCGGTTTCTTGTTGCGAGAGTGATTGATTTTGGCACTGCTTTTGGTGAATATTCATGAGTGTTTGAATGGTCTTGATGAAATTATCATAAAATAGGGTAGCCTCTTCGCTAATAGGCATTTTGCTGAACATTTCGTCACTTTTCAGAAGATCATGCAAGAACCGTAACAATGAAAGAAACTTGTTGAAAAATTGCACATTTCCGTCAACTAAAAACTGAATGTTCTTAAACTCAGAAGCCTCAGTATCAATATCAAAGACTTCCTTGAGTAGCATGGGTTCAATATCTGTCTCAATGTGCTGTTTAGCAAAAAGTGAGCTGTCATACTTTAAATGGGAATATGATGCAAACTGAGTGATTGGAGTTTTGAATTCATAGTTTTGGCACGAAGAAAACAAATCGTCGGATGTGAACGAGCTGAGTGACTGAATGGTTTGGAGCCACAAGTTATGGATGCTCGAAGGCATCATGCAGGATTCTAATTGTTGCAGGGAACTTCGCAACTCTCTTAATTTCGGTAATACCACATCAAAATAAGGATCTGTGTTTCGAATGAAATTCTCTGCCACGTTTTCAGCTCCAAATATTGCATATGCAAGGTCTAACACAGTTGGAATTATTCGTGGAAGTAGTCTTGTTCCTTCAGAATCAGATAACCTATCAAAAGTGACATTTGAAAATATAAAAGAATCTACAGTGAACTTTTGGCCAAATAAGCAAAAAGTAAAACTTTCTTCATATCCAATTCCGTCCTGAGTTGATTTTAGAGTTGAATTGGCAATATAATTCAATCCTAATTTTTTGTTGAGAGCGTAATTTTGCATTTCTCGGACAACCTTCTCTCCATCAGGTAAAGTTAGTGTTGTATAGAGTTTGTCACCAAGCTTGTTAAGACTAATCTCGTTCTGTTCCAGACCAAAATAATCAAATAAAAATCTGGTTATTCCTTCACAATTTACAGAGTCTGCTGGACCAATCATGGTTGTAAAACAATGTTCAATTTGCGTATATTCCTTATCGAGGGAATTTGACTCGCATATGAGAAGCCATAACAACAGCATTAATGTAAATTGTCTCAAGTTTGTAAGGTCAAGATGGGTGTTTCCACACCAACTAATAAGCTTGAAATAATTATTCATATAATCTCGAATGTAGTACCAATTTGGTTGATAACGCTTAAATTCGAAAAACCTTTTTTCACCGAATATTGTAAAGAGACAACATGATGAGCTAAACTCACTCCCCGAACGCCTATGAATGAGATCAAACAAATATTGAACATCGTGAGCATTAGAGGGAAAAAATACTTGTTCAACCTTGTCAACAATAAGGGAAAAGGAGAGTGTGATATAAAAATCTAGATCTACCAATCCTTGCTCCAAGAGACCTAATGGTCTAAATTCATTGGACGGTATTAATTCATTGGAGTGAGAGTTTTGTATTTGATACGCTGAAAATCGGTGCGGTATAAAGGTATGTTTCATCAACTCATATAGATTGGCAAAGAGTCGTTTGCTTTTCGGAAATAATATTTGCACTTCAATCGACTCTAAAATTGATTTGTAACTGTAGTGGAAGGCATGAAGTAAGGAATCTGTGGTAATCATCACATGATGATTGTACAAGTCTTTTTCTAATTGTTCTGTCCTAAATCGCTTAAGCAATCGGTAATACATTTCTCCGAAGGATCCGGTCATGTTTGAATAGGAACAACATGATGATCTAAACGACTGTGATGGAGAGGCCTCATTTGTGTTGTTGTTTATCGTTTGATGATGTACAGACGAGGAGTCTTGCTGTTGAGAACCATTTGGTTGTTGCATTTTTGTTTGTGGTTCGAGCCCTTAAAAAATACCGCAAGATGAACATCAGAATTGACTCTTGCATGCTCCACAGCCTGGAAAGACGTTTGGAAAGAATTGAACAACAAGCGAATTAGATTTCAGCTACCCTCAAACAATTAAACGCCAAACTTAATGAATATATACGAAATGAAAAGAACAGAAATTGTGAAGAAAAGGCACGGAAGCCATTAGATCATTCGCATCACTTGTTACAATCTTTACAACATCATCTATGTGACGCAATCACCTTTAGAGAAAATCCATCAGTTGAGAAAACTAACGATCCACCAGTTGAGAAAGATGAGAATACATTATCAACATTGAATCAACCAACTCCATCAAAACAAGAAAAAGAATACAAGCCAAAGAACAAACCTCGCAAAACAAGAAGGACCACACAAGCTAAAAAACAATCATCCACCGACAAAGCCAAGCCAAAAAGAAAAAACAAAGCAAAAGAACAAACTTCACAATCATACTAATCATGGACAAAAAGGCAAGATACTATATTTGTATTATGATGATCAGTGCTATCAACAATTCGATAAGAAACGTGTAATGAATGTAAGAACAAGAAAGAAGCATCTCACCTTATATTGGATCCAAGACTGCTCTCCGCCCTTCAACATTATTAATTGTTGTGACTTAGAACTTTGAAGACAATGCTGGTAATCGATACATATCATTATTAACATATCATATCCATCAACACTATATATACCTATTCATGACCTTTTTACAATAATTGACGACTCAACCTTACAAACCAACGAAACCATATGCATTAACAGACAAAACACTGCTTTATTTTTGCCTTCTGTTTGAATCATGGACTCAACCCATGTTAACAGTTGCTCAACACAAGCATGTAATCTGTTAATATTTGATATATCCTGTTAAAAACATTCGACATTCAGAAGTAGTATCTAAACGAAAATGAAGTCCAATGTTGTTTTATGACAAGTATTGAGGCACCGAAGGGCCAATAAACAATATTTAATTTTTGTTTCTGGTTGGTTTGGTTGTACTTGTAAATATTACTACTTTTGAAACGTATCGAATATGGAAAAAATCGAGATCGCTTGTCAACATATGATGATGATGTGTTAAATCATGTGTATTGATAATTTCTGATCGATTGGCTGTCTACACACTGGGCATTGATTCACAGAATTGGAACAACTTTCACACGTGCACAAATGACGACAGGAAGGAACAAGATCTTTTTCTTCTCAACCAAACAAATGGTGCATAGTACCTCCTCCGAGGCTCTCTCTCTAATTGAAGATCATGAATATGTTTGAGATTTGATTCCATCTGAGTTTTCATGTTTTGCAATGTTGTGAGTGGAAGGAGTGACAGTTCGTCTTTGCTGATCTGAACTCTCTTTTCTGGGTGCTGAGCTTCTTCCACAAGAGTCTTTTTGAGTTTTTCAAGTTCTTGTATTTGCTCGTTGTGCTGTTTTTCATGTTTTTGAAGAGAGTCTTTCAAGGTGAAATTTGCAATTTGCAATTGCTCTTTTTCCTTCTTCAAAGTTTGTACCTGTTGGTAGAGTGCACTGTTTGCGGAATTCTTTGTTTTGATTGTGCTTATGAGCTTTGTGAAATCTTGTTGAAATTGTAATATCAAATTTTGATCCTCCTTCGTCATGTGGCCCTCATGATCAAGATTTGAAACTTCAGCTGAGAGGCCAGTTTGATGAGAAGCTGACATCACTTTGGAACTGGATGAGGCTACTGAGACATCTTCTAAATGACCATCTGTTAAAGAGCTACTTGTGCAAAGCTTTCTATCCTGTTTCTCTGGTAAGAAATGAAAAACGTCTCGCGACAAGTATCGAAAATATTGTGGCTCTGTCACTACTTGAAACGATGAGACCTCTGTATTGGTTGAAATAGAGGCCCACAAATTCATAAACTTGTTAAATGGCCTCTTTGACGAATGTGGGCAGAATTGTCCATTCTTTGCAAAGTATACCTCATTGTTATACCACAATAAGCTCACACAATCTCCTTTTTCAAACTTTACGAATATTTTCTGGCTGTATCCAGATCCGTGTGAGTCATAAATTATGCCATCGTCCGCATGATAACCGATCGAATGTTTGTCCCATCCAACCATTCCTTGTTCTTCAAAATAGGGTGGAGCTAGTCCAAATCCAAACACTGGATGATCCGTAGGACAATCTAAAATTCTAACTTCATAATAAAATAGGAAATTACAATTGTTTTGAAAAGGTGCAGAATAGATGGTGGCACTTGATGAATGCGTGTTGATCAGGTGATGATCTAGGCAGTCAGTGCTTTCCGAAATCCACTGTATTGGATACAGAGGAAATTGAAGTAAATATCTGGACTTGACATCTTTAAGAGAAAAGTTATTAATGATTTTCCACACCGATCCTTCTTTCTCGGAAGATGATAAATCATCATCAGCATGGCGATCCAAGCCATAAGAGTGGAACATTTTTTTCTCTTGATCGCGCTTTCTCACCTTTACAAAAGCAAACCTTTATTGAAATCAAACTTTTGAACAATTGCAACGAATCGAGAATGCTGTTCAGCAAGCTTCGTTCAACAGTGGAAGCCATAGGAAAGGACCCAACGCATAAGGTGCTCAGAAATATATTCTATTTGTTGTAAGGAATCGAAGAAGAATATTTCTTGCAGTCTCACTGTTCTTTCTTAGTTTCAAACGAAGGAAGTAAGACGCCCTTGCTGTTTCTTCAAAGCAGAGTTTCTTGTGCAAATTATTGACAAGATAGAATTCTTCTTCCAGCTTGGGTATCACCAGAGCCCATTTGGCGGCCATACAATTTGAGGCCAAAAACACCTCAAGATTAAAATGGATATTCTAAAGTTTGTCCTCCTATTTCTTCGCATTCGCACAAACACAGGAGCCCCTGTTTCAACCCAAATTCGAATGCTCAAGTTTTAACTCGATCATAATCTCTTTTCGTTTGGCACGAAATTGTGCTGCGTGCGCATTTTCAAGCTTCTCTTGGGAAAGAGAAAGAATTTTCCTGAATCATTCGAAAATGCAAAATCAAAAAAATTATCCAGTTGCAATACTCTCATCGATTCTCATTCTCATCATGATCAACAATAGCACCACGAGTAATGCCCTCCGACAAGCCTTGTGTGTTGGAGGAACCTCAGGCATTGGCAGAGGAATGGCCATGAAATTCGCCCAAGAAAAGATCAATGTGGTCATTATGGGACGAAATGAAAAGGTCGGAAAGGAAATTGTTTCGGAAATGAAACAATTGAATCCCGAAGGAACGTATGAAATGATGGTCTGTGACGCCTCCTCAATGAAGGAAATTGTGAAAGCGTGTGAGGAATTTAAAAAGAAGCACTCACGATTGGATTATGTCGTTCTCTCTCAAGGTATTGCCACTACCGAAGGAAGGAAGGAAACGCCAGAAGGCATTGATACCAAATTAGCACTTCATTACTATGGAAGAGTTATGTTTATCAAACAATTGAACGACTTGCTCAGAGAAACTTCGAAACATACGGATGTGAGAGTATTAAATGTGTTCAGCGCTGGTGTTCATAAAGCTTACACCAATGTGAATGATTTAGAATTGAAAAACGATTATTCCTTGCTAAATGCAGCAAATGCTGCTGGTTTTTATAATGATTTGGCAATGGATCAATTTTCAAGAGAACCAGGAAATGAAAATATTTCCTTCATTCATGCTGCACCAGGTAAGTCAATTGACAACCAGGTTGTCGATGACATTTGTCCAATTTGATTTTCCAAATATTCCAATACGTTTATGAAAATTATCATTTTGATGTACCACAACATGAAGGATTTGTGGCAACCAACTGGGGAACAGAATTACCAACACTTCTTCGATGGGGTACACGATTCGCTCAATTATTTGCATCCTCAACAGAGACATGTGCTGAAAACATGATGAAGGGATTGACAAGCGATGCAATGAGAAGAGGATTTCACCTGATGAATCCAAAGGGAGAGGAAATTGGGAAAGTCACTTCTTCACATAATGACGTTTTCAGACAAGCTGTTTGGAAGCATACCAACGAATTGTTGAATCAGGCACTCTCAAAATAATCATTCCTGTTCTGTTTCAACAATTTCAGGCTGTAAAAATTTATATGCTGTTAGTATTCAGATAAACTATAAATATTCATTGCTAAAACCTCCTTTTCTTTGGATACTTTCCTTCTTGAATGGAAAATGGTGGAAGAATTGAATGCAGAATTCCTGCTTCCCAAAATCAAAATCTCAAAAGAATTTTTCACTCCAAAGAATTCCATGAACCAGAAAAATGAATTTTTTTTTAGAATTTCAACAAAAAATGCAGCCTTTCCGTCCTGTCAATCCACCATCTACACTCATTCCACCACAACAACCACAACAACAACCACAACAACAACCACAACAACCATCCTTGCAACAACAACCCATCAATCCGCCGCTGGTATCAAATCCATTCGGTATACCACTCCAACAACCATCTTTGCAACAACAACAACCTACTTTCAAGCTTCAGACTCTCGGAGAGCTCGTAGAGATCAATGTAGGTGGACGTAAATATTCAACCACATTGAGAATTTTGAGATCTATTCCTCTCTTCAATAAATTAAAATCCATTCCAACATTGCAAACAAGAATACCACCATCAGCATCATCAGGAATATTTCAACAATCCTCAATGCAACGACAACATCCTATCCATCCAACAGAATTTAATGAGGAATATTTGAGCCATGATTCCGAAGGCAATCTTTTTGTAGATTTGAATGGAGAATTATTTGAGAGTATTTTGGATTGGCTCAGATATCAAAAGGTTCCTGATCTCTCCATTAGTCATCTCAATGTTAAGCAATTATTGAGATTGAAGAGTGAAGCTCTTTTTTATGGTGTGCAAGACTTGTCGCAAGCTTGTGCAGAACGTTTAGAAGAGTTGGGACAAGGAGTTATTGGAAAATCAACATTGGGAGTCAGTCCTCTATTGCCTACATTACCTCAAACTTCTCGAATTGATGCAAAACCTTCCTCTCGTTTTGAGCTCCTTAAACTACAAATGAAGAATACGAACCAGAGTTTGATTGCTGTACAAGCAGGAAGCGGTGATTTTCATATGATTCCTGATGCCCGAGTGGAGTTTGAATTGCCCTATGAAGGTCACATCCTTATTGAATATTCGATTGCAGACTCATGCGGTGATTATGTGCTTTGCATTGACGCAGTCGACCAGAAAAAGCCATCCTGCACTCTCAGGAATTCTCTTTCAGGAGCTCTCTGAAGTCAAGATTATCAAATTCGATTATGCCATGACGCAGTCTTTGAGTTTTGTCTCTCCCACTCCGTTGAAGGTGGGAACCCATGTGATTGAACTCAAGTGGAGATCTTATTTTAAGACCGCCTACAATGTACAAGGACCTTGTATTGCCAAGCTTTATTATGTACATCCAAGTATTGTGCAAATAAAGGAGTAACCGGGCGATGGGTTCTCGTGGATGTGCTTGTTCAAAGACAAGGTTAGCGAGATGTTGGCAAAGATATTCCAAGATTTTTTCTTGCGAGAAGAAGAACAAGTACGACACCAACGAAAGAAAATGGGTCACAGAATATCCTCAACAGATGATGAGTTTCAAAATGTTGAATAATATCTCTAATTTCAATAAACTAATAATATGTATTTATCGATGTATTGATTTCTACAAAAAGAGCTCTGTGATGGTGAGAGGAAATGAGAGGAGGAACAAGTGGAAAACAATGAAATGTCGTTGAGAAGGAATATTCCGAGAGAGAAAGTACGAATTGTCATTCATGATTATTCTCTCTTCTTCTTAAAGTAAAGACCGACCGTTACGCCCACTCCCAACAAAACAAAGAGGAAGTAGAGACCGGCGGCAATGAAAAATCCTTGAGCTTTCTCGTATCTCGTTTCATAAACGTGATCGTTCACTCCTTTAGAGAATGGATAAGCACTCACAATAATGAGAATACCCAAATAAAGAAGAATAAACATGCTGATTAATGAGTAAACTGCACAGCAGGAGCAGCATCCCATAAAGACAGTCTTGTTACAAATGCCCATTTTTTTATGATGATTCCAAATAAAAAATAAAACAAATTTTTATTATTATTTTTAAAATCCTGATTTGGAAGTGGGCAAACGTTTGTGTTTTTCATGAATCGTCATGCTACAAAATTCGGATATACATACGGATCATCTTTTCTAGATTTCGTTTCAAATGATGCATATTATACACCAACAATACCATCATCAATAATTCAATCAAATAATATTATTCGTCATATGAACAAAATACATTCAACAACAAGATAAAAAAATGGACGGAGTGATTGAATCAAAGGAACACTTGTGCTATCCGGTCATCCATGAAGACCCTAGTATCAGTCAAATCATGAAATACACAAGACCAAAAGAATTGGGATATTCTGCTTTGTGGAGTGTAGGATTGGGAATTTTTGGATATGCCACTGGCGCACCCAAGAGAATGCCTTCCGCTGTTGTTGGTGCTTGTGTGGGTGCTGTTGGTGGTTTGATTTTCTCTCAATATTCTTCGTTTTTACGTTTGAAGGGATACAAGGAAAATAGAGCGGAATTAATCAAGGCTGGTATTATTAGTCCTGAAGGTAGCAAGCGTCTTGTGAAAGTGGTGAAGAGAAGACCTCTCGTTTCTCCTCAACAAGCACTCTAAATTTATTATTTAATATTATAACACGGGATTGTAGTAATCACCAGAACATGAACGGAACAAAATAGTCATGTGTAGCAATGTTTACGATGAATAATAATAATAATAATTTTATCAAAGATTGGATTTCATCATGAAACACCTCATGTGACCACATCTTGCTAATTAGAATTGATTTCGAGCCAATCTCTCCAGTAAGATCTGGCTCACAACATTCTGGAGTATTTCATCATCAAAGTCAATCACTGAAACCACAATGACCACTATGGTGAAGCATTTTGTTCTTTTCCATTCGACTCGAGCTTTCTTTGACTGGCACGATCACGGGTTTTCAAAGCCCATCTTTTCATGGGTTCTTCTTCATGCCAACCCAAATTGGTTTGCGACATTTTTTGGAAACATCATTTTATGGAATTGGTCCATTTGCCATCGAAAAGTCTCGCTGACTTGAGCTGTCAGCGCGCATTGTCGGTCGTTCGATCAGTGATACGAATTTTATGTGTGCTTATGGAATCAATTATTATCTAAGGAAATGGAGCTGGGACACTCAGAGCTTAAAAATTGCGAAATTTCGTCGCGACAAACAAACCACATCACACTTCTCTCAACAACTCTGTGGAGAGCCGTCTCTTTAGATTTTCTCTTTTCTTTAATACATTGGGTTTCTTCTCATTCAATCAGTAACATCAACGATGAGCCTCTCACATCAAATACTACACGAGCATGTTGACCTCTATCGAGTTCCATCTCGAATTGAAGTACCATCCATGCTCAGCGTTCATAGTTGTGTGTTTCTGGTCAACAATATTTGTGTGTTAGTGTTGCTGCTGTTGAGTTCATGGTGGGTTTCACGAGTAAAGGGTTTCCAATCTTTAAAAGCTCAACCAAAACCTCTTTCCAAAAAGCCAACGCCGTCAACAACAGCACCATCGCCCTCTTTCTTTCACTCAACTAACGAAAAAAGAACAGAAAAGGTCGAAAAGAATTCTTCCTTCGTGTCGCCTGATGCTTCTTCGTCGAGTGATGAAGAAGAAAAGGAAAATCATGACCCAGCAATTATGAATTCCGATCCATCTGCTCACCAACAAAATAATGGAAATTCCAAACCTAACACAACTAGGCCTTCCAACATTCAATCACCTTCACACTTTCTATTTGAATCCAGTC